ATCCAGAGTCGATGACACCTGTTACACGACGACCATTGCAAGTCAGATTGATAGTGATGAGGGGGCTAGAAGTCAAGGCCAAGTAGGAGGATGCAGGATGAGTTCCTTCAACAGCAGTAACAGACTTGACTGGCTGAGCCAGGGGCTGTCTCTTGAATCGCATAAGCTCCTGAAGGTGCTGAGAAACATCCCTAGATGATCCAATGACCTCCCCAACAGATACAGTCAAGGGAGTGGAAAGAATGTGCTCTACAATGGCTTTGGAGTTGGCAGACTGCAAAAGCGATGAAGACAGGGAAGTGGTAGGAGGGGGCTTGGATTTCTTAGACCTGTCTGCAGAATCAGTGGCTTGACCAGATGGCTTTGGGACAGAGGCATCTTCCATGATAGCATCATCTCTAGTACCATCAAAGACAGTGGGATGGATGTCAACTGGTACAAAGGCAGGGGCAAGTGGTGCTTTCTGTGGAGCAGGGATGGATGCAGAGGATGAAGGCTTTGGATCCTGACTCTCTTTCTCCTTGCCATGTGAACGAGGTGGGACAAGGACACTGTCAAAGACAGCCTTTCTCTTCTCTTTGGTAACCTTGTTAGAGCAATCCACAGCAGCAACAAGGGGTTCTTCTTCCAACTTGTAGATCTTGGCACCAGACTCTTCTTTGGCCTCTTCATGGATAACAAAGCGAACTGCATTGGCAGGCTGAGCAGCAGCTTTAGTGCGCTTGTAGGCTTGAAGGATAGTCTCTTCTCCATTCCGATAAATGCACTGTCCATTAGGGTAGATGACCCAATGGTTTTCATCACGTGCCAAAGAACCCTTCTGAATGAGATCATTAATGGCCTGACAACTCTCAACACCATGGCCTTCAACACCACAGCCATAACAAGTGATGGTCCTCCTAGCAGGATGGGTCTGGGATGAGGAAGTATCAGCAGGGGCAGTGGATGCAGGAGTAGATGCAGGAGCAGGACGAAGGGAAGGAGCACGAAGCACCTTTGCAGCATCAGGATCCATCTTGATAGCACGATAGTAGAGGAGGGAGTAGTCTGGGTCATTGAGTGACATGTGAGAGAGGGACTTGATTAGGGTCTCAACCTCATCTTGTTTGCGAGCAGTAGGACCTTCTTTCTCCAAATTTTCAAGGTTTCTTCTGGCTTCATGGGAAGGGAGCAGAGGGCAAACACTGTCATCTCTTCCATCTGAGTGATGAGTAGCATTAGGCTGGGCCTGAGGAGCAGGGGCAGCACGAGGGCCAAGGAAGTCAAGGTCATCTGCATCAAAGCAATCACGGCGAAGGACCTCTTCAGCTGACTGGCATACATCATCATAGGGGAATGGCCTGCTAATGTCAAGGTTGGGATCCTTTGTCCTGAGACGAGTTTCAACCAAGCCATGAAAGACTGGGGACAAACCAGCCCAGAAGTAGCGATTATATTCGTCAACTGAGATCCTTCCTTTATTCTTCAACCAATCTCCAATGCAAATGAAGCCACGGTTGTAAGCCCTAAAGTCTTGAAGAGTCATGATGGGCTGCATCCTAGACTCCAAAGCAAAGCTCTTGAGATGCCTTTCAAAGAACCTTTCATCTGATAGATCAGCATCAAAGTACTTGAGGAGATCAGCCTTCAAGTTAGCCCAATCAGGAGTGTAGTAGTGAGCCATTCCTTCAATAATCTCCCTAACACAAGCATTGCAGTACTGGAGGATTGATTCGACCATTTCCTGGTCAGAAGTGACATCGTGGTAGGCACAGAGACGTTCATAGTGGTCCAAGAAGGAGTGAACATGGGTATGGTCTCCTTGGAATAATTCAGGGGCAGACTTCATGCCAAGCAAGGGCATAGTGAGGACAGAGTGAGCAGGGGGAGCAGCCATAGCTACTGGAACTGTTGATGATGTAGGGGATAGATAGTGGGGATGGTGGATGACATAGTAATGAGATATCAAGTGGTTTTTAGAAGCAAGTTTCAATAGGCTGAGTGAGCAGGGTTCTTGATCCAGGAATAACCACCCCTCGCAGTGGGCTCCAGATGTGAGTCAAAGTGTGGAAAGCTGGTGAAAACCAAACAAATCCAACACAAAAGACAAATAAGAGCGAGTGGTGGTTTGCCTCTGCAGAACCTGGAGTGCTGAGAAACCTAAAGTGGGGGGAGTTTCAATGGCAGGTGCTCCTAGCACAAGTTGTCGTCGAGTTACACAGGAGTAGATGAATGGATGATGACTGAGGAGGGGATGCTGAACAGAGTGAAGGTGTTCAGCCAAAAGGACTTCTTGGAATAATGGACTTCAATAAAAATGTGCTCCTGGTGCAAGTCGTTGACAAGTTATGCAGGAGTGGAGGGATGACTAAGACTGCTGACTAAGAGGAAGCTTCAGATGAATGATGGAGGCAGATAGACTCTTCCGAATGAGCCTCAACTACCAAGTATACAAATGATGACAGATAGACCCCTTCATGGAGCCTCAGCTGTCGATGATGAGATAGGCACTGGACTGACTGCTGAGTGAATGGCTTCTGATTAATTCTTGATTGCTTTTTTGTAGGTAAGTACATGGGGGTTTATATACTGAGGGGGGAGCACAGCTTGTGGCAAACAAGGCACAAACACTTGGTAAGTACTGAGTAAGGACTGGGTAATCATGATGAGTAAGCAAGAAATGAAAAGTAAGCAAGCAAAGAGGATTGGTAAGTATTGGCAATAAACGAGTCAAGGATAGTCAAAATATCACAAAATGAGTCAAATAGAATCAGAAACTGCGTAAGCACACTGATATCACATTAGGGGGTGGCGATGCAAGTCAGATCTCAGCGGAGACATCTCTAGATCCAAAGATGGCATGACAGATGGATGGTGTTTCCAGATAGGGAAGTATTAATTCCAGAATTGAAGGGCATGAGTCAGGCATCAAAGGGGGCTAGGGCATTGGGGGTCTGTGGGGCAATGAGAGCATACGCGATCACATCTCCCACCCTTCCATCCTCTCAGCAAAGTTAACAAAAACTTCATGAATGGGGTTCTGATGGAGGAGGAGGAGAAGGGGGGACATCTTCTGCTGGATCTTGCAGTAAGAAGGCAAGATGCATGTCATACTCATCATGAATGCGATCAGGGAGGCTGGAGGACAGTAGATTATACTGCAGCTGTCACAATGTGGGAAGAATGATGGATGAGACTGGAACAAAGACGGTGCAGGGAAGCAGGGAGGAATGATCCATATGCTTCATCAACTGGGGAAACTGAAACGACCACATAAGACCTTTCTAACTGAGTGACAGACCTGAGGTGACCAAAGAACATCCTTCTGGAAGTCATACTGACAAGGAGAACACGCTGACCAAGCTGCATGGGATGAGACAGGGCTGACAATGACAGGGATGAACCAGGGGGCTTCAGGACGGAAGCTGGTGGGAACACCTGGCAGATATACATAGCCATTGTCTCTGGCAAATGAGACAAGCGAGATGATCAACAAAGAGGTGGCCATGATTGATAGACTGAGCAAAATGAGCATCCGATGGATGGAGTGCTGTAGAAACACGCAGGGTGCGAGGATCCTCTCCAAATTTGGAAGGAAGAATCATGGGGCTGAGCGCTTTAAGCAAGTGTGGGAACAGAGTCGATATCTTTAGAAATGGTGGAGATATGATGAAAACCGGAATGCCATACACGGGCACTAAAAACCTTTAACGTGTGCTTAACTCGCTTCCTCTTTTCTCTTTAGCACTGATGACTTGTTCTTGTGCAAAGGATGACTGTTAACGTCCAACAGTCTTTCTATGCACTGAGGCCTTTAGTCTTCATCTGCATGCTCGGGCATTGTGCTGCAACTCATCAACAAGTTAGGCAGAGTCAGCTGTAACCATGTCCACAACACCTTTGGTGTGTGACACAGCACCATATCCCTGTCGCAGCAGTCCTACATTGAGGCCATCCTGATGAAGTACAACCTTGCTGACTGCAAACCTGCTGCAATTCCGATGGACCCCAGAATAAAACTCTCTTGCAGAGAAATTCCGCAGCCAGCTGAGGAAGCTGCATGCATGAAGAATGTACCCTACCATGCTGCTGTTGGCTCCCTCATGCACCTTGCCATTGGAATGCACCCTGACATTGCATTTGCTGTCTCCACAGTTGCGCAGTTCAACAACACACCCAACATGACTCACTGGGAAGCTGTGAAATGAATCTACAGGTATATCTCAGGCACAAAAGCACTCGCTTTAATGTTCAGAAATTCAGAACAAGGTCTCGAGGGCTATACCAATGCAGATGGAGCTTCACAGGAGCATTGATGTGCTATAAGTGGATATGCCTACCTACTAGATGGTGGAGCTATCAGTTGGGCTTTGCAGAAACAGGAACTCGTAATGCTCTCCACTGCTGAAGCAGAGTACATTGCAGCAACTCACGCAGCCAAAGAGGGCCTGTGGCTCTGACAACTCATTGGGGAAGTTTTCCAACCACTCAAACACCCTATCCCACTGTATTCCAACAGTCAATCCACCATCGCACTTACCAAAGATGGCAGCTATCACGCTCACACAAAGCACATCGACATATGATACCATTTCATTCGTTTTGCTGTGGAAAACAATTCCTTTCATTTAATTTATTGTCCTACTGACAACATGGTCACCGATACCCTTACCAAACCTCTACCTAGCATCAAGGCGAAACACTTTGCATCTGCACTTGGACTTCGTTCTGATTGAGGGGGAGTGTCAAGAATGTGATCCAGAGTTATGGTAGCATCTTGGAGTTTTGCCCAGAGGGCTTGGAATTGTTCCCCAACCCTCAGAATTAAATTCCGATGTCAATGCGCTTACTAATTATGGTACTATAAATTTTCCACACTGTTCTTTTCCACCTCAGTGACTACTTCATACACTGAGGTGAGTATAGCTAGATTCCACTCATTTACTTGGTACTGATGTAGTGTAGAAACTCATACCTTCGTTAGGTACTAATAAAGTGACTACTTTGTACACTGAGAAACTCATACCTTCGTTAGGTTGTTGAGGACAAAGAGTTTGCAGACCTGGCCTGACGGCATCCAGGAATAAAATGGTCAGATTGCTGTAATATATGAGTAATCCACACAATATCATTTTATGTAAGTCTTTTCGCTATGTGGTATGTCTCTACTTCCGAGTCTTTTATAAAATGCTCGGTCAAGCTTACAATACACCGGGGGTTCTAGCGAGCCAGGGTAATCTGCTTGAATTTCAGACTCTTCGTGTGCAAAGCACATGTCTACAACTCATGAGAATCTACGCCATTCAGCGATTCTATCCGGAGAAAACACCTGGTGCAACATCTACTCCGAAAGCACTCTTCGCAAAACCTCTCATGTTCCTCTCTAGCTCATCCTCAAAACCTTCACTCGCCATGCCGAATAGAGTCCTGATCCACTGTCGTACTTTACTCGCCCAGAACGCCAGGTCAATCGAGAACATTATGATTCTAAACGACATATAGCGCCAGTATTCTCTCATTCGTTTTCGAAAGGTGAGATTTGTTGTGGTAGTCAACGACCGCGAAGCCCAGTAAGCGGTTATCTTGATGCGGTTGACGGGAGAACCGAGAACCTGGTTGTTTCCTAAAGGAAATACGTGAACAATGGGAATGACGTGGAAACGCACCACAAACCTTGCACTATTCGCATGTTACGGCCGAGGAATATAAGCTCCTTCGGCATCTTATCTGTATCGTACAGGAAGTTCTTCAGTCTTTCCTTCATCTGCAAGCTCCGCTCGTATTGATTCATGGTGCCGTTTTCAGAATCGCCGCTCCCGTCTTCATCCCTCCTCATCCTGAAGCTCACTGGCCTCATTAAAGTGGCACTTGCAAAGAGGTCGGGAGATCCTATTCCCCAAGATGTTGTGATGGCCTCTACTGTATCCCAGTCTGTGGCAAAGAGGGCCCTCCAGAGCTCGGCATATTTCCGTCGGAATTCATCTCCTACCCTGACGTACAAGCCGTGGTCGAGTAAGACGAGTTGAGGGTACATCCGATGTTGAGGGTGTGGGCGAATGATAATGTTTCCTGGGTGGGGATCACAGTGTACCCAACCCCAGCTGAACATCTGTGCGCTGAACAACTCGACCATCGTCTGCATGATTGCGCGGAGCCCACCCCTTAACTGCACACCTTCAAGCGACGGATGCAGTGGATGTAGCCCAGGGCGCTTGTCCTCGCCCATGAGCTTCCGAATTCCTGAACGATCGCTGAGACGAACGCCGTCAACCCATTCGGCGGTGAGCACTCTTCTCGTGGAGTATTCCGTGAACACTTTTGGTATATGCACCTTTCCGCTAAGCCGCGGCTCCGTGGCAATGAATTTGGCTGTTGTGATAGCATTTCTTGCCTCCTGCAAGAAGTCAAGTTCCTCGCGAAGATGGCGGGAGATGAAATCTGCGGCATCCGAGGGACGTCATCCGCCATATGAGCATGAACACGCAATAAACCCACACACCAACAGCAAAACAGGCAGGCATATCAAACCAACTTTCAAACATCCACATCACTATGCGGAAAGCGCCCAAGTCCCACTCCACTTGCTTGCTTACATCTGGCTTTTGGATTTTAACTGCAACCCATTCACCAGATTGAAGTCTTGCACGGTGGACCTGGGCTATACTCGCGCTAGCGACAGCTTGTTCTTCGAACTCCGCGAAGACTCCATCAGGGCCGGCTGGCGAACGGCCAAATTCTGACTGGAATACAGAGAGGATGGATGAATAAGGTATTTGTGGTGCGTCGTCGAATAGGCGGCTGAACCTATCCTGCATTGGGAGGGGCATCAGAGCCGCATTTGCACCGATAGCCTGGCCTGCAATACGGAACAGCATCAGGAAAGGGAGACTGCCTGCGAGATGGAAGGTGATCACCTAACTTAATGTAAAGGCCACCATTGGATGTCAGTAGGTTGTATAATCTGTCTGCGACTCTCTCATGAAGTTGCGGTATTTGATTTGCCTTCTCTGGCTGGAAGTTGAGTTTGTAGTCCAAGGTGATGAGGGTACACTGGGAAGGACATCAGTAACCACACGGAGTTTTTGTGGAGCATAGAAGTTCAAAACACGGCGCAAAGTATTACTGTACAACACATGTAGAACACGCATAACGGCCCACAGAAGCTGCTGAGGGGAAAGAACACATACAACGAACTAACGAAAGTTGCAGGACTAATGCTCACTGTGCATAACGTCCGAATGTTTCGCGCCACGGCGGAAGCATTAAGCTGCTTGTCGGCAAACCAGAGCACACCAAGCCCTACCACGGCCAGCGCTGTTCGCCGGCTATAACAGAAGAGGCGTGAGCGGTGTGGGGTTGGACTTGGGAGGAACAGATGGCGTCGACAGATACGGCGGCTAGTGCCAGGTGACGGGAATGGTGACCGCACCAACATGACGCGATAGAAGGTTTGATTCTAGTGGGGTATCTGCTTAGATCCCGAACAAGTTTCAGATCCAACTGCGTTCCGTCTTGGTTGTTTTAAATAGACTGGTAGCCACCACAGTTTCGACATTGATTGGATTGCATTAGCTAATTAAGTAAGAGCGTTGGGAGTAATATAAGTGGGGCCAAGTGGCCGCTCGCTCTTCCCCCCAGCAATTTCCTGCTGTACTCGAATGGTACCAACTCCCTTGCATTCCTCCCGTTCATCCCGCCTCATCGCTCCTCTATTCTCCGTTCTGTTCCAACATGTGCCCAGCCTCGCTCGTAAACTTCGTGGTGCCAATGGGGAGGCCACGCTTCTCCACACTTATGCAAAGCGTGCCAGCAGTCAGCCTCACAGCACCGAGTACATCATCTTCGCTTGCCTCATACCTGTCCTCGTCCTCTTGTCTGGTGTATTTGCCGGTCTGACATTAGGCTATATGAGCTTGGACGAAACCCAGCTCAACGTGCTAAGTATGAGTGGCACCCCGTCAGTATTAATCCGGGCTATTCCGTCATCGCGCTGTCGTACTTAATTTCGTCTTGCCTGTAGACAGCAGAAACGCTATGCCAACAAGATCAAGCCCATCCGCAAGGATGGCCACCTGCTCTTGGTAACCCTCTTGTTGGCAAACATGATCGTCAACGAGACGCTTCCCGTTATATCCGATCCTGTCCTCGGCGGAGGTGTGCAAAGTGTTGTCGTCAGCACGGTCCTCATAGTCATGTGGGTCTTTCTCTCAGTGTATTCAACGTTCGCGATGGTCTCGCGAGGTCGCAATTCGTCTCCCTTGCTACGTATCACCGCAAACATTAATCCACGTCTGTGACCAGACACCAATCAAACCTGACCCCTTTCTCCACAGATTCTCCGAGATCATTCCGCAGTCTTTATGCACTCGCCATGGCCTCTACTTGGGTGCCAAAATGGCCGGCTTCACGCAGGCTCTTATATACCTCTTGGTGAGTTGAGTATTCAAGTTAACGAGATGTCCACATTAATTTTGTAACAGGGTATAGTGGCTTGGCCAGTTGCGAAATTATTGGAGTATATCCTCGGCCCTCACCACGGAATCATATACCGTAGAGCAGGTCGGAACTATCGCTCTAACACCTTCCCGGCGCTCACTGATCTGCATAAATCCAGAACTCAAAGAGCTGATCGCGATGCACTCCTCCATTTCTTCACTCGGAGGCGACCTAAAGACTGATACTGTTGCAATTATCGGTGCGACGCTCGACTTGCAGGAAAAGGTCGTTAAACAGGTACATCATCTACTGGTCCCGGTTACCTTCCATCCGTCACAATCTGACAGATGCTTCGCGAATAGGCGATGACTCCGATCGAAGATGTCTTCATGCTTTCTATAGATTCCAGCCTGGACTACGATTTACTGAAGAAGATATGCAAAACTGGTCATAGCCGTGTACCAGTTTATGAGGAAGTGGATGTTCCATTGGATTCCTCTGGACGTACCGAGAAGGTCAAGAAGATCATCGGCATCCTTCTGGTCAAGCATGTAAGATCAAATGATTTTCACTTCATCACACGTACTCAGTGCTCCTCATACAATAGTGCGTGTTGTTGGATCCCGGAGGTTCGTTGATACATTTGTGTCGTGAACAGCATTTCTAACTCCGAAGTAGATGCCGTTCCTTTGCGCAAATTGCCTTTGAACAAGGTCCCTTTCGTGCCCAACAATGAGTCGTTACTTGGTATTCTTGATAGGTTCCAGGAAGGTCGTTCTCACATGGCTATCGTTTCTCGTTTGAGTGTGGAAAAGGCTGCATCCGTCAAGAAGGTTGCTAAGCGTTCCCTCACGCAACGTCTTCGCGAGCGTGTGGGTATGGGGGATTCTAGTGACTCTAGCGATGAAGAGAACGACTCGAAGGAGAAGACAGAACGCAAGAGATCAAAGACTATCTCGTGGGCGGATGATTCTGCCGTTGATAAGGATGAGGACGACGCAGAAGAGAAACAGAAACCGAAGCGTGGCCGTAGAAGGCACAGCAAATCTAAGGGAAACGATCAGCATGACATAGAGATGGGCCTATCGGCTGAGCGAGAGGAGAACGGAAAGCAGAAACTTAGATTGCCTCGGGCTTCGCTCGCACTGGAACAGACGATGCCTGCTGACGCTGTTTTGACAAAAAAAGATGCCGAGGACTTCTTGCAGGTTATCGATCCAGCTATCAACCCGCTTGGCATTATCACGTTGGAAGACGTTCTCGAAGGTTAGTTCATCGTGACCCACAATTCCCTGTACTGAAGACCCTGAATTTGTAGAGCTTATTGGTGAAGAAATCTACGATGAATTCGATCCCAAGGGTGCAGGTGATATGGTTTCGTCGTATGTCCCAGTAGAATTGTCTCTCGCGAAGACGGACCTCCGTTCCGAGTCAACTCCCGATCTCTCTGCGGCGGTAGCTGATACTTCGTCTCCTCGAACTTCGAAGTCGACTGCCGGCACACCGGTGTTACGCCCACTCACCATGAAAGGACTCGGTTTCTTTCGTTCCAGGAGCGCTCCGCCGAGTCCGCGCGGCAACAACAGAAATCCATCAGCTGCTTTCCGTTCCAGGAAGGATACCCTGACGACCGTCAAAGACCACCACGAATCTGAAACTCCAGATTCGATTTCGTTTGCAGACCGTGTGGACACCACTTCCGTAACGACCAAAGTCGACAAGAACAATGCCCTTGCGTGCACAACCGCGAGTGTCCCATCCCCAGACGTCCCTCGCGATGCGCCGCTTTCGAGGAAGAACCCACATGGTAATACGGGCTCTCCAATCCATAACGCCGTTAGTTCCGCCACGCCGAAGATAACATCACCCTCACCGTCGTTCGAGGCCTTCCTGTTGGAAAGGAAGCGTCGTATCGTCGCTTCTGGCAAGGATTCCGGCTCTTCCGTTGCGTCCCCTAAAGGCGATGGCCGACCTGCGACACCCGGTGCCAAAGCCGGCAGCAAATTCAAGAGCAGTCCACTCGGAGGCGGAGAACGTACGGGTATTGTAGTTGCGGAGAAGATCAAACAAGACATGAGAGATAAAGAGGAGTGATGCATGGTGCCTGATGCCTGATGGACTAGAGAAGGACGAAGGATTTGCGCACGGTGATCGAATGCTTTACTAGTCGACGCTGAAGCTGTGATAGTTCCCCGTTTCCATAATCAATTCCTTGTTGCCTTGCATTGGTTTCATACTATGCATTTCGATACATGTGGATACTTTCAGAGCTGTTGGATGGTACCGCTTTGCAGAAAAAGTATCCGACCTGCCTGGCTCGAACAGGCGACCTCAAGATGACAGGGTTATCCATTACAGTCTCGCGCTCTTCCAACTGAGCTAAGGTCGGTACATTTCCCATTCCAAACGTTTATAAAAGAATCCATAGCCACCTTCACGCCATCGACCCCACCTCTCCCGAGCGGCGGTGCTTGTCAGTAATGGCGTTCCTGCTGAGACGAGGGGCACTGGCGAAGTTTTTCGCTGTTGCAACTGTTTTGGTCCTTGCACGCTCGCTCTTCTTTTCACAGGATTCTGCACCATCCTCTGTTGCACAGTATCGAGGCTATAACGTCCTCGAACGCGTGACTGGCGTGGACAGGACCCTAAATGTCCAGAAACACAAGTTTCTGCAGGCAAGGGTGGGCAGGGATGAGAGGCCTGACATTCTCGACGACTTGATAGCCGACGGCGTCCGCGACTACTGGAATCGCTTCCAACTTCCGATGTTAGTGTCGGTCCATTTTGATGTGGCAGACTCAGATTTGACGTAGCGTACTCTCCTAGCATGATTGGCAAGGACACTGCGCATGGGGATGCACAGAACGTCCTCGGTGCTGTTGAAAATCTTCTTTCACTCAACGGCTGGGTTGCTGCTTATTGTCCCACTCTGGTTCGGCCGTTCGGCCAGAACAAGAATGTCGACGAAGATGCATACGACGACCTAGCTAAGGAGGACCGTTTGTACTATATCGCTCTTGCCATTCACTCGGCCGACCATTTCTTGCTTGACCAACTGGCTGTGATAGTCCAGCTGGCAAAACGCTTGGGGACTTCCAACTTGTTTGTTTCCATGCTGGATTACGGTTCAACAGATTCGACGGCAACACTCACTGACCTCTGTGAAGCTGTGTTGACTCTCCTTGGCGTTCCGTTCAGAATCCGACGTGTCCCTGGAATGACGGAAGATCCAGCGGCGGCGTACTACCCTCAAGAAGAAGCACACATGCGTAACCTCGCCCTAGAACCGCTCCTCGAGCTCCATAGCAAGCGCCAAATTACCTTTTATCGCGTCATATGGTTAAAGGGTTTCACCTGTCCAAACGACATCTTGGAGACGCTTCGAGTCAGCATCACCAACGAGGCTGCCATGGTCTGTGGTATGGACTGGGCCGAATCCAATGGTCAGTTCACCTTCTCGGATAGGTAAGAACTACTTGGCCTTCGTACGCCTTCCACGATAATCATTCATTCCTGGGTTAGGTGGCGCACGCGCGATATCCATGGTGATCAATTCCGACACTCGAAATCATCTTCCAGACCCGATGCCGTTCCTCCTCGGGACAAAAATGGTGCTTCACGCTATGTTCAGCACCTGCCTTTCCAGGTTTTTTGTTGTGAAGCTGGGACTCACATCGTGGACCCTAGCCAGTCGTACTACAAAGGTTTGACGTATCGTTACGGGACGGACTTCCACAACGCATCGTCTTCCGAGCCCGTCTCTGTCCGTCCGCCCGATGCCCCGTGCTTAGATAGCAGTCAAGCATGGTTCTGCAGGGACCTCTGGCTTAGTAAGGCCCTTGAGGGCGTTCACGAGGAAGAGTATATTGACCCTTCACAACGGCACGGGCATTCCAGGCCGGGATCTGGTCGAGAACGGCGTCAAGTTGCTCCAATGGACCCAGATGTCAACGCCGGGTCAGATTTTGACGCCATGCCCGATTCCGACTCGCCTATGGAAGCACAACCATCTGGCCGATTGTCCGTTCCAAATTCGGCATACAGACCGGCTCGCATACTGGTAAACCCACGATGCGTTACAACTTACGCCGGTGTGAGCCACACACAGTTGGCCTTGGATCTATTCGGCAGTGGAGAGGACGACAGCCGGGTGAACACAACCAAAAACATATTGGACGATTGGGAAGGTGCACCGGAGAGGTTCGTTTGTCAGGAACAACTGTAAGACCACATTCTATCCTGCCTTCTGAACAGAGCTGATACATCTTGTTGGTTGCTTTCAGTCAAACTGGCGGACGCGTCGCCGCTAAGACACAGCGATTGCTTAGATTCTCTATTCACGATGAATTGTCGGCACAAGCATTCATAGTTGTATCGGAATCGTTGCGGGCATGTAATGTAATACATTTCATACACAGATGGCAAAGACATGCGCCCAATACCCCTACCGAACTCTGCGTTTCTTCCCAAATCCCTTGAAAGCGGCTTCCTCGTCTGAATCATCATCCGCGATGATGTGTCGCTTATTGCTTCGCACCCCGCCGGTACGGACGCCCTGGTTCGGAGCCTCCCGCCCTTGCGTAAACCATCGCGAGCCTTTACCTTGGGTAGACTCCTCATCGGAGTCCAGGAAAAGTCGTGCTGCCTGGGACCTCCCTCCCCCGGCAGCAAGTTGCTTCCCTGGCTTCTTCGCGACCGGTAACTTTTCAGTGTCTTCATCTTCGGACTCGAGAATCGTACGTGGTCGTCTCTGGACTCCTGGCTGACTTGGTGGCAAAGTGGAGTCTTTCGTAGCTGTACTATCCTTCCAATAACCTGACATGTGTATGAGTTGGCTGTAAAAAGAATGTCCTCGGGGCGTAGAAGTACCTGGGCCCACTCCGTAGTCATCCTCTGCTTTTATCACCAATTCGACGGAGTGCCTCAATGAGGGTGTAGGTGTCTGGGCCAAGCATTAGATGAAGCAGCAATCGTTCTGTGTAGAGGTGAACAGACCTTTTTGAACTTTTTGAAATTCGGTTTCCCATCGTAGTCCCGTCGAACGGCCGTTATTTCACGCGGCCGGCCGTTTCTGTAAACGTCTACCTCCGTCACTACCATGAAGTTCCCCCTTATGTTCCTAATGTCGTCATCGAAATCTCCTAGAACTGCCCAATCTTCCTCTTGCTCTCCGTGGATATCCGGCTGTGAGATACGCAGTTTGTTGAATTCACGATCAAAATTGTCTTCTCCCTTCTTTCCCCTCTTTCTCGACGCCACTGCAATCAAAAACGCCTGATCAGTATCTAGTTGCCTCGTAGACTTCTTGGATTGTTTGGATGCCATCTGATCTTCCGCAGTGTCAGCATGGTCCTTCTCCCCATCGACAGCACCGACGGGCTCCCTGGATGTCTGACGGGCGCGAGCTGGTACTCTTTGAGCGATGGCAAGTTGGTTGGGGAGCTGTGCCGGTAATGATTGGGAAAGCAGCGGTCCAGCAAGGCTGCTTCCTTCCTCTTCCTCTGCGACTGCATCTAGTGCTCGCATACCTGGGACTGTTCCATGGAGGGGAGCATGAAGAGATGCGCTTTGTGTAGCGCTTCCGGTATCCCGGAAAACGCCCGCAGAGGTCCCACTATTTGGGGCGTCAGTAGACATCTTGTCTGGATCACTCGCATCAAAAAGTGCTTTAAACTTTTTGAGGGGAGGTTCTCGATTCATCTCTTTCTCAGCAAGAATAGATTCCATCACAGAGGCCGTCCCTGCCGTCGGAGTTGCTGCTCGTCTCTTCAGCTTCGGACGATTAATGGATGGAGCCTAAACGGGATGAGGTAACACAAAACTGGAACTGGGATTTACACACCGGTGGAACCGTAGCTCCTACGTTACTATCAGTTTGGTCTCGGTTACTGTTAGTCGATAGGGGTTTCACAGAACGAATAAGTTGCTTGATGGCAGATAAGAAAGATTTCAAGTAAAACCTTTTTATTTACGTACTCTTCTGGATGGTGGAGGCTGGACGTTAGTCTCCGCACCGGGTTGGGGGGATCTGGATCTCCAGGCAGAAGTCTCCGGTTCAGCTGGAGGACGTGGACTGGAATGGCGATCAACCTCGATCGCTTCTGGACGTGAAGGAGCCAAGGCAAGACATGACTCCTCAGGATGCGCGTTCGCATTACCTGGTGGTGGAGAACAGTCTTCTGATTGTGATACACCGAAGTGAGCATTGTTAGGAAAAGCGAGCAGAATCAGAATATATCCTTACGGTGTGGATCAGGAGCACTCAGTAGGATCGAAGCATCGATGCTGATTACCGCATTTAACAGCGTCTCGACAGTAATGATTGACACGGACATACTACATTAACACAATTGTGTCAGCGCTAGAATTGGCTTTCATGCCACACACTCACGTGTGAGCATCGGCAACCATCTCTTGCCACTTGGTCGGCCCAACAGTAGCCTGAATGGGCCTATCGTCCGTGACAATGAGGACGTTTATACCCACTTCTTCCTTTTTACGCTTCGCCTTTGCAAGCATTTGCCGCCATTTCGCATGGCCGGATGTCAGAGGGAAGCCATCATATTCTCCCCCGCCTCGTAGGCAAAGCTCTCTCGTATCACCGTCGACTTCAGCATTCTTGTTGGCAAGCAAGACGAAGCGATACCCATTCAGAAAGTTCAACCTCTCCTCGTTGGGTTCCCAGAACTTGAAGGATTTGAATGTCGGAGGCAGTCCGGGTGAGAAGGCTGGTCGATATTTGCTCTCCAGCGGGAGGTTGAAAACCTGTTCGAGCTGAGTGGACTTGAACAAGTTTGTATCATCTTCGGTAGTTCCGAGACGTATACATTCTTGCAGCCACTCCGATTTGACTAGCTGCGCGGCTGAAAGTAGGGAAGTCGCTAGGGGAACCGTAAGTTCATACTTGGGGGTAATATGATGTGTCACCAGCGCATGCGTCGTCGTTACCATGCTTAAGCCTAGATATCAATGTGTGCGGTCTGTCTTTGTAAGTAGGATAGAAGGCGCACCCATGGAAGCACAATCTTGTCTTGGAATGGAGGGCGAGTTCCGCACTGGAGGCAGAAAACAAGCTATCTGCTTCCAATCCACTCTTTGGAGGAAATCAATCAAAAAAAACGTGAAGAAGTAGCTGCACCTTACTGGATGATAATTCCGACCACGATATTAATCATATCACCGCTTTGTAATTCGCAAGGAGACAATGGGTCCACGATGAAAGGCTTCCCGCCTCGGTCAATGGTCATGGCCTTCTCTTTGGCGTTGTATATCTCAATCTTCGGAACGAAACACGGATCTTCCTAATGCTAACGGTAAGATGAGACAGAAATCCGAAGAAAAGGTTACGCACCACGTTCTCCTCTGTGTATGGGCCTACTGTGAAGTCGCAATGGTCTCGAGAGATCTTTTTGTTGTTCACAACTAGTTGACGATCCTTTCGGCCTAAAGAATACTTCTTTCCCGCTCTCAGCAGTTTCGTCTCTAACAGATAGTATTGAGTCAGCCTCCATGGATTTATTTGCCTACGAAAAGAATCAATTCACTTGTAGCGGAGACGTTTCCTAGTTCCCCATCGAAGGGGCCAGTGATCAGCCACATCACTACTTCCAAGATAAAAATGCGATCAACGGAGAATTTCGTTGTGAAACTGCGACGCCGCGGTGGACTGTCGTGACGAAGCCCACGCAGCTGCCCACTGAAGCTTTCGGAAGTACTCCTGTCGCGCAACATGCGCACGTGACCCACACGACAGGGGTATACCCTATTTGGGGAATCCTTAGTCAGCTCTCAAAAGTTGCCTTGAGCATAATCACTGTCAGTCTCCATTCGACTCCCGTCCTGATCATCGCCGTCGACGGCTTGTATTTGACTATAAAAATGGTGAGTAGTCACTCTGCATGCACATACCAGCCGACCTGTGCCAAATGTGCCGGAAATCTATGTTTATGTCGGTGTACTGGATGGATGGATGGATGTGGATGTGGATGTAGCTGGCACTGACTTGGCGTTCACAAATAGGCCACAGTAGAGCTTGCCGCAACCTATGCTGCACTTATCCTCGCAGACGATGGCATCGAAATTACGGTGAGTGTCTCCATGGCTTTCGGCGGTCGCGAGCTCGTATACAAGGTATTATTTTTCAGTCTGACAAGATCGTCTCCCTAACATCTGCCGCCGCCGTTGAAGTCGAGCCAATCTGGGCAACTCTTCTTGCCAAAGCACTAGAAGGAAAGGATGTTAGAGAACTACTACTAAACGTTGGTGCTGGCGGTGGTGCACCAGCTGTTGGTGCTGCACCAGCAGCAGGTGGTGCCGCACCCGCTGCAGCTGCAGAAGAAGCACCAAAAGAAGAGGAGAAAAAGGAAGAGAAGGAGGAGTCGGACGACGACATGGTACGTAGTCTATACTTCCGTCGTCGCAGATTAGAAGTCTGAACAACTCGCTATTTAGGGTTTCGGCCTTTTCGACTGATCTGCTTTCCCCGCACGATATCTTATTTTCCTCTCCGAGATTGCATGTATCACTGAGGCATCCAATGATTGAAGAATTGAGCCCAACGAAAACCTGATGTGTGGACTCAGCTACTGACAAGGTTTGGGGCAGATCCCCTGAGTTCAGATTCGGAGAAGATGAGGGCAAAGCCCTTACAACGAGCGCCGAGCCCGAAACCAAGTTTGATCAGACATGAGCTTTGGGTCACGAATGGTAGCATTGACGAAACAATGGTATGACAATTTGAGGAAAATCATGCCTCGCTTTGTGATGGAGGAGTAACCACAAATGCCAAGTCAGAACGTCTGACAGTCTCCGCCGAATCCCAACACCGAACTGCGACCGCCCGAGAAGCAGGGGTGGGATTTTGCGCACAGGCTCCGAAAAGAACTCGGAATCATCTTGTCCCATAGCCTGTTTATCTAACTTCAAGACAATCAATTACATAAGTCGGCCGTTGCCGGAGTTGGTCTCGCTTGAGCGCTTGAGTTATCTCTCCCACACAAAGCTCTACGTGTGTTCCCGCATGAAGTCAATTGTGAGTGTATGATTGCTCGAAAATGCAAAGTTATTACTGGGATCCATGATTCTTAATTCCCTTGTCAAATATAAGACACAGGACTCGACGTCGAATGGTCCAAAGCGTGCAAGCCAGCAGAACAATCCGGTCTGTTGCCGGAGTGTGGAACAGATGACAATGAAGTTTGTGTGCAGTACTTCACCCAACTCTCGGTCCACTTGTAAGTCTCGAACAATGCAACAATAATTTCCCTACAAAAGGCATCATATATTCCCCCCCGGTCCAACCGATGGGGCGATGCCATGGACCTCCCGACAAAGCCTTGACCACCGTCCACAGTCGCATATAAAAGGTCTTCTCCCATGGCCTGAACTTCCAAACGATATCCGCAAGCTAGTTTCCTCACCTATTTATCTAAAATCTTATCTCGTCATGTCCGCTGCTGCCGCGTACGCCGTTCGCTCCGGTTCCTTCATACATGACACGAACGCCAATCTCACCTCCAACTTGCTGACCTCCGAGCAGCGCGCAGCCATACGCAAGTCCAATCGCAAGGCCGAGCAAGTTTTAGGAATTACCCTCACGCGGGACGTGAATGCTTTTGGTAAGCATCCCAGACCCCTTTTCGTACCCCATACATAACCCCTGATTGACGCCTCCACAGAGAACAATTTTGGTCTCCTCATGGCAACAATCGGTGCTAAGCGTTCGCGGAGCCGCCAACCCAGCAACGTCACATTCGTCGGCACGCTCAAAGACTTTGGGGTCAAGATGATGGGACTTGACGGGAGGAAGAAACAACGATGCGCGGACGAATCGCGCTCATACCATCAACCCATCGTTCTCCGCTCGGCTGCTGGTTCCACAAGTAGTCTCAAGCGCCGGTACTCCTCCACTGCAACCAGTGACGAGGACTATAATGATGATCATGAGGACGGCTCAGACGTGGATAAGGAATACCTGACAGAACCGAGACGGACCAGTGTGGATATCCCTACCATCTTCGTACCACCATCCCTCCCCTTCTTGAGTGATGCAACCCAGGACGATGTTCCAGCCAACTATCAGTCGCGTTCCCCCCTCGCCCCCCTCATCACGGACGATACGACCGGCTCGTTGTCGCATCATTTTGGGCGCAGACACTCCCTCTGTCTCCCACCGAAACGATGCAATTTCATTCCCTCGTTCCGCAGAGATGATGCTTCTGAAACCTGCTCTTCTCCTGAGTCGGAATACTTTGTTCCCCAATCTGAAGATTTCCAGTGGGACTTCCCTGATCCATTCAAAACGCCCACGACCGATCCCACATACGCTTTCGTCATGGCGCGCTATGCTAAGATGCACCTTGGCGACAATATTGCTCCACACCAGCACGACGACAGCAAGTTTGGCGAGCACCTGCCGTTCGCAAATCTGCGTCCCCCTCCTCCATTCTCTCCATCGGATTGTGAGAGCGAGACTGTCATTGACAGTAGATTCCATACACCCATAGCCCGCCTCTCACTGGGTGCGGTAGGAGGTGGTGCTCAGCTGGGTACGGTTGAACCGACCAACATTCCCTCCAGACTCGGTTCTCCACAGGATGGTTATAATTCTCGCGCCAGTCGCAACAACAGCACATCTTCTGACGACCCCTGCTCTTTCCCCCTGCTCCGTGCAGACCTAGAATATGTTAATGCGATGCTTAGAGCCCAAGAGACACGTGAAGCGAAGGAGGCGATTACAGAAGAAATTCGCCGGAGGGAAAAACGTGCGAGATTAAGGTCTCATCTAAAGAAGATTGCTGTGCTTGGTGAAGAGGCGCGAGCCGTGGTCACTACCGCCGCGTAGTTCTTAAGGGAACTGAACGGTCGGATCAGGGGATCCTGAATAGCGTCTGCAAAGGCACTTGACGAACGAGTTACATAAATACCTGTGCTCTCTTATGATTTTATGGTCCTTCTCTCCTTACACTCACTCTAGCATGAGCCATTTAGAATGTGTATGTACCCAAACAAAATAACCACTCCGAGTTTCACTCGGCACGTGGCAGGGACAAGCATAAGAAAGCCGAACCATACGGTAATACGACATGAGGGAAGGGGAGTTCGGAACAGAACAATCCAATCAATCCACTATGTATCTCCTCCAACTTTTTTCAGTACGTCCTTGTACTCCGGGAAGAGGGCAGTGGTCATCTCCTTCACAAAAGATGACAAAACCGTACTTTTCAAAATCATGTCTGTAAAGTAAGGGTTTCCTTCGCACGTTAGAATATTTGCCAGGAAACCATAGACAGTAAGGTCGATGCGTGAAGGTCGCTCATCTCCATGGAAGTACTTGTGCTTGCGCAACTTCGCTTCAAGAACATCGAGCACCTCCTTCTGCAGCGTCCGTACCTCCTCCCAGGAATGCCTTCCCATACCGGCTGCCCACAGGTTGTTACCAACTTTCCTCAAGAAGTACCACCCCATAAAATACTGCAGGAGCCAGGGCAAGTTGCCAAAGGTATCTCGCTTTGTGACTTGAAAGTTTCCCGGGACGAGCCACCGCTCGTAAACGATCGCACTGTACAACGTTTCTTCTACGTATGCCTGGAAAGCTCGGGATTCCGCTCTTTGCTCGGGAGTTAACTCGGCAAGATCATCAGGGTCTTTGGCGAGCTTGTTTTCGACCAAGTACCGAATGATGAAATGCGAGTCTGCCACGATAGTAGTTTTCCCATCATGCCTTATCTCCGCGAATGGGACCTTCTTTTTGGGACCTTGATAGGGATAGACTTCACGGTGTTCATACGAGATACCGCTGTATCTGAGGAAGGCCTCCAGCTTCTCGCAGAACCCTGAAAAACTTGGTGCACCCTTGGGCTTTGAGGGTGCACAGAGGACGATATGGGTTTCTGGGTTAGCCATTGTTATTTCCTAGTTGACTATGATGATAATCATCGATCGCAGTAAAGCCAGTTGCAATAACTCACTGGTAAGTGGAGAATGTGTTGTGCACTGGATCCTCCTTACGGTAGACAGGAAGGTGATTAAAAGAAACTTAGGTTAGCCCCACATTTATATGTGTAGCCCGGCATTCCAATGATCAATTACGAGTCCTCTCGGCAACACTGGACATTCGCCACCGTATCAGATGTGAGGCGGTGCAAAACTGTGAGTGGGTTCACCCACTTGTCCCAAGAAGGTGTATTTCCATTTTGAGAAACAACCCACGTGTTCAAACTTACCACCGACCAAGCTGTCCCAATAACATTGTGGCAGTAGACGCGAAGTCAAAGAGGATGGTAGGTGGATTTGCAAGGTGCTGCACGCGCTCGCGCTCAAGGAAAATTCCAAAAGTCTGCGTTGTTCAATTTCCAGTCGCTGCTGCGAGTCATTCTGCTCATGATTTGCACTTGCACATACGTTCGTGCAGTCGCCCCTCGCCTCATCGACAGAAACAAAGAAGGGTATGCTCCCATTTGTCTCTGGATTTCTGTGCCAACCGACTGTTAGGATTCTTGGTCTCTTCTTCATGTCTGCTCGCATAGGTGAGAGTTGTACCCACTCTTGTCACGAAGACTCTGACATCTCCTGCAGGCGAACGTCTCTCGCCCTATGTCGCCATGGCCTGTGTCGCAATGGCGGTTACCATGCTCGTCCAGTAATACCCTTACACACTACAAAAATGACATGCCTCGTACGGTGCCAGTCTACTGTAATCATTACGCACTCATTGCCTTCGCCCGCTTCTCCTCGTACTCTCATTGCCCTCGACATCTTGTCTACCCCCGCTATACATTGCCGACCCAGACCGATCGGCGGTCCGCTCAACGATAGACGTCCCATCCCTAAACCGTGTCCTAAACAACACGTTCGCATTCGTGAACAGTCCTTCTTTCAATGAAACAACTATAAACTGTGACCCCTTGAAACGCGTTCGGAAAAGCTGTCCAATGTGCTGAGTGTGCGACAAGTCAAGCGCTGCGTCAATTTCATCAAGAATGTACATTGGCGCGGGTTTGAATTGCAGAAGTGCCATGATCAACGACAGCGCAATTAGCGACCTTCACCGGTACGTCAACACATCGTGAACTTTTTCTAGTCAACGAACACATACCGTTGTCCTCCACTCAACTCCGTCAAACTCTGCTTCCACACACTTCCAAGCTGCACCTTCACCTCCAGGCCCTGCATTAGGTCTTGGCCTTCGGGTGGCTGTAGCTTCGCAAAGTTTCCCGGTAGTAACTCCGCAAATATGCCACCAAAGTCACTATATGTCATGTACCGAGAATGTGTGACGCCATACAATATGGCGTCAATTCCAGTCGGGTAGGTGAAGAAAGAGGGACGTACCGATCAACCTTTTCCCACGTCTTCTCCAACGCATCTCGCTTATAGCGATCAAGTTCCTCAATCGTCGCTTCGATTTTCTCTTTGTCTTTCAGAACCGTCGAAAGCATCTTCTTCACTTCCGTCTCTTTCTTTTCAACACTGCGTGCGACCCGATTGAGAAAATATAAGGCGAGAGGCAAGGAGAAATGCACATACGTATCGATCATATTCATGACTTTCGGGTTCACCTTCCTCTTCGCGTTTCTCTGTTTCTCTTCTAGGTCGTTGGCTTTGGCCTGGAGGCCCCCGATGTCGATCTTGTCGAAGTCATAATGCGTCCCTGGCTTGCCAAACGACCTGTGGATACCTACTGTCAGCGTAGCTGGCGAGGGTGAAGGATAAACAACAAATGCTCACCCGCTTTCCTCTCTAATCCACTCCCAGGCTTTTTCTAACTTCTCGACTGCACTCCTCTGAGCTACCTTCTCCTTTTCCAGTTGCGTGATCTCGAGTTCGAGCCTCTTCACGGAAAAGTCCACCTCATCCATGCCATTCTTTCGCTCACGTAGTACTTCCTCAAGCGACTTCATTTCGTTATCGAAGTGGGTTAGCGTCGCACGTTCAGCAGTGAGGAGTGCAGTCGAACGCGCATGCTTGGTCTAGAAATGTCATCAGTTTAGGGTGAAGATACGATACCGGTAGAGCGACACACCTCTACTTCCCTGACCTTGCCCAGCAATTTGTCCACGTCTTTCTGCAGTTTTGCAACATGCGCGTTTGCACTCTCGATGGAAGCTTCAGCATTGGCGATGTCTTCCACCATTTGTTCTGCGAGGGGGACACAACGAATGGATTGACAAAGAAAATAGAGGAAACGGGAAACGACCTACCGAACTCAAGTACAGCTGTTTGATGTTCCTTCTGTCGGGTCTTGACGATGACAGCTTGTTTTTGAAGCACGGCTTTTTGCTTAGAGATTTCACCCTGGGGAAACGATAAACATTTGCTTGGTTCCAGGGGACATGTAATCCGGGAGGGCTTACCTTGAGCTGGTTAATCTTCCCCTCTTTGTTATTTTTAAATTCATGCATGTCCTTCTCCAGCCGTTGTACATCTTCTTGTGCCGTCCTCTGCTTCTCTTTCGCAGCCTCAACCGCGCGCTGCAGTTGCGCAATCGTTTGTTTGAGGTTCTCGACGTCCGCACTCAGCTAGGTGAAGATCGTCAGGCGCAAACTGCAACTTGGCATTCAAACCTACCCTCGCAGCATTACTCCCACCGAGCTGCTCCTCCGCCAAATTTGCCTCGTGTTCCCTGATCTCCAATTCTCTATGGAGTGCTTTCCACTTCTCTCGCGTGCCTCTCCCGGCCTCTTCTCCCCTCTCTAGTTCCCTCAGCCGTCCCTGCGCCTCTCCGAGCCTCCGCTCTACCTCCAACAGTTCTTGCACGCGCGTCAGAACCCCACTCCCACTTGGGGCGGCACCACCACTCAGCGTGCCAGACGGGTCATAGAGGTCACCCGCAAGCGTAACTGAGCGGACCTTGGCTCCGAACGTAACCACGTTGGCCGACTGCGCGTCCGCGCAAACGATGGTGTCACCAAAAACATAAGCCATGGCACGGGCTACGTCGTGTGGGTAACCGATCAGCGAGAGAGCGGGATGGGCTCTATCAGGTGCCAGTTGAGAGACTTGTGCGAGTTTCTTTTGGTGATATACGTTATGCGTAAGAGGCAACAGACAAGGGAAAATTCACCCACTTGTGCAGACAAAGTAAATGCATTGATTTTGTTCAGTGGTATGATTGTCACGCGCTTTTTGAGCTTCCCGTGCTGCAACAATTCCTTACCGACACGCTCGTCCTCCACGACAACATTATACAGTTTTCCCCCCGCAGCAATCTCCAGTGCAGTAGCTTTGTTCTGGTGCTCTGGTGGAATCGAGGTCAGCGTTGCAACGAGCCCTTTCACTTTGGACCGGTCGAAGTTTGGATGTGGTGGGGTATAGTCAAAGGAAAGGGACGAGAGACGCTGTTTGACAGTGTCGCGCTCCTATCGTGGGCACATAGTCTGCATATACTCCATCCCAAGAATGATCTCCACGTACCTCAGTCACGCGGCGCATTTCTTCTCTTGCAGTGCGGAGCTCTGCCTCACACGCCTGTTGCTGTTCCGCACTCCATCCGCAGGCCTCGAGCTGCTGCCTGAGTCTACTCACGTGTGCTTTCATGTTGTCCAGGTTCTGTTTTCCCTTGTGGACGTCATGCTCAAATTCTCTCTGCTTTGCCTCGGCCGCCTTCAATTCCTTCTCGTGCATCGAGAGCTTCACCCGGCTCTGCTCTTCCTCTGCGGCTCCTTGCGCTTGTCGCGCCTTGGCATCTGCCAGCTGCCCCATGTAACCGCCCCCCGAGTTGTTGGCATTCGACGAAAGACCCGTAAGGAGTGTTTGCAGCAGCTCCTCTGAGTTGGACAACGCCGAGTTTGTGGTGTCGTGCTTACTCTTTACTTCTTGATACGCCTCCTCCACCGATTTCACCTGTGCCTGTTTCTCTTGTAGGGCCACTCGCAGTCCCTGGAGTTCCATTTCCTCGTGGGCCACGTTCTTCTTCTCTTCTGCAATGTTTCCGTTGGCAAGGTCAACCTGTGTTTTGAACTTGACAAGCTCTTTCTCGAGTTCAGCGACCTCTTCTTCCATCTTTTTTAGTTTCCCTCCCTTCTGAAGCTCAGCCTCCCGCTTTGCCTTCACTTTTTCGTACTCCTTCTCAGCCGCACGATGTTCCTTCGACAACTTCTGTTTCTTCCTTGTTAACTCCTCCTTTTCTTCCGCTTTCTGACCAATCTCCTCGTCCACGCTGTCGACACGGCTCTTCGCTTGCGTCCATTCCCATGCTCTCAGCACACGGCCGATGCGTTCCAACTCTGTACGCTCTTTCTGCCACGCCAAAAACTGTTGCTTTTCTGCCCGAAGGTTATCTAGCTTGGGCGTAATTTCTTCCGCAAGGATCGAAGTGAGCTCTTGCACGCGCTTTTCCTTCTTGGACATGGTCTTTTTGGCTTTGTCTTTCCGGTCTTCAAACATACGGGTTCCAGCGGCTTCTTCCACCATGCCCAAAATCTCTTGATGACGCATATTAAGGACCTGCGTAGTAGTGAAGAGGGTCAACGCAGGCAAGAGAAGTAGCGACGTGCCTTTGTGATTCTTCCCTGCATGATGAGAAAGTTGGGGTTGTTGATGTTGAGCTGGACGCTTTGAAAGAGGTTATGGACTTGTTGCTGAGTAGACTTATGGCCGTTGAGAAGGTACTTAGAGATATTGGGCAACGCAATCTGTACAGCACGTAGAAGACCGGTCAGGCTCGACCGGATAGTGGATGGACGTTGGGATGGACCTGACGAGTAACTGTGATCTGCTTGAGGTGCTCAACGCCAACTGGACTCTTATCCCTGTCTGAATTGTCGAACACGATGGTGACGCTCGCTTTTGTTACGCCTGCTTGGCCTCGCTTGTAGATGAGGTCTTGTTGGTTTTGTGCACGCATCTGCGTGGTGCAAGCGACGTTATGACCAGTACTCGCACACAGCAAGTCAAGTACGCACTTGTGACATGTTCGTAATCCCAAGCACGAAACAGATGGCATCGAGGATGTTAGACTTTCCGGATCCATTGAGACCGGTGATGGCGTTGAACGATGGGTCCCACCCTGTGATCTGCGTCCGCACAGGATACGACTTGAATCCTGGGACATTCCATCAGCTTTACTTTACTTTGCCACTGACCGAATACCTTGCCTTCGATGACGAGCTCTTCTATCCGCATCCTTGCACTGACGAAGCAGCGTGGCGCCGCGACGCGACGCGACTCGGCAGTGGGCACCGCTTGTCACGTGATTTGAAGGAGCGTTCTGGACTTTTTTTTGCCAATTTCAGCGCCAACAAAGGCGCCCACATACCATTGAAATACATATATGTGCAATTGATAGACCACATCGATGCTTCAGACTGATATCTACAACTACGAAAAGGCTGTCTGGTCGTCCCCGATGACCGGCGACAAGAAAGCAGCAGCAAAATTCTGGCTTCGAAATTGGTTGCCCGATCCGGACCAAAAAATTTCCGCGTAATGTCAGCCTCAAGCGAAGCCAGGCTATTCTTCAGACTTTCAGTTGTTGACAAACGGCTTCTCGGGCAGACGACGAACATAATTCGTTGCAGGCAATGTCGCTTTCAGACATTTCAGATCTCACCGAACTTTCATCATCAGAAGACGCACCGACCGCAAGACCGACGCCCAAGTCCAGGAAGCAGTCAAAGGAATACAAAATCAAAAACGTTTTGCGGGCGCCTCGGACCACGCAGTACACCACTAAGTCATTATACGGCATGTATTCTGTGCGGCATGCCCCTCCTCAGCGCTCATCAATCTTTCATGTAGACCAGATCATCGACAATGCCATAGATCTGGACCCTGAGTACCAACGAGGCAATTATCTGCATCCACCTCGTCATGTCGCGACCCTAACTCACTCTCATAGATGTTGTGTGGTCCGACGAGAAGCAGTCCGGTCTTGTTGACTCTATCTTGCGTAACTACTATATGCCCCCCATCATCTTTGGTACGCTTAATCCCTTTCGCTCTCCCACGGCCACCAACAACCCGCTACGCAGCCGTCTCCTTTCAAGACGATGGCAGCGAACGCCGCACTTGCATAGACGGGAAGCAACGCCTAACTTCGATACAGAAGTTCGTGTTCAAAACATCCACCAATAGCCCCCCCTGACCCTACTTTGTCCTCCAGATTCTTAGACGGACAGGTTTGTTTGCGATTAATACTTCTTTGATGGTTACTTGACTCCCACCAAATTTTAGATACCTCGTCAGTTCTATCAAACCTATATAGCTCTATGCTGAACTAACTCTAACGCACATTTCAGACAAGGACTCGTAAGTTGCCGGGTGTTTCTTCGGCACGTAAATTGTCTCATGTTCCTATCAAGGTTTACAAACGAAAAGCTATGGTATAAGTCAAGCGCGCAGAATCCTAGGAGGAAACTTCTTCCTCAACAACTCAGAACGCTGTTCGCCAACAAGCAAGTTGTTTGTGTGGAGTACAGCGATCTCACAGATAATCAAGAACGTGAAATTTTCCAAGTAAGACCCTTCCCGTCCCTTTGATTCTTTTCTCAGCTGTTCCGCCTCAGCGTGTGCAACTGGGTGTGGCATTAACACCAGCAGGTATAATGTTTGATTGCTCACGTAGAGGGTGTCGCATATCTAACTTCTCATCCAGAACGTTTGCAAGCGATCGTCGGTCCATGGCCATCTCTCATCCGGGATATTCAGTCACACATTTTGGGTGAGGACGGTCTCGAGGGGTACCTCAACTGGGGACACGCTCGTGGGCGTGATTTTCAATGTCTCGCTACAATTGGGTATCTAATCGAGAACAGCTCAAAACCGGGCATACCCACTTCAAAGGTGCTTGAAAAGTGGCTCCACCAGACAGATCCCGTAAGACCGACCCTTGTAGCAGATCTCCAGGAGACCTTCCGTATCTTTGTCATGCTCGCGCGGGACAAACAGTATAGCAGTTCTTTGAACTCTCCTGCGCGCGTGTCCCCGATCGAGTTCGTGATGATCGGTATACTGATCTATAAGAAGAGGGCGTCCCTTTCTCTCACTCAGCTAACATCTGCGATCGAGAAGATGCGTAAGGACGTGCGCGCCTCGGAGAAGGATATTCGAGCCAATAGCCGAGTAACGAAACTCATGATGGACTTCATAAATAAACGACTCAAGGTATCCGAGCTTAAGAAGGACGGAGAGGGAGACCGTCCTGCATCAATCATTGCGAGATCTGTCAAGCCTTCGGCGAAACGCAAGCGGCCTGCTGAGAGCAGCGACGAAGAGTCGGAGGCTGAATCACCACCACCTCGCAAGGTCACAACCGGCGTCTCAGCAAAAGCAGGTTAGTACTTCGTAGCGTGAGCGGTGTTGTTTATTCAAGAAATTTGGTCAGGTTCCGATTCGTCTAGACAGTCAGTAACGAAGAAGTCGACTTCACCCGTGATCACCACAGCTACGGCGGTGAAAAGGTCTGCCGATGCACCAGCAACGCGATCCGGGAGACTCGAATCGCGGAGTACAATGGCATCTCAGAAACCACTGCCACCTCCCCTTAGGATCCCCGCAGCGAGATCCACTCAAGCAGCAGTTCCAACACCCACCCAGGACAAGGCGGTGACACCCGCCATCGCTGCACCGCAGATTCCTAAAACGTCTATATCACCAACCACCAATCAGCCTGCACCCCCATCTTCTACGCCGATGACCGCTTTGAAACCGCCGCCGCCTCTGCCTGTTTCCGCTGGTCCCCCTCCAACCCCCACTAGAGAGAATGCTCCTCAGAGCTCCCTTCACCCAGTTACCAAAGCTGAGTCCGTGGGCCCATCGCTTCCGACGGCAGACCCTCGGTTGCAGTCTTCATCGGTACATAGCCCATTGGCTAACGCCACTGCCGACAGATTGGCACCTATCCGTGCGGCGAAGGCCGCACTCCTGGGGTCGTCCAGCGGGCGCGAGTCTCCGTCTGGGGTAAATTTGGGAGTTGTAAACGGCGTCGGTAGCGGTCCACAGGGAGCGCAAGACTTCCGGGCAGCTTCACGTTCCTCGACCCCTCAGCAGCCCCCAATACGCAATGCGTACTCAAGCTGGTCACAACCATCCCAAGCACACGCCGACGTTCCCCAGGTCCCACAAGATTTGCAGCGGCTGCCACCTCAGCCCAGTCACATTGTTCAGCAAGCTTCCTTGAACCACACACAGGACTCATTCGGGAGACCATACCTGTTGACGGAGGAAACGTCCGCGAATTTTTCAGATGCAAGAAATGGTTCTCATCATCCGCGCAGTCCTCTGTTCTATCAAGAACCACGTCCTCTATCACCTGTGTCTCACCGACACCCGCGGGCGCAGCACCAACTTCAGCAACAAAGTGGAAGTGTCCCAGGTCATGGCCCGGGTCGACCGCCGCTGCCTCTACCTCCAAGCTCAGCGCGATCACAACAACCGCCTCCTGGCGCCTATGCTCCGCGTGCCCATACGGGTGCGAATACACTACCACCTCGCCCGCCTCCTGAAGTCCGAAGGGCGTCAACACTCCCGTACCCACCTCACCAGCTCCCTCCCAGCGGGCCATATACAGAGAGTGATAGACGTGAGCCGGGGTCGGAGAGACGACAAAGCTTCAGTGACCAACGGGCAAGCTCCGTGCTGGGATCTGGCGCCTATGACTATGACAGGTGGGATCGTGATCGCGTGAGAGACCGTGACTGGAACTACCCTCCACCTAGCCGTCCCCGAGCCGAACGTCCTTTAGGACGTGGGAGGGGACGTGGGTAACTTACTCCGTGCGACCTCCACGGAAGTACGAGAATTTGTACAGTAGCCGACTCCCTGAGTGATGAGGGGCCGGAGATGACAGCCCCAAGCAGCCGCAGAAGTACGTATCATCGAGGGGATTATGCGCACATTCCGACGCTGTATTTAGCTTGCGCAGGTCATAATAGGGTCTACCTCTAGTACCTAGTCCCCCTCCCTGTACACACTTAGAAGTATCCATGCCAGCAAAACGGTCTCTAAAGTATGTACAATTATTACTACAACCGGGCACTTTTCCTCTACCTATTTCATCGACTTACATCTCGTAATTATCATCGCGTCTTCAACATAAGAGGAACGTCACAACCATCGCATCAACCACGATCCACGCCCAGCTTACTCGGGCAAGCGGACTCACAGTGCCATTGGCATTGGCATCGGCATTGGCCCCTGTTGTCCCGTTCGAGACCCAATCGCGCCACGCAGCCTGCATCGCGATAACAAACGCCTCGCTCTCAGGGCTTTGCTGCCCCTGATCAGGATATGAATATGGATTAACGACGGGTGTAAGCCACCCATCCGGTGTGAAATGTAGCAAACCTGGTATTCCAGTTGCCGTTGACGATGCGTATGGTGCTGAAGCGGTAGGGGTAGTGGTAGTGGTTGAACTAGGCACAGATACCGTTCCTGTACCAGCAGTGGAGATATCAACAGCTGAACCCGCGGGAGCGGAGAGTGTCCTTCGACAAAGCTCTGCGACGGGAATATGTTTGTCCACACCCCACAGAAGGGAAAGACGGTAGACAGTGCTCGCAAGCAGCGCGGTTGAAGATGCATCAGTGAACGTGGACGAATTGTCAGCGTAATTGTGGAAGAGGCCGCTGGAATCCTGCAAGGGGTCGGTGATGCGAACGCCCCATATAGTAAATATACCTGACCGAAAAAAAAACGGGTGAGAAAAAAAGTGACGCACAAGATACGAGTACATCCCATCATGTATTTCCTGCACCCAATCAGCTAAATCCTGTTGTTGACTCATCATCGAGGTCGAAAACTGTGACTGTTTAATCGTGCTCAGCACCCGAAGCATCCCAGCTGCAGCCCAGCCATTCCCTATGACTCGTTGAGAACTAATTTCGATAGAATCTACGGAGAGGAGATGTACTATACCAGTAGACCAATGACCGTTGTCCGTCCCATACACTCCGAGTTGAATATGTTTCCAGATGTTGCTGGCATTCGAATTCCGAAGATATTTGCGGTAAAGGCGAACTTGATTGTAGGCCTCCTGCACGAGCGACTGGTTCCCCATCATTACGCCATAATACGCGAGGAACGGCGGTGCCATATACACGAAATCACTCCTAGGTGTTCATATATTAGAGAGGGTCACGAAGCGGGGTGTGCGAGGATCTATAGACCTAACAGCACACTAACGCACCAAAGTTGCACCTGGTCTGTCCTTTGCGAAATCGCACCGTCATGGGTCCGAGAGACATTCGATAGCAGGAACTCGAGCTGGTCACGTGCTGCGCCTGCATAGTCGAGTCCATCCACTGCGCCCTGACCCGTCCAGTTTGCAAGGAGCACTGCAACACCTATACTTGCTGGGTCACCAGTAGCATTATCTGACATGAGTGGCTGGGGTCCTGTGATGTTCCTATTTGACGTGGAGCGGTTGGCAACAATCATGTGCGCGATGCCTATGACGTCACTGAGTGAACTAGTGAGATTGGAGGGGATCTGCTGGGGAGGCGGTAGAGAAGTGGGAGAGAATACAGAGTATGACGGTGTATTGAGCTCCAAGAGTACTTCCGCGCGCGCGCCATATTCCCAGCTGCAATGGAATCGTGACGCCGGGTTGTGTCTCTTAGAGGTGGGGACTCACCTGTGGGTCGCACCTTGCGCCAGGCGCTGGGTTACGATGCCGACGTCAGCGGTGGAGAGGTTCTGAGCATATGCTTTGTCATAAACGAATAAAGTCAGACTCGTCACCAGCGACGACAGACACTTGCAACTTGTCATCCCATGTCTCATAGTGAAGGCCAGCAAGAGGGAAAGCAATGGATACGCTGGTGTACAGCCGACAGTGGAAACTGGGGGGATGCCTGGGTGCACCCATCAACAGGCAAGTGCCAGAAATATAAATAAAATAAGTAGTGTGGAAATATAGAAATTCCGGGAGTTTACATGTGGGGTCAGGGACCCTCGCGGGTTCGGTGAGGAACCTTGAGCAACCCGTCGTAATCGTAAGATGTAGCATATTGATCGCTCCAGCGGCTATCAGTTAGGCCAGGCCAGACATTGAAGTTTGAATTGCCAGCGCTTTCAGCTTCCGGCCTCACCGTCTGAAAAATGTCAATACCATGCGGTTGTGTAGTCGCGCCTTCTCGCTATTGACTTAATTGACAGTCCCCAACAAATCGTCGCTTGTATCTCCGCAGGGATACGGTGCAGCCCTCGGTGCAACCCTCAGGGCGTATAGCGCTTTCGGAAGTCGACTCTGTGATCAGTGATTGAAATCAGTGTGACGGTCCAAACACATATCGACTTGTGCACCCGAAGGCCACCGACTCACCACAGTCCTCGGTCCAGAACACGCCTTCAGTGATCGGTGAGTCATCACAGGTGATAACCCCCCCTCGTCTATATCCCGCACCGGCTCATAATGACGAAGGAGCTACTCGGTGGATGTCACTGGCACCGGTGTCAGTAGTGTGGAAGCCAGAGCATGACGGCAGAGAAACTCTAAATAATCCGATGCACAAGGAACGATGTAGGCGTTCCCACGGAACCACTCCCTCCCATCATCACATGGCAGCTAGGCGTGCGTCGTGGAGTACGTAGTTGGCACATAATCAACAGGGACTCTAATAAAATGATAATATGATCAGACATGTGTTGCACTAGTGTATCCGTCACAGACCGCACCTGTACCAGTCGCCAATAAACATGAGGCTCGAGCCATTGGTGTGACCCAAAGGAAAAAAATTAGCAGCTTCAGCAATAGGTGCCAATCATGTCGATCACAAATCAGGATTCGCGGCAACGGGAATCGAGATTGGGTCAGCTGGCATGAAAGGTGATCGGTGAGTGTGCGTGTAGACATCGTCAGCACTACGTGGCAACATGCATAAGAGGAGTAAGAACTGTCAGTAACCGCGTTGCTTAGCTGGCAGTGCTTCTCAAATGTTCGGGACAATGCTTGGATGATATTATATGCACTCAGACACGAACTTGTCATCTCGATTGTACACAGACAGAAATGCATTCCACATGAAGCGTTTAGTATGCGTGATAATAGACTGTGTGCTAGGTATGAACTTCACGGACTTAGGCCATGCTCGTTCGCAATCCCGAGCTCATCCAATGCCCTCCGCCCTCTTGCGACCCAGTAAGCGACTGTGGGTGGATCTTGGAACCATAACGAATTACAAGGCACGGGTTCCTTCTCCAAGGCAGCCGCGGAGACTAGCTCAGACGCATCGTTCCCCGCGGTGTCCCTATGAGCAACGTTTGTCTGTTCCTGACGGGTAGCAACTGTCTGTGGGTGCTGTCGCTGTCGCTTCTCACCCCTGCGTCTCGCCGATTCAGGCGGCTGCCCGTCTGATGATGATTCCAATTGGTTGGATACACCATGATGAGAGAGGAGGGACGCGGCAGAAGGACTAGTAGTGGCATGGGAACTGCCGCCTTTGCCCCACAGTCCTCCTGCACGGATCCACCCCGCGACGTTGCTTTGACGTTTTATCTCGTCCAAAACACCTACCACGGCGAGAAGAGTCGCGTCAAATGGCTCCGTATCCGCCTGAGCGGCACCCAACAAAGTTACACTTGGCTCTTCACTCCCCTCTCCATAATCTTGTGACCGTGACTCTGCCGTGGCAGCGAGAGAATCGAGGTCGAGTTTCCTCCTGGTACTGTCGTATTCGGGTATGCAGACATGGTTGTAAGGCTGTAGCATTGCCTTGTGTGGTGAGTCGTCGAGTAGGAGGGTGGTTAGTGCTGAGTGAAGGGTAGAACTTGATTCCAGCTCGGCGTCGTGTGTGGAGTCCAGTTCTGCAGGGCTGACTCCGAGGGGGAGGAACTTCCAGGGCTTGGACAAGTCTTTTGTGGTGACTGTCTTCTGATCTGCCATCGAGGATGCCAGCTCAGGGGAGTACACATGCGTAGAAAGGCAATACACTTACGATACTCTGTGGATGACAGCCCGAGACTCTTGCGATCCCAGACAGCCACGAGGCCATCTGAGTCGTCACCGAAGACGCGGTCGACCATGTCCTGCACGCTGTGTGGTTGTGCGGATGACCAGACCATCGTGTCCAGCCACTCCCGCGTCTCCGGTGTAAACAGATACTCGCAAAACGCGGGGATGTAAGGACGGGGGTACACACTACGGACACGCGGCGTCTTTGGTCCGAAGCGGGAGGGGCGTTGCTGAGAGCGGGGGCCGCGGAGGAGAAGGGTCCCGTTGAGGTCCAGGACGAGCAGCTTACGTGAGCTGGCATCGGGCAGGGATGGCTGGGTGGCGAGTGCGAGATACGCGGCATCCGGTCCTGTCTGCCGGCGGGACGATGACTCTGGCTTAGCTGGCAGTGGTGGTGGTGGTGGTGGTGGTGGTGACCGTGGCGCTGGCTCGGGAGAGCGGGGAGATCGAGATCGTCGGGGTTGTCTCCACGGGTATTCGGACCGGATGTCTGTCTGGTAGTCGCGCCAGTAGTCGTACGCACGCACTCCCCACCGACGGTCGCCTGTCGACATAATATTATTATTTGCTCGCCAGTACCGTCGTGCGCCCAGCAGCATCGACGCGTCCACGAGGAATGGACGTGACAGGTCACGCTCGCGTGGCAGTGACGTGTGACGTGGCACGTGAGTTCTAGATTTTTCCGCTCTCCAAGTTTTTTTAGCCAGGTTTTTCTTGTCTTCGCTCTTCGTCGTCAACACACACTCAGACTTACTTTACTATGCTGTCTTCGTCGTCGTCCAAGGCTCTCCGTCGTGCAGCGGCCAAGGCTCCAACGCCGTCCCTCACGCGTGGTGCTCACAAGGAGATCAGATTCTCCAACGAAGGGCGGGCAAGCATCCTCAAGGGCGTCGACGTCCTCGCAAACGCTGTCAGCGTCACCCTCGGTCCAAAGGGTTTGTTTTTTCTTCTGTTCGCGTGCGCGCGTCAGCTCACCTTCTGACAGGTCGCAACGTCATCATCGAGCAGTCATTTGGCGGTCCAAAAATCACAAAGGGTCAGTTTAAGCTTCACCCTTGCTTGAATGGTTCCGTCTGATTTACGTCTTCATTCAGACGGTGTCACCGTTGCAAAATCCATCACTCTCAAAGATAAGTTTGAGAACCTCGGTGCTCGGTAAGTCTCGGATCGTTCGCACGGTCAATTTCGAAAAAAAAAAAAAACTGACTGCCGCTTTCAGCCTCGTCCAGGATGTCGCGCAGAAAACCAATGAAATAGCAGGTGACGGTACAACCACCGCTACCGTGTTGGCACGCGCTATTTACTCAGAGGGTGTCAAAAATGTCGCCGCTGGTTGCAACCCGATGGATCTCCGGAGGGGCTCCCAGGCTGCCGTCGACCGCGTCGTCGAGTACCTCTCGGCCAACACAAAAACCATCACGACGACTGCCGAGATCGCTCAGGTCGCTACCATCTCCGCAAACGGTGATACCCATGTCGGCAACCTCATTGCTCAGGCAATGGAGAAAGTCGGCAAGGAGGGTGTCATCACCGTCAAGGAAGGGAAAACAATCGAGGACGAGATCGAAATCACCGAGGGCATGCGCTTCGACCGTGGCTTCATCAGCCCCTACTTCATCACCGACGTCAAGTCGCAAAAGGTCGAGTTCGAGAAACCCCTTGTCCTTCTGAGCGAAAAGAAGATATCTCTCCTTCAAGACATCCTCCCCTCTCTTGAAGCTGCTGCCCACTCTCGTCGGCCTCTCGTCATCGTCGCCGAGGATGTCGATGGTGAAGCACTCGCTGCTTGCATCCTCAACAAACTCCGTGGTCAACTCCAGGTCGCAGCCGTCAAGGCTCCCGGATTTGGTGATAACCGCAAATCCATCCTTGGCGACCTTGCCATCCTCACCGGCGGTACCGTCTTCACCGATGAACTCGATATCAAGCTCGAGAAGGCGACCCCTGACCTCCTTGGTTCGTCTGGCTCCATCACCATCACCAAGGAGGACACTATCGTCCTCAATGGAGACGGTTCTAAGGACGCCATTCAGGCGCGCTGCGAACAGATCCGCGCTCTTCTTGCAGACCCCTCGACAAGCGATTATGACAAGACCAAACTCCAAGAGCGTTTGGCTAAGTTAAGCGGTGGTGTTGCCGTCATCAAGGTCGGTGGTAGCAGTGAAGTAGAGGTTGGCGAAAAGAAAGATAGGTACGATGACGCTTTGAACGCTACGCGCGCGGCCGTCGAGGAAGGTATTCTTCCTGGTGGTGGTGTGGCCCTCCTCAAGGCATCCCTTGCCCTCGCTACCAACACCCCTGGATCGTCCAGCTCGCCGACGCGCCCCGATGCCAAAGTTGTCCCTACTGCCAACTTTGACCAGGATCTTGGCGTGAACATCATCCGCCGTGCGATCAGCCACCCCGCCCGCACCATCCTCAGCAACGCTGGTGAGGAAGCGTCCGTTATCGTTGGCACTCTTCTCAACAAGTACGGTGATGCCGAGAACTTCTCCATGGGCTACGATGCTAGCAAAGGCGAGTACGTGGACATGATCAAAGCTGGCATTGTAGACCCTCTCAAGGTCGTTCGCACTGCTCTCGTTGACGCCTCCGGTGTTGCCAGCTTGCTGACAACGAGTGAAGCATGCGTTGTCGAGGCAGAGGAGGAGAAACCTGCGGGCCCTGCAGGTGGCATGGGCGGTATGGGAGGCATGGGAGGCATGGGCGGTTTCTAAACAGGTGGCAGCACAGATGCGTTGCAGCTCCTGAAGATTGAACCCGCCGGTGGATTTTATTACTTATATTCTTATATGCTAACCGTTACGACTCATCGCCCGTGCACGCATCTTCGTCGACGCCCATATCCCCACTACCCTTCGCATTGCATTTTCATTACACGGTATTTACGTACTAGTCATAGTCATGTCCCCCTTTACTTAATCCCAATGGCATCACCACTCAGCCTGATCTTTATAGGGTTTGTGAAGCGAACATGAAGCGAGTATTTTGTCTGGTGAGCTTATCGCCGTGCCTGAAACAGCATAAGAATACTGCGAAGCAGACGTGAAGCGAATATGGGTTGGCGCGTGGTCCGTCTCATCGCCTTCCCCATTTTCTTCTATCTTGTCCTTTCTTATTTTGATTTTCTTTCTGATTCGATTACCGTTGATCCCAGCTTGCGTTTGAGACCCTCCGACATCCCAACCATGAGCGCACCCGTCGACGTCAAGCAGCAAAAGCGCGCGAAGTTCCAACAAGTGTTCAACACCATCCGCGATGAGCTCGTCGAACACATGAAGAGCGAAAACATGGCTCAGGATGCAGTAGACTGGTACAAACGTGTATGTCTTTGGTTTGCTACTCGCACAGATCACAAACATCTTCCGCTCGATAATAACCAATACGTGCAGAATCTGGACTACAATGTGCCCGGAGGCAAGCTCAACCGCGGCATGTCCGTTGTAGACAGCGTCGAGATCCTCCGTGGGCGATCGCTCTCCGATGACGAGTACTTCAAGGCTGCACTCCTGGGATGGTGCATCGAGTTCGTAAGTGGCCATGATATTCTGTGTGCGATAATACTAATTGTTGCTTTCTTCCCTGGATCTGGATCCACCATAGCTCCAAGCATTCTTCCTCGTCTCGGACGATATTATGGACGCATCCATCACCCGCCGCAGCCAGCCATGCTATTACCGCCTCGATGGCGTCGGAAATATCGCGATCAATGACTCTTTCATGCTCGAGGGCGCTATATACCATCTCTTGCAGAAGTACTTCCGATCGGAGCCATACTACGTTCATCTCCTCGAGTCGTTCCACGAAGTTAGTAGCAGTATATCTAAAAAGATGAGATCTGGCTAACCATCCGATTATTTCTTCTCCTCTTTACACCATGACAGACCACGTACAGGACTGAGATGGGCCAACTTGTTGATCTCATCACTGCTCCAGAGGACCACGTTGATCTCACCAAATTTTCTATCAAAAAGTGCGTATTCATCCGAAGATGGCAGCATCCATGACATGGCTCTGACCCTCTCTCTCTCTCTCTCTCTCTCTTGCTTTTACCCACGGCAGGCACGCGTTCATCGTCCAGTACAAAACCGCGTACTATTCCTTCTACCTCTCCGTCGCACTCGCGATGCGCATGTGCGGCGTACCAGAGTCATACACCTTAAACGGAAGGACAGTCGAGCCCTACAAGGCTGCACTCTCTATCCTTCTCCCCCTCGGAGAATACTTCCAGACCCAAGACGACTTCTTAGACTATCACGGCACACCAGAACAGATCGGAAAGATCGGGACGGACATCGTCGACAACAAATGCTCGTGGTGCATCAACATCGCACTCTCCGTTGCAAACACCGACCAGCGCAAAATTCTCGACGAGTGCTATGGTCGCAAGGACGCCGAAAAGGAGGCTAAGGTGAAGGCCGTGTATGAGGAGATCGGCCTCCCGGCTAGGTATTTCGCGTATGAGGAGGAAGCGTACCAGCGGATCACGACCCTGATCAATGATATCCCGGAGCCCGAGCCTGGCACCGATAATGGCTACTTGAGAAGGGAGGTGTTTACGAGCTTCTTGAACAAAATCTATAAGAGAACGAAATAGAACAAACCTGCTGTGTCGAATAACCTGTACTACATAGATGCGTCGATACATAGGGGCGTCATACATGGACGCTGATGGGAACCATGTGATTGTAATGACGTCAGTGGCCAAACCTCCAGGCTAAAACGCTCCAGCGTTCAGACTCTTAGGTCGCAACGCAGCATGGCTACCTACGCATCTGTCGCAGCACAAAACGCCCCTCCCCCATCTGAACAAGTGAGTCTTATGTTTCATCCTGTAGCCAGAGGACCCATCTGTAAACCTTTCCCCTATTTTTTGCTAGCCACGTCCGGATCCTTCTCTACTCAATACAGAAAGTGGGAATCCCGGCCCAGTACAGGTGGACGAAAAAGCCAAAGTTACCGTTGTCCCCAGAGATTTCAAAGAGTACCTTTCTGCCGAGAATGCGGACGCCGAAGTGCCTGAACTTATCGGTGATCCGTCAGAAGGAGGAAGAGGGGGAGGAGAGTCGGGGAGAAGACGGTCGCGGGAGACTGTAGCAGAAGGGGCTCACGTCTGGCGACAAGTGAAACGCCTTTTGTTCCGGCCTGAGGTGGCTGGCGGTCTTGTTGGATTGAGTGGGTACAATCATCCAATTCCAAAGGCTAAATCTGTTGACCCACAGCCGTGGTTGTACTCTGACTTACTATTTAGTAAACACTGCTGTTATCGGAATCGTGGCGTATTATGGATATCATAACTGGGATAGGCCGAGATGGGACCGACGGGTTGTTACGTCTGTGTCAGTTGGGTTGATAGCTCTGTGGGGAGCAGAAGGGTGAGCCTTTTTTTTTTTTCCTTTTGACTGTGGTCTCTGAGATCTTGGCTGATTTTCTTCAAGGTACATTGCTGAGAAATACAGAGAGAGGAGTAGGCACTGAAACGGCGTGCACACGCGATTTACTGTAACATATGTACATACGTTGAACATGGTCGTTTGCCCCTAAAACTGGGGGCAATTGGACATGATGCTTTACGTGAACTTCCTGATATTCTACGCCTCCCTGCTTACTTGCCTACCGTACTGTACGACTACAACTCATACCTTGGTGCATTGGACTGTCGACCAGTGCACCGGCACAATTCGACAACCAGCGGTCTGACTTACTTGGTGAACACTGAGCTGATAATTCATGAGGCCACTCTTGCCGATGAGGTCCGTATGACGGCTGATAGCGTACTGCGTAGATTTGCATCTGTACGCCATGTAACACTGCTATGGTGGCACGAAGGACATGCTTACCTTTAGCATGTCCGGCGAGTGTCGGACGATAAAGAGTGCCTCCTCCCAATATGCTATGTGACTAGCCTCGATGTAACAAATTACGGCAATTCCATAAACTCTGTACGTAGTCACTCTGTTCTGGACGCTGTTCTTTTACTTACAAGAATAAGGTATTCCCCAGGACGGAAGTGAAGCACTTGAAACCCTCCGCGAAAGCTATTCTATCCATTTCATTACACCACCCAAGAGTTGCATAATAGATTAGAAGGTCGTATAGATTACAAAGGCTACAAAGCTCAGGCCGTTAGGGCTACTACTCCGGAATGTATGTAGTACAAGGAGTAATTGAATGGAAGGAGAAGTTATGGAGACTTTCGTCGTTCACGGCACATGGGTATGAGCAGCATCTCTAACTCAGCTTCAGGTATCATGTAGGAAGTGTTGTCATGAACACTCTGGAGATTCCGTCTGAGCAGGTAAACCAACAAACTGTAAAAACCAGCAGCTGAGCCCAACCCCCCACACACATCAAAGGATTTCCAAGACTTTTGCCCGAATATTTTTGGAGGTGATGTTGGTTCCAAGTCCCGGGACGACAATCTCGTTCTCTGCAGCGACCCTCTTGTACTCTCCATTCGGCTGCTTTAGAAGAAGCAATGCGCTGAACGGCTGTCCGAGGCGGGCAATCATCTCCAGTGCCAGGGTATAGTTGTCAACTTGAAGCGCGGGGGCAGCGGGCAATGGCGCAACTTCAGCCGAATCAGAGTCAGTATGAGAATCCGAGTCATCTTCCCAGGTAATCCCGCCACTCGGACCTCGGATATAATGAATCCAAGGGTGCGCGAAAACGAGTTGCTGTGGCCCGTTCAGCGAGAGACGGTCAGCAGTCGTGAACTCCACTTGGCCGAGTCCCGATACCCTAGTACGATATAGCTTCTCATCGCTGAACAACCGGGGGCTCGAGATTGAATGGAGCATCTCGAGGCTTCTCACAGAGAAGACGATGCACGGAAGGTGTAGACGTCGGGTTGCAAAACGGGCGGGGGAGAGACGGTTGATCCTATTGAATATGGTCCGCGCTTGTTGTCGGGGCAACTTGTCACCTAATTCCTGGATACGCCTTTCCATCTCCTCCCCTTCGAGTGATGGAGGACTATGAGGAATTTGACTGTACACGGAAAGGGAAGTCGGGAGACAACTGTTGTATGATGATGACTTTCCTGACCACGCAAGTACGGTGACTTCGCCGGAACGGGCCACGATCTCCTCTAGGAGATGTCCGAGGGCATCGGCTCCTTCACCGTAGTAGGGTTTGATATCAGACTTGAATATGCCGATGAGAGAGTATGCAACGTCTTCCTCGACCATTGCACTGCGCGACGAAGCGAGACGAAGTGTCTCGCGCACCCCGAGATCGTCTGGAGAGAACGTGACGATTGTTCCACGCGGAACACCGATAGCATCTGCTAGCTCTTGCATAATCTCTGATTCCTTGTGGTTCGCACTGGTATCGCCGAGGTACAATTTCCACTCGGAATCATAGAAAAAGATGACTGTCGGTGAGAGAAGTTCCTGCAGGGTCCATGCTCGCGTCATCCATCGACTGCGCGCAAGGTCTCCGGGCTTGGACGGATGGGTTACGCTAGCAAGGAATACGAGAGTGGCTGCCGAATTCGCATACCATTTGTACATGGATGTAAGAGATTGATTAAGGATGGGTCCCGTGGTCTTGTCGATACAGCACGTATCCGACCATGCCCAGTTGTAACCAAGCCTGTGTGCCTCCTTGCAGAAATTGCGCAGCTTGTTATTCAAGGGCGTATCGGGAAGGTCCCACACGGATTTAGATTCAACTTTATTGACATCCTGGAATGACGGCTCGTTCCCCTGCCATGTGTGCGAGAACATGACATATCCGAAAAAGCTTGCAATCACTTGGAGGATCTGCTCGTTGTCCACTGCTGTCTTCATAGATGAAACAAGCTCTTTGAACGACGGATCAGCCTTGAAGATACGAATCTGCTCAGGACCGTCGCAAAGGCAACCAGTGTTGACATCAATGACAACAAGGGGACAATTTTTTACGATCCCATGAACAACAGGATCGATAGCCGCAACCGTCTCGGAAGGAGAAATGTAGTTCTTGCGCAGTTCTGCGAAACAGTTATTCAAGGTATTAACTGCATAGAGGAAGTACATACGCCTGATTGCAGGGTCATGGGACTGTTCAATAACTTGCAACATAGACTCGAAAGCATCGATCGCTTCGTCATACCGTTTTGCTCCATGAAGCGCCACATGCTTGGCATGATAGCCCCAAGGGCTGGAGGGGTCCGCTTTCACTGCCTATATGGCTATTGTAGGGAACCGACTCATACAAGAAGGATACCATGCTTACCTCGTTTGCATCCTGCAGTGCGTCCTCCCACAACCTTTTTGCTGCTCGAGCTCTGCTCCGCTTGATAAACAGACCTGCGGGACTTGAAGGCAACATAGCAGAGTACTGTGTTATTGTGTCGTCATGTTTCGCAGATCCGAAGGCTTCATCGCCATCGTGCTCAAGTGTGGTAGCGCATCTTTTGGCGAAATCTAATGACAGACGTGAACATGGACATTAACCAGACCAGCGAATAGAAAACATACCTGCGACCCAGTCTGCTGTTTCCTTGCTTGCCTGTATCTGCTCATTTGATGTCCTGATAGTGTTGAGGAGGATCTCCGTGGCTTCGGCTGCGCGTCCTTCGGCATAGAGGGTTTCACATAGATGTTTCTGGGGAATGATATCTAGCCCAATGAAACTCCACCCAAATATCTTCATGGAGGGTTTAAATTTCATAGGTAGTAACAATGGAAGACCTACAAGCGAGATCGTCACTAGCGGAGGACATTGCTTGTTTACTGGGGCTAGGTTCTTCGTACTCTCGATCAATGGTATCACACGTCCATAATTTCCCTTTCTCATGTACATAACTGCTAGGACCTACAGGATGTATCAGCAGCGATATTTGAATGCCTGCATCGCACGAGGCACGTGCCTGGGCGTAGAGGTAGGTGGCGTTGTTATCTTTGTCCTTGCTCGCTCTCGTAGCAAGGTACTCTATGCGCGTTATCGCCTCTCCTTGATTTCCGCATTCGAATACAAGGATTGACTGGGCGGAACGTAGATTAAATCTGAGAACCATCTAGATCATCTTGCGCACCTTCAGTAGTAAGAGAAAGCTGATGTCGGACAGCTCACAGTCTTGAAAAGCAAAGTCGAATGTCCACAATGCACCATCTCGATCGCCCTGGTTAAGTAGAGCGACCGCCATTGCAATATGGCCGATAGGCGATGGTCGAACCTGGAGGGACTCGAGGTACATGTGAGCAAACAAGTACATGGAGTAGTGAGAAAGCAGATTCACCTCCTTGGCGTCCCCTATCGCAGGTGCCAAATGTTTCAGACGTGCTCGAATAAGAGCGCGGTTTGCTAGCACGTAGGGGCTGGGACTTGACGCACTCGTGAGCTCTTCCGACAGCAGCACTTCGGTGTTCGTGGGGTCGTTCTGTGTCCATGATTTAAGGATCTTACCACTCATTCGTACGAGGGGAAGCTGAGAAGCGTAGAGTTGCAAGGGGATTGTAGCGTTACGCAGGGCACGAGAATAGCGTGATAATTATCAGCGATGCAAGCATCACGGGTGGGTGTACACTTACACTGTCCTCGAAATACTCGAGGGGAAGGACATCTCTGAGATTGCGAGTTGTGGTATTCCTGCCAATTCCACATGCGAGACACCCCCCGCTTGGTGAGAGAGCGACACAGTTGATCTGTGAGGTGTATGTGATAATGGTACCGATCTGCTTGTGGGACACACAGTCCCATAGTGAAATCGATGACCCTGCGGCACATGCAATGAATCTGCCGTTGGATGCGATAGATACCCGGGATTGGTCTTCGTGGATCGACCATTCCGAAGACAAGGACTTCGAAAGGTCGAAACAGGTGATTTTGCCTACGCTCGCGACGAACAATTGTTGGCCATCAGACGACCAAGCCAACGGAGCGACCGGCCATGAACTAGATGAACCTTTTTGACCTGAGTCGAACAAGATGTTGCCATTGTGGGTGCTGTGGACACGGACACCGTGAGTCTGCGAGGCAGTAGCAAATCGGCTGCCGTCTGGGGAGAACTTGACACCAGTAACATTAGTGTGCGGGACGGGAGGCAGGAGTCGGACACCAGAAGTGACGCTGAATATCTCGGCGTCGTTGTAGTCCACAATGGCAAAATTAGTACTGTCACTCGAGATATCGACCCCCAACACATAGCCGGCGCGTTCTTTGAGCTCGCGCACTTTTTCTTGAGTGGCTGCATTCCAGACGATTGCCTGTCTTTCCGCGGTCTCCAGACACCAACCACCGGCCATCCTGGGAAATGGCAAGAGAAGCGACGATGCCGTTTGCTCCCATGGTTGGACTCTGTTGTTGTCCGTCTTCAATCTTCCATCGGCGAATACCCCCCAGGTAATGTCCTCCTATGACCTGACCTTCCCCTGCAAAGGTGAGTGCGAGTACATCACTTGGAGATACAATTCTGATCTGTTTCGTATCTTAACCACCACAATGAGCCGTCAGTGCTGGCTCAGCCTCTCTGACTCCTGGTACGCACCCATCGTCATCACTGGCAAATCCGCCAACACGGCTTATCCTAAAGTTCAGAGAGGAAATACACGATACACGACCGTAGAGCTATTCACAGCATGGCAATATATATATGGTCTACGCGTTGGAGTCCTCCATCATCGACAGTCACATCGTGCAATGCGTGACTTCAAATCTTTCATCGATATCCTGATCTTGAAGAGGAGGGCAAGGATTGGTAAATCTGCAATTATCCACCCCACGCGCTGATGCACTCTGCCACGCACTCTCTCCGGACTTCATATTCTCACACTCCCCGATACCCTCAACCCTTCACTTCCTCTCACCGGGATTCGAATCTGCCCACAGAACCGGGGCCTCGCGGGGTGATGGAGCGGACCCAGGTCGCACCACCCTCCAGTAGCATTACCTATCATATCGGGCGGGTCGTTGTCACCTTCATCACTAGGTTGTTGAGTAGTCGTCTCACTGGGTGTCGGCCTGCCTCATCCAGAACGACCACCTGGATTATTAGTCCTACCACTGGTCACTGGTCGTACCACCACCACCTCTCCAGACACCCTCATCCCCCTCACAGCAGCAGCGGTAGTTGTAGGCACACTCGATGGCGAACTCCGGCTCTCCTTCATTACTCCAAGTGAGATTTGGGTCTAACAGCAGCGAGAGGCTCGTTACGCGTCTATTTCGGCTCTGGAACGATTTCAAGGATCGGTGTTACCTTCGTACGACTTGGAGGTTGCTTCGGCACCGTTGGCATCTGCGAAAGGGGCACTCGTTGTCAGGGCGGTTAGGTGTCGCGTGACGCATGATATGGCGGAAAACTATCGGTACGTGGACCTACGACTTCTGGGTTACTTTCGCCCTTTCCTTTTCTGCCTCCAACATGTTTAGGTTGCGAGGACGTAGATACTCGCGACGGATTCAGCTAAGCACGAAGAAGGGGGGGGATAAACATGGGCCTCCGCGGCAGCAGCACACACAACGCACTTCATCATTCACAGGTGTCTGATTCTTCCCTCTCAGTGACTTGGCTTCGATCGGTGCGGCACCTGACAGCAGTTGGGTTGCGGGAGCAACGGTTTGACCAACGACTTGACCGAGGTCATCATCACTCGGTGTCTCCTCAAGTTTCAACACAACCGTCCCCTCCGACGCCGCCGTTCCGGAATTCGCATTTAGCCTGGGCGTCCGAGATTGCATCGTACTACAGTAGTGGTCGGCAGCAGCACTGGCAGTAAGTGCATGTTCATTCGGTTTTCCGTCATTACCGTCATCACGTCCATCACTTTCTTTTCCGGTGGATGCCTGCAGCTGATACAGTGACCTGCGTCCCGATCACCTCACATATGCTCTGCAACATTGGTGTCTCAGCACCAGTCCTTCCCCTCCTTGCCTCCTTTAAAAACATCGACCTTGCCCCATCCCATATATTGCCTCTGCACGCCCCCGATATAGATAGGAATGCCTTTGAATAAACGGGGATGCTCTGGAGGGGATAGCCCAGGGGTCATCATTGGGACACTCGCATCTCCTCACTGCAATAAACACCTGCTGGAACAATCCTTAGCTCGAAACGTTTGGAGCCACAAATGTCCTGGAAAACGGAGGTAACGGAACGTGATCAACCTGACAGTACATGACGTTGTGGAAGAACTGTGCGGATATCACTGTAACTTAGGTATAAGCCGCTTGGTAGTTGTGGTTCAAAGGGTGTCCCTCTGAAGATGGAAGAGCGTACTGGAAAACTTTCCATGAAAGCCAATATTCCATCATTTTATGATACCGCACAAGGATTACATAGCGAGTCTGAAGGTCTTGTAAGTAGATAGCAAAGGTTGGAAAGCCAAAGCTGTTTGGGCTACTCTACCCCGGGATGTATGTATAGCACAAGTGGTAGTGGAAGAATTACGGAGACTCTAGTCTACGGCACATAAGTATGCACAGATTTCCAACTCAGCTCCAGGTATCAAATAGGTGTTATCACGAACACTCTGGAGGCTCAGTACGTCGAACGCTCAGTTTCCTCTCCGTCTCGGTCTAACAAGCACATCAACAACAACGAAAAAACGACGGATGAAGGACGAAAGACAGATCAACTATAAAAACCAGCAGCTGAGCCCCAACCCCCACACATGTCAAAGGATTTCCAAGACTGTCGCCAGAGTGTTCTTGGAAGTGATATTGGTTCCGAGTCCCGAGACGATAATCTCGTTCTCTGCAGCGACCCTCTTGTACTCTCCATTCGGCTGCTGTACGAGAAGCAGTGCGCTGAACGGTTGCCCGAGGCGAGCAATCATCTGTAGTGCCAGGGTATAGTCGCTAACATGTGGCACGGAACCAGCATGTAATGGCGAAGGGGGCGCATCTTCATCCGATCCAGCGTCACCATCCAAATCCGACTCAGGATCAAACTCCGAGCCTCCCCAGGCAATCCCACTACTCGGACCTCGAATATGGCGAATCCACGGATGTGCGAAGACAAATTTCTGTGGCTCGTTGAACGGGAGATCGCCTGCGGTCGTGAACTCCACATTTCCAAGACCCGACACCCTGGCACGATACAGCTTCTCATTGCCTCTACGCAGCCCCTGTATACTGAGTTTCCTGACAGGGAAGACGATGCATGGGAGATGTAAACGTCGACTCCAAAAACGGGCAGGTGGAAGAAACTTGATCTGATGACAAATGCTCAGGGTGTTTTCTTGAGACAACTTGCCACGTAATTTCGTCATGCACGTTTCCATTTCTTCCCCTTCGAGTGATGGAGGGTTGTAGGGAGTTTGGCTGTAAACGGAAATGGAAGCCGGGAGACAACTGTTGTATGACGATGACTGCCCTGACCATGCAAGCACGGTGACTTCGCTAGTGCGAGCCACGATTTCCTCCAGGAGATGCCCGAGAGCGTCAACTCTCTCTCCGTACTGAGGCCTGATATCGGACTTGAATATGCCGATGAGGGAATACGCGACGTCTTCCTCGACTGTCGCATTGCGGGTCGAAGCGAGACGAAGTTTCTCGCGCACTCCGAGATCGTCTGGAGAGAACTTGATAATAGTTCCATGGGGGATCTGGATAGCATCTGCTAGTTCTTGCATGATCCCCGGAGATTCCTTGTGGTTCGCAACAATATCGCCAAGGTATGGTTTCCATTCAGAGTCATAGAAAATGATGGCCTTCGGGGAGAGAAGTTCTTGCAAAGTCCAGGCTCGTGTCATCCAGAAACTACGCCTAAGGTCCCCAGGCTTGGATGGATGTGCCACGCCAACAAGGTATACAAGTGTGACTGCCGAATCCGCGTACCATTGGTACATGGATGCTGAGAGATTGATTAAGGATGGGTCCCGTGGTCTTGTCGATACAACACGTATCCGACCATGCCCAGTTGTAACCAAGTCTGCGTGCCTCCTTGCAGAAATTGCGCAGCTTGTTATTCAGGGGCGTATCGGGAAGGTCCCACACAGACTTGGAGTCAACTCTGTTGACGTCCTGGAATGACGGCTCGTTTCCCTGCCACGCATGCGAGAACATAGCATATCCGAAAAACCTTGCAACCAGTCGTAGGATCCGCTCGTTGTCCACTTCTTTCGTCGTGGACGAAACAAGCTCTTTAAACATTGGATCAGCCTTGAATATATGCAACCGCTCATGACCATCACAGAGGCGACCAGTGGTAAGATCGATGACGACGAGGGGACAATTTTTAAGAATGCCATGGATAACAGGATCAATAGCTGCAATCGTCTCGGATGGAGAAACATAGTTCTTCCGCAATTCTGTGAAACCGTCATTTACGGGCATTAGACTCGCACAGGAGGTACATACGCCTGATTGCAGGGTCATGGGACTGTTCAATCACTTGCAGCATAGACTTGGAAGCATCAATCGCTTCGTCGTACCGTTTTGCTCCATGAAGTGCCACATGCTTGGCCTCATAGCCCCAAGGGCTGGAGGGGTCCGCTTTCACTGCCTATGTGGTTGTTGCAGGGAACCAACTCATACAAGGACGATATCATGCATACCTCATTTGCATCCCGCAGTGCATCCTCCCACAACCCCTTTCCCGCTCGAGCTCTGCTCCGCTTGATAAACAGAGCTGCAAGGCTTGGAGGCAACACTGCAGAGTTTTGTGTTATTGCATTATCATGTTCTGTAAATCCGAAGGCTTCATTGCCAACATGCTCAAGTGCTGCAATGCATTTCTTGGTAAAATCTGACGACGGATATGAACGTGCACACTAAGCAGACTGGCAGCTACACGACATACCTGCGACCCAAGCAACAGTTGCCTTGCTCGCCTGGATCTCATTGTTTGATGTCTTGACAATGTAGAGGAGGATTTCCACAGCTTCGGCTGCACGTCCCTCAGCATAGAGGGTCTCACATAGACATTGCTGAGAAACGATGTCCGGATCATCGAAACTCCACCTGAATATCTTTATGCGGAGTTAGATTAACAGGCAGTAATGGCAGAAGACCTACTAGCGAGATCGTTACTAGCGGAGGACATTGTTTGTCCTCGGGGGCGAGGTTCTTCGCACGCTCGATCAACGGTATTGCACGTCCATAATCCCCCTTCTTCATGTACATAACTCCAAGGACCTGCGGAATGTATCATCGATAATACTTACATGTATGCATCGCGCGAGGCACGTGCCTGTGTGTAAAGGTAGGTGGCACCCTCATCGTTGTCGTTGTTCGCTCTTGTAGCAAGGTACTCTACACGCATTATCGCCTCTTCTTGATTTCCAGATTCGAACACAAGGATCGACTGATTGGAACGCGGATTGAATTGTGAGAAAAATCTAGGTCACCTCACGCACCTTCAGTAGTAAAAGAAATCTGATACCATGCGGCTCACAATCATGAGAGGCAAAGTCAAATATCCATAGCGCACCCTCTCTGTCGCCCTGGCCAAGTAGAGCAACCGCCATCGCGATGTGGCCAATAGGCGATGGTTGAACCCGGAGGGACTTGAGATACATGTGTGGGCAAACATGCACATGGAGTAATGAGAGAGCGGACTCACCTCCCTCGCATCCTCTATCGCAGGTATCGAATGTTTTAGATGTGCTCTTATAAGAGCGCGGTTTGCTAGCACGTAGTGTCTAGGGATTGAAGCACTATTGAGCTCCTCTGAGAGCAGCCTTTCGGTGTTCGTCGGGTCGTCCTGTGTCCATGACTTGAGGGTCCTATCACTCACTTGTACAAGCGGAAGCTGAGAAGCATGAGGATGTTGTGTGGCGCAGCGTAATGATTGTTAGCGATACGAGCTCCATGAGTGGACGTACACTTACACCATGGTCAAAATATCTGAGGGAAAGGACATCTCTGAGATTGTGAACTGTGATATTCCTACCATTTCCACATGCGAGATACGCCCCACTCGGTGAGAGAGCGACGGATTTGATCTGCGAGGTGTGTGTGATAATGCTGCTAATCTGCTTGTGAGACACAAAATCCCACAGTGAAACTGATGGGCCTGCGGCACATGCAATAAATCTGCCGTTGGATGCTATATATGCAGGAGATTGGTTTTCATGGATCAACCATTCTGAAGACGATGACGTCGATAGGTCGAAGCGGGTGATTTTGCCTACGCTCGCAATCAACAGCTGCTCGCCATCAGACGACCAGACCAACGGAGTTCTTGACCATGGACCGGTTGAACCCTGAGTACCTGAATCGAACAAGATACTGCCATTGTGGGTGCTGTAGACGCGGAAACCATCATAACACGAGGAGGTAGCAAATCGGCTGGCATCTGGGGAGAACTTGATACCCGCAATCGAATGATGTGGGAGGGGAGGCAGGAGACGGATACCGGAAGTGATGCTGAATATCTGAGCGTTGAAGTAGTCCGCAGTCGCAAATATAGTAGAGTCGTGCGAGATATCGAGCGCAGTTACCCAACCGTGGTGTTCTGTGAACTCGTGCACTTTTTCATGAGTGATTGCATTCCAGACGATTGTCCTGTGGCTGCCGTCTCCAGTACCAGTCACCATCCAGTGGCCATCTTGGGAAACGACAATGGAATGAACAGCACTAATGGCTTGCATGGTTGGACCCTGTTGCTGTCCGTCTTTAATCTTCCATCGACGAATTTCACCGTTGTCATATCCTCCTACGACCTGACTTTCGTCTGCAAAGGTGGCTGCCCATATATCACTCTGAGATACAATCTCGCTTTGTTTTGTATCTTAACAACCACAGCAAACTGTCAGTAGGGCTGCCTCGGCCACTCTGACTGCTGGCACGCACCCATTGTCATCATTGGAAAGTTCACCAACACAGCCTGTGCTGGATTTAGAGAGGAGAAGCACGATACATCACAGACTTACTTGCGACACACAACTGTACGTGGTCTATGCGTTGGAGTCCTCCAGCTATCGAATCGTCGACAGTCACATCATGTTATGCGTGACTTCAACAAAATATGATCTTCATCGATAGCGGTTGGCGGAAAGCGTCTCGGCGGATGATGCAATGCATCAGCAATTCACCGCATTCAGCGATGCACTCGGTCTCGAAACATCCTTAAGCTCCATCATAGGCACCCCCACTCGCCGGTACCATTCACTCCCTCTCACTAGGATCTGAATCTGCCCGTAAAACCGGGGTATCATGGGATGATAATACATACCCGGGTCGCACCACTTAAGTGCCCATCAGCAGGCTCGTTGACGCGTGCACCACCCCAGCAGGATAGGAGAGGTTGGATGTGATACGACAGACTAGCGATATCGTCACCGACGAACATCTCATCCGTCGAAGCGTGCATCAGCTCGACTGCTCCGATGCCTCTCGCCCAGTTCGATGCGAACAATTACGAGGTAGAACTCCTTTCCGTCGCGCCTAGATTCAGGGTGTAGGTCTAGTTCGACTCCGGCTGCATCTCTCAAGTCGAGATACCTTATTCAATCCCCAATTGTACGTATCCGAATATGTCGATGTCGATACCGTCACCAGTAGGATCCTGGGGAAGGGCATCGATCGATTATCTGTAGCATGCTAAGATAGCCGGTGCATTTTGAAGGTGGCATTCTAACCGCTGTTCGTAAGTGTGCAGGGACTCTCCCCCGACTCAGTCTTAGGCGTTGGGACAGCAGCACTGATGGCAGCCTCACCGCAGTTCTCCTTGAAGTGCCCCACTTCTACGTGTGTCCATGTGTTCTCGGTACACAATACTGTGGCAAGCCGTTGACTCAGCTCTCCCTCTCTAATCACTAGTTATACGGTCGACACGCCCGTCGGCTACGTACATCTCACTCCGGTTTTACCTCACAGTCTACATCAACACCTTCATTGCTGCGTGAGCTCCTCACCCCCTCCGCCCCACTCTCCCACCTCAGACTAACTAGCTGCACTCCCACATCGGGCACCGCCGCATCACGCAGGATCCGGTACTTCCCACCTTCGTCATATAAACGGCCTCTTTACGACATGAGTTACCACCGTCCGAGGGATGCGCCCTTGTCCCCGTCGTAGACCTCAGTTCCCAAGATATACCAACAATCAAAAACCATTACCTCCTGGATCGATTGCTTTCGTAGTCCTGGTCTTTGCACCAGTACATTCCTCCTTCGGCTTCGTGCCCGCCGTAGTAGACCGCCTCGTGCGAGTTGTTGTTTTGATAGTCGCCATGTTCCAAGATATGTCCTTTCCTGACGTCTTCATTCCCCACCTCAGAACTCATGGGAACAGCTTTCATATTCGTCGTTGAACCCGCTTTCTTCCTCACCGCAGACGTTCCAGCCTTAGTAGTGCCTGTAGCGGGAGATCTAATCGCGACGGTGCCGGCGCTCGCCCAGCACGACCCTGCTGGACCAGCAACCCCACCCTCATCTTCATCCCACTTCGCCTTCGAAGTTGGCGTGATCATGGCTGTCCGCGACCTTCTCTTCAACATAGGGGTGTCATCTTCAGCAGCATGACTCATTGTATCGAGTAGGTCGTGTCCATCCTCGTTAGTAGGTTGTTGAGCAGTAGTTTCACTCGGTGTCGACTTGCCCAACCCCAATTCCTGAACCGGAACGACCACGTACATTATCATTTCTTTTACACCATCCATATTTGTTCCTGGACGCCGTTAGGCCCAGGTCTGTAAACTTCGTGAGCAACGATCATACCGGACCGGGGGTGTACTGCCGTGCTCAAGCCTCAATACACTGCCCGACAATGACGGAGCCTTGCATTTTCAAGGTGCTAGCTTGTCTGATAAGGAAGGTCAGTGGCCGGGCACTGATCACCGGAGAATTGAGGTACAGCCGCACATCAGGGGTCACCCGTGCTCTTATAGACCATGTGCATCCGCAGCTACTCGACTCTTCGAACAAGAACCCATTCCTTGCCTCGGTGAGTATGTTACAGAATGCCGTCTGGTGCACATTAGCGGGTTTTGGCGCCCTATGTCATGCTGTCCAGGTACCACTAGCGTCTCACGTCGGTCCTCAACATGACGGAGGCGGCACTGGTGAAGTGCTAGGTGATGAGCGGTTATTGTCCTTTGATAAACCTCATTACGCAGCTGCCAGCCTTCACGTTGGCGACGATTACGATGATGCCCTCAGGATGAAATGGCGACTAGATGATCCTCCGAATGTAAATTCGACAGCTCACCTCGTATTTGAGACCGTTAATTCATTCCTCCAACACTGGCCAAATACACGCATGCGCAATGGTAAGTGGAGGATACTGCTGCTATATCTGCTCGTACCATTGATCCAACCCCTTTCGACTGTAGGTCATAATATTGTGCCGGGGAGCGTACCGCCTGGAACACTCTTATACCATGGAACCTGGCACTCCGGCCTTCCACCCGGCCCAGAATGGACCGCAACCGACCCGGAGCACTCCATTTTGTTCTGTAGGAATACCAATGGAGAGGATGGGTGCTGGCACCTCACTCTCATTACAACGCGGCCTCTCAAAGTCGTATATTTCGATGGAAGCAGTGCTGCCAAGGGCCCATCTGGGATGATGGATACCCAGGATATCATTGCGTGGGGAAAAGTCCAGCCGGATTGGGCATATGAAGAGCGGGACAGGATCGAAGCCTTGTGTGAATGGGGTAGAGAATATGACGTCGACGGGTTTGTAAGGTAAACATTCGTACGTCATGCACCCTGTTTCGTGTTGACTTGCATTACAGGATGGAAATGGACTTGTCAGTAGTCACGGTTTCCACTTCGTGCTATGTGTTCCTGACGGTTACACCAGCGAAGTCATGCTCTGCAACTTCACATCCAGCGTCCGTGTTGTCTCCTCCCTGACCCTTGCAAAACCCGGAACAAGTCCGAAAGCCTCCCGTATGTTTGAAGCAATATATGCCGGATCACAGCACAACTGCTATCCAGGAGAGACACGCGTCCAGCTTGATTTATCCGGCCTCGTTTCTTTCTACGATACGGAACTTGTGCCGTCTTTGGTCCCTGCCCGCTTTGAGACGGAAAGATGGACCCACCGTTTATTGAATATATCTGATGAAGGACGTCACACAGGCAAGAGCTCGTCTGGGAGAGGTCCTCTCTAGACCAGCATATCGATCTGGTAGTGGCATTGATTGGCTTGCTTTGATCCGGGTGGTCGTTGATCGATATTCGGAACGTCTCGAGTTCGTCCATTACCTCCTCAATTCGACAGGCCCGGACTCCAGCGGCTCCGATAATATTACGGACACCGCCATGAAGACGCAGGTGCAGCTAGGGAACATGCTGGCGCCTTATATCCTTGTCGATGTTGCACCACCTTCGACTCTTTCAAAGACCAAGGAAGCGGGGTTGGATGTGCTGGACTGGGCCCAGCCCAGCGTATAGATTGTGCGCGACGACGCATACAGGTATGTTAAAGGGTGGCGCCATGACGTCTTCGGAAAAGCTGTTATTGAATGCCGTGCACGATACGACGCGGGAGATTTGTCGCGTCAGTGACAAAGACTGTGGGGGCTAGGAGTTTTAGCGGGTGTGGATCAATTTATGGGTGCATGACAATGAGCAGGGACGTGCATGCGATCGAAAACATGATGAAGATATGGAAGAAAGACATCGATGAGTTGATGGCGTGGTTGGACTGGAATGCGTGGGTGAAGTGTCGGCCCGCATGTGGTCCAGAGGTATTCATTCACGACGATGCATTCAAGTATGCACATGAACTGACCCATCACCGCCACCAGGAAATGTGTTACCTTACCACCTGGCCAGTCGGTTTCCCGATGCCTCACGGGCCTTCGACCCCGGCACCCCGAGAATGGAGATCCCCGCTCGCCTTCACCTTCACAGCCACCGGTGGGTGAGGAGCCTATCCCGACCCGGCCACCTCGAGGGGGCCGACCACCCCACGGCGAGCCTGCAGAGGACTGGGAGAGGCCGCAACCGAGGTGCATACGTCGAGTGGATCCATATACCATATGATCTGTAGGATGTGACTTTCGCAATCGGTTCACAAGATGGTATGCATACGTACATATGTATATGAGATACCCTTTCTATACTGTCGTACCCACTTTCTTATATCCCTTTCCCTACCTAATGTGTCGGACTATTTCAAATGTGATATTAATGGTGGCGCCTAAATCCAAAGGGTCCGTCTCCGAGATGTGGGTGATCACTGTATTGAGGTCGATTGAGAAGCACACATACTCCAACAGGGGCAAACCCCATAGCAAGCAGTATTATATGGATACGCTGTTTCAACCCTCTATGCCGTAAACTGTACCTCCAAATCATACGGATCAACTCGAGGTATGCGACACCTTGGCCTGGGGTTTCTCCCAATTCCCTGCAAGCTGGCACCACAGTCTACCAGGGTCACCAAGGTTATTTGTAGTTGTGGGCGCCACCGACTGTGAAGGTGAAGATGATACGTCCCGAACGAGCCCAATTTCTGAATGCGTTTACGCCGGACTAGAACCAACACAGGTTCAAGTTACGGAGCTCAGTTCTGGTCTGATGAATTCGGTGCTTGACAGGCACGATACAGGCCATATTTGACACCTGGCAAGGAATGGTCGATATTCAATATGCAATCTCGAACGATGAGTGCTCATGTGGCTGATTATAGGATCAAACTCGGCAGCAGCCCGAGCAGGAGCTTCACGTGCCTTTGGAGAGGTTTCTTTCTTTTCATTACAAGCTTGCGATAGCACAGACTGCCCGGTGAACAGAGATTCCTGGGTCAATACATGCCTAGATCTGGTTGGTGCGTATGTACTTCGCGAGATGACGCCTGAACTCACCCGAGGTGTAGATATGGTCAAACTCAACCTTAGTGACGTCTAAATTCTCCTGGTGGCATTCAGCGAATGGGGGTATTGGTATTCCCATCGCTCTTGCATCATGTTTTTGCATCCCTCGGAGGTTTCGCAGCGCCATTGACGGCACATGTGTTCAGTTATAATACTGGTATGTATGTCGGTTTCAGGCAAGTTGCCTGTCCGCAATGTCTCCCTCCCAGGTTCCCCGCCCCGTCCATGTCTTGTCCCCTGACCTTGTCAGTGTACTCGAGGATCGCGTAGGGGCTACAATGCTAGCTGTCATCAAGAAGAATAAACACACCCGTTGCTTTTCCGAATCTCCTGCCTTTGCGGCATTTCACAGTGCGACACACAATTTTGGGAGGGAGGATAACGACGACATTTCGGATGATATCCTTCTGGATACCATTCGCACTACAATCCTGTTAACGACCTACAACTCTTACGAGCCCTTCGTGGCCAAAATCCTTTCAGAAACTTGTCAGGAGGACGATGTTCGAGATATGTTCTCGCCCGGTTTGCCTTACCACATAGCGGTTGCGAGCTCGACCTCGAGTCCAAAGCCAAAGTTTTTCTGCCAGTACCTACATGAAAGCTCAATGCGCTATGGTGGTGGTAACGGAGGAGAGATCTTCTGGACCTTTTCTCTCCATTACCGTCAGTTAGTGAAAATCCAAAATCGCAATGGAGACATCATTAGGACAATCCCTGCTGCCATGGGGTCTTCTGAGATGGTCCGTCTGCGGAATGGTTTGAAAGTGGAAAATGATCACTTGAATATCATGTTAGCGGGTATGTCTTGTCACTCCAAGCTCGGATGTTTTCATTTTACCGTGACACTGTCGTTCAGCGGGAGAGTGGGCCACCTCTCCGGTTGCTGTCGATTTTATCCCGCGAGTATCGCACATTCCTACTCACGCACACTCTTCGCACTCACATATAGCAAGGTTGAGACGATATTTATGGTGTTTACTATGTCCGCAGTCGATATGATACGGTATATGGAAGAAGAGTGGGAAACCCTGGTTGCTTTCATTGAGACAGGTGAACTCCCCCCTGGGATGGGATCAAAGACGTCTGGAAATACCTTAAAGTAGTCATTTCCCTACCAGTTGGCAATTGTTCCTGGACGCCGTCAGGCCAGGTCTGTAAACTCTTTGTTGCCAACAATCATTCAGCGCTTTAGGACCATTAACTCCAGTCACGTGGGCTCAGGAGGTGGGAAAAATTGGGGTTTTGCAACCGTTATGTCATGGAATGTCATGCAGATGACCCGGTCGTGGACCACCACAACGTGATTTTGCATGATTGCCTACGCTGTCAGATGTGTGTGGGTGCCCTCCATGGTCATGAATGTACTGCTACTTGTACGACGCTATTATATGTGTTTCAATAGTTAAAACATGCCTTGCCCCTGTACTGCAATCAGCTACTTCGCTAGGGAGCAGTGTCGCAGATGCCAGAGCTGTGCGAAGAAGTGTTACAAGTCATGCGGCTTTCGGTTCATCTCCTGTGAGGAAACTAACCACCCACCCTTCGCATGCAGAACCTAAATCCGATCCCTCAAAGGCCTCAATGATCGGGGGTGGTTGTTGCTCGACTTCACTACTGTTCCCCGCCGCGGTGCAGACCCCATAGCAACGTTCTATCGCTTGGGTATCGTCGACGCTGTCTGGACACTCGGAGGACAAGTCTGCATGTCTACATCATTATGTGTGCCACCAAATGATCCTCCACATCATTGAAGATTGCTCGTGCATCCTGCTGAGACCAAAGTTACCACAACTGACCAAACCACAGATACATTATCTGCCATCCTACATAGATGAAAATTTGCTGCCTGCTTTTTCCAAATGCGTCCAGGAACGCCCGGAGGGCTTTGATATGTGCGGCCTCCAGGCTATTGGTGTGCAGAGGAAGAAATCCCGACCTTGACGTCATTACTAGTTTTGTGGTACACACGATCCATCGGTCGGGGTCTCCCCTGGGAAAACACCAGACTCGACAAAAGACAGTCGTTTCCTCCCAACTATGCATCCGCCATGAACTAAGTAACTAAATATACAGCGGGCGCTTTTCGAGCTCCATTATGATGGAGCCTTTCGCTAACTGAATGTTATCTTATCTCACTACATTCAACGCCAACAATCGTGAGCCATGGCAGACAAGCACATCTTCTCCTCTCCCGATGGGCTTGTACTTGCATCTCTCAAGGGTTCCGTCGCTTTGAATCCAACGCTTCGTCTGTGTGTAAAATCAGTGTCCTGTTCACCCATCTGACCTCGAGTCCTGACGTTCTCCATCCAGCCATCCGTCTTCTCGAACTGTATACACCGCGCGTCCGGATCCTTCCGTCCACATTGCTGTTGTCTCTGGAGGTGGAGCAGGTCACGAACCTGCCCATGCTGGGTTCACCGGACGCGGCATGCTCACTGCCTCAGTATCGGGCGATATATTCGCCAGCCCCAGTGCAAAGCAGATCCTCAACGCCGTCTTGCTTGCCGCATTCGCAGGTTTTCCTCCTCCTTCAGATCCTAAAACCGCCCGACCCAGAGATGTTCTCGTTATCATAAACAACTACACAGGTGACCGTTTGAATTTCGGGTTGGCCATCGAACGTGCCCGCGCTAGATACCCGAATCTGAACATCGCAAGCGTATTAAATGCAGATGACGTTTCCCTTCTTCCACAGGCGGCGACAAAAGATGGTCAGGAGCAACCTATAGTAGGTCCACGTGGCCTAGCTGGGAACATTCTCGTCTGTAAGATGCTTGGAGCGTACACTACATTCGGTGCAAAGGGAAGTGGGTAACCGAGTCAATCCTGTGGGTAGGCGGAAGGTTGCTTATTAGTTCATCCCCCAGTCTCAACTGAATCCCAGCAACCTACTTTCGTGCGTGCTAAAAGGCTCGGTGATGCACTCGCTGCAAACTTGCGCAGCATAGGCGCAGCCCTTGGGCATTGTCACGTTCCTGGGAGAAACGCACATTCTGGTGTGCACGATGTGTTTTGTCTAAGTCATACCATTACACCTCAACCTTTGACGTGGATATTTTTTAGGCACAGAAATAGTTGAACCGGGACTTATCGAGCTTGGTTTGGGTCTACACAACGAGCCTGGCGTGCGGCGTGCACCACTTTCTTCACCTACATGGCTTGTTTCTGAAATGATTAAAATGATTCGCTCATCAGGGAGCGGATGGATGGGATCCGAGGTCAGTAGAAATGGAGGTAAGTGTTACCTGTCTGGGGTCACTTGCAAGTGTGGCTGAGCTCATGATCCTTCTACAATTACCTGGCAGCCGTTTTCGATCCTGCGGAGGAGTGGATTCGGCCTGGTGATGCAACAATATTATTCCTTAACAATCTTGGAGGTATCTCCCAGCTCGAAATGGGCGCTATCTTGGAGATTGTCAAGAATGAACTTGGTGTGTGGGATATGCCTGATGCCCTACCTTCTGCACTGGTGATCATCTGACATCGTAAATTGTTAATCCCCTTCGTTAGCAACGCATGGCATACTCGCGGTGCGCATCTACAGTGCACCTTTCATGACTTCATTAAACGCCCCTGGTTTCTCGATATCACTCGTCAATGTCACGCGTGTCCACGCACTCGTCAATGGTGAGTTGTAACTGCGCTTTCCCCTGGATGTTTTTCCCTTCAGACATTTGGCAGCTGATCTTTTCCGCTCAGACCAAACTCCGGGAGAAGAACCAATCGATATCCTTGCACTTTTGGATGCGCCTACTGATGCTCATTCATGGATAGCAACGCGGAAGTGGGTTCTGGAGCCACAGAGAATCGCAGACGAGGAGCTGGAAGCGGAAGAGACTCTGCAGGCCATATCACGTGTTTCAGCGGGCGTACCATCCTCCAACCCTCTAGTCGCCTCTACCTCCCAGCCCTGGGAAGCCCTCGGCTTCACCCCTTCAGAAGTAGAGCGAGGTATCCGAGGCGCTTGTAACGCACTACTTGGAACAGAGGGCGAATTGACCAAGTTTGACACGGCATTTGGCGATGGGGATTGTGGAGAAACGTTCTCTCGTGGTGCCAGATGTATGTGTGTAGGTTCCTCGTCTCTCATTTGAACTTATCTTATCCTTCATGTACCGTTCTTGGCGACCGCATGTTACCTAGCGGTCCTCTCCGGCCTCGATACAGGTATACTAAACGTTCGTGCCTCGCCTCCAGCCGCATTTTTGGAGAGAGTTGGCGAACTTGTGGAGGAGAGTATGGGGGGAACTATCGGAGCAAGTGGGTTGTTCACAGTACTTGCCATGTATATGATTGCCTGATGCATTGAAGTCTTCTCCATTTTCTTCGCAGCATGGTCCACGGCTCTATGCACCGGTCCGTCGACGGATCCCGCATTGGTAAAGGTTTCTGCTCTTCGCAAGGCACTTTCCGCTCTCAGCGCACATACCCCTGCCCGGCCAGGCGATCGCACCATCGTCGATGCGCTGGCACCCTTGTGCGCACCTGAAGTACCCCAAGTCGCCGCTACGGACAGGAATGTGCTTCTCGAGTATACTGTCCGTGTCGTGAAAGAGGCTGCAGAGTCCACGCGACACATGCGTGCCCGGTTCGGACGTGCGGCGTATGTCGGCAGAGGTGGAGAATGCGAAGCCAGCATGGCAACGGAGGAATTCCCTGACCCGGGGGCTTGGGGTCTTGCAGCTCTTGTGGATGGGTTTGTAAGGGGCGTACAGGACAGGCAATCTTGTACCGGGTGATGTACGGAGGCGCTTTCAAGGTAGTCTCGTCCAAGAGCCGTGTCTTATGTACTTGTTCTCTATAGTGCTTCGACAAATGCGTGAATGCTACTTCCGACGTACAGAGGGTATAGGTTGCACCTGAATATCCTAACGTACGCAAGGGATATCAACACCAAGTTGCCCGTGGAGCGCCAGAGAAGGGCCCAAGCTGCCAGTGGGTTCTCTGAATCTGTCTAATACCTGCTTTGCTTGTTCCCCTGGTATGCTCAATTCCGGCATGGAAATCTTGAGGTCTGAGGTAGGTACTACCCAAGTTTCAAGCACAGTCAACGACACCAAGTTTGACCGACTGCCATATTCTCTCTGACATGCACATGCATCGATCCGAACGTATTCTTAGCATCTTTTGGTTGCAAAATATACGCATGAGAGGACTGGCAAACTCATTGGGTAGTCAATTGGAGCCCCTGTCCTTCTTTCTGCGTCGAATACATGTACATGACGCCACTGCAGACACTCGCAGGAATAGCTTCGACTCAACTGAAGCTTGGGAATCGAGTATCCACGACGCTTGGAAGCTCAGAAACAACAATCAAATGCAAATACATAAAAGCATTTTCTTTTCCACGATGGGCCCGAAGTCTGCTCGTTCAGTGACGATCAGATGTTGTAACATACCTTTCAATCTGTAGGCATCACACATCGAATGTTCAAGGATGGGTAGGAAAAGTAAGCCTCTGTTAATGCAAGGGACGCTGGTTAAACCGCAAGCCAGAATCGCATAAAGCAGCTGTACCACATCGAAGCAGTAAGTCTTGCCTCTCACACTGGTCCAGAGCAAAACAGCTTCACGTGCAATGTAGAGCTAAAGAAGGAGCCTGGCATTCCAAAACTTCCTGACCTCAAACTTCGAAATGCGGAAAAGCACAAGGTGTTGTATACTGAAATATGTAAATGGGCAGGTTGCTTATTCCCTCCCCGAAGACGTCGCCTCCAACTCGTCTTGATCCAGACGCTGTGATGGCTTCTGAACCAACGCTAACTTCGTTAGCAAAGCTTGCCTCTGAGGTCGCACAGGACTCAGGCAACCAACCTTCCGGCTCCGCACCGTCGCAAAAGACCAAGGAGCAAATTAGGAGACATTATGTGCGCGCACTTCACAAGGTGGTGGACGAAAGCGACATTATTATCCTCGTCCTTGATGCCCGCGATCCAGAAGGCTGCCGGAGTCAGCTTGTGGAGGAAGAGGTTAGAAGACGCGAAAATGAAGGCAAAAAACTTGTTTTTGTGCTGAACAAAATAGGTAAAATCTGACAGCTGGGAGTCTCTGCGCCTGATTCGATTATTGGATAGATCTCGTCCCTCGGGAAAATGCCCAACAGTGGTTGCGATATCTGCGGCACTCGACTCCTACCCTTCCGTTCCGCTCTGCCTCATCTAATCAGAGGTCTAACTTGTCCTCTGCTACTGCCCCGGCTCTTCTACGACTCCTCAAGTCTTACAAACCGGCGGCACAGAGTGCCACAGTTGGTGTCGTTGGGTTCCCCAACGTTGGTAAAAGCAGCCTTATAAACTCGCTTAAACGATCCAAAGTCAGTTATTTGTGCATAAACTGTACCATTCCTTTTGAGTGGCGACTCTGCCTTGTCAGGTCTGTGCAGTTTCGGCGCAGGCTGGCCACACGAAGGAGCTTCAAACTGTGCAGCTCGAACGTGGGATCAAGATCATTGATTCACCTGGTGTCATATTTGACGAAGATGACCACGAGAGCGGTTCAAGCCAGCGACAGAAGGGTAGCGTATTGCTCCGTAATGTGGTCAAGGTCGAAGATATCGAAGATCCCATTGCTGTCGGTAGGTGACCATTATCATCGTAAGTTTCTCATGGGCCGACTTGGCGTGGCTACAGTGGAGGAAATCCTTGCACGTACTGAACACGAAGTATTACGGAAAATCTATAACCTTCCACAGTTTTCATCCACGCTGGAATTCCTCACTATGCATGCCTTAAGCAGTGGACGGTTACTCAAGGTAGGTATTCCAATCTACTGCACGACTACGCCGATATTTACATTCGAGTAGGGTGGAACGCCTGACATCCTAGGAGCGACTCGACAGGTCCTAATGGATTGGAATCACCAGAAAATTCCATACTTCTCCATTCCGCCGAACGTTCACCCATCATCTGTGCCCTCAACGATTCCAAGCGCTGGAGATGGAGTTATAGCTCCCGGAGCTGAGAATGTTGGGCTGGTAAAAATCGTGACAGGATTCTCCAAGCCATTCGAGTTAGAAGGCCTTTTTGAGGCTGCGGACGCAGGCGCCTTCGATAACCAACGAAATGCGGGAGAGGTGAACATGGAGGAGGCTTCGATGGCCCCTGGATACCCTGAAGGGTCTGAAATGGTGGTTGAGGAGGCTGCCCATGTACCTCAGAAGAGGAGGCATTCTCCCTCTCCAGCAAGCGAACGACTTTCACAAGCTCAAACTCAGGCGTTTTCCGCAGCCACAACACGTATACCAAAGCGGTTTAGACGAGCCAAAGACCTTTCTGCATACGAAGAGGCTGCCGGGCGCAGTCATCCACTAAACAGGAAGATGTTGAAAAGAGACGCAAAGCGGGCTAGAAGAGCAGCGGCTAGGTCCCGGAATGCACAAGAGTCGGGTATGGAAGTTGATGATCTGGGCGACACATTTATTGCTGGCGTGGAAACGTAACGTGCGCGGGGTGTACACTTCCATGCGCTGTCCGCAGTTTTATTTTGGTTAGGATCAACACAAATTCCACTTTGTCTGGCCATGGCACCGAAAAGTAAATTTCGCAGTGTACCATTTTGCAGGAGAGCAGCTGAATACAAAGTGATGACTGGTCAGCTGCCGAGACCGACGTGTCCCCATGTTAGGTTGTACATTTCGATTAGTGACACGCTATGGCAACAGCCGCAGGCATGTATTTGGGAGGTCGGAGCTTTGATATTACTACTCTAAGCCCAGGACTCACTGGGTCACCGGGAAGGTAAGAACGCATGAAAATGACCTCAGTCCGCAGCCCCACTTGGACTTCTAGTTCAATGCTAGATGCCCTAAGATGTTCAGGTGAGAACCAGAATGTTACATTGGCCCCTTCTACAAGTCCCGTCTATGCAAAGCGTCGGTGAGAGCCGTAATACTATGACAGTAATCACTGTTCGACGTTGTTTCGGACGTGCGATTGACACATAGCTAGTAACAGTACCCATCCCTTCCTAACCAATATCTATAGCAAACTACACAAAGGTATAACCATCCAGTTAAGTCAATACTTGGTGTCTGAGGAAACAAAAAGTGCTACACTACAATTTGGTGTTGAGCTGTGATTCAGAAGATCCCGTTTTCTTTTCGAACAGCTCCTCGATTTCTTCTAGGCTTTTCTCCTTCGTTTCTGGCATGAATAGGTAACAGACAACACTTGTAAAAAATGTCGCAGAACAAAACAAGAAATATGGACCACTGGGGGAGGCACGGAGGAACATAGGAGCAGTAAGGGTGACGGTGAAGTTCACCATCCAATTCGCAAGCTGGATGCCCGCATTGGTTAGCCTGGGCCTATATCCATGAACGCCCAACCCACCTGCTGGATAGCGCAGGCTTTCGCACGAAGACGCGTCGGCATAATCTCACAGGCGTATACTTTGATGACCTGCTTTCTGCGTTGAAAAAGAAGTCTGTCACTGAGGAAAGGACACTGACCACAGCCCACGACCAGGCGAAGTTGCCGATGAATATGTAGATTAAGGCGATAACGGCCCATTGCGGAGCTTTCCCGTTGATACGAATCTCACCGTTGACTTTTTCACCATAAATCGCATAGAGAGTGCCGATGCCCAAGTAACAAACAGACATTGCCAAGCCGCCACCGATGAGGGGAATTTTACGACCCCATTTGTCCACCCATAATTGGGCCGGGATGGTACACAGTAAGTTGACAATACCAGATACGCCGGACGCGAGAAAAGATGCGCGTTGAGATGGGAAACCTGCCTGAGCGAACAGAATTGGCGCATAATACAGTACAGTATCAACCTGCGGTGGAAATGAGTGAGCGCAAACACTAGAGGAATAATTTTTACCCCAGACAACATCATGAAAGCCATGATAAAGATACCAAGGGCGCTCCGTCTGATATACCTTTTCGCGAAAACCTCACTGAACGATGCTTGCGGCGTGCTTCGGTCTTCAAGGCTTCCCCTGATGCTCAGGAGTTCATCCTCGACATCCTCTGAGTCCCTATATTTTTGAAGCACAGACTTTGCTTCGTCGAAGCGACCCCGTTGCACCAGCCATCGCGGTGAGTATGGTACGAAGAGCATCCCGGATGCAAGAATGATCCCATGAGCCGCTTCGACGATAAAAGGAGTACGCCAAGCAAGGCTGCCGTGAAGTCGTGACGAACCATACGCAATGAAGAACCCAGCGGCGATCCCCACAGTGATGAGCATCTGTAACATAGTGGCTACAGTGCCGCGAATCCTGTGGGGCGCCAATTCACAGAGATATATGGTAACTACGGATATGCTCTGGCCTTGGCCGACTCCGGTAATCAAGCGGGCACAGAGCAGCATGGGGTAGGTAGTCGCAGAGGCCGATAGGATAGCCCCAATTGCAAAAATGAGACCGCCAGTCATGATGGCATACTTGCGAGATAGGAGATCAGCGACGTAACCACTGCACAGGGACGATATCGATGCGGAGAGTAGGATGCAAGAAACGTATATGCCCAGCGTTCCTGTTGGGAGGCGACCGATAGACTCGTCAAATTGTGCCATCTGAGTGATAGCACCAATTGAACCTGACATGGCGCATGACTGAGGAAAATGCTGCTATCTTCGAGAAATGTTTACCTGTGTCTAGTCCCCATAGCATACCTGCTATTGAAGTATGGACCGCAATGAGATAAATTTTTACGGTGGAGGACACCATAGTAACTGAAGGCGTGCTTGTGGGGAGGTAAAAGAGGCTGTTTTCCCGGTGAAACCCTCTCAAGTCGCTCGTATTTCAATGCTCTGGCTGGAGGGCCTAGCATCAGCCCATCCCTGGAAAATTCTGTGAGAGCGATAAACTCCTACCATTACCAGAACCAAGGTTCGCCCTCGTAGCGGACGCGAATATTAATAGAAAGATGCATCTTTACGTTCGAGAACACATGTACTAGTCTATCCACGAGTTTAGATGAGTCAGGAGTTCCTGCAGTGAAAACCTCCTCGGACGTACAAGCGAGATGGTAGACGGCGACAAGGCAATTCAAACTGGCCTGCAGGCAAATGTAAAGAGACGTGTCTCCCTTCCCATTGACACATTTTACGCTAGACAATATCTATCCCGTATTGCGTGTCATGGCAGGTGCGGGTCAATAAATTGTGGTTATCGTGCAAGTAGGTGTTAGAGTTTCGAAATTCGCAGCACTCTGTAGATATACTTCATAGACGTTGCAAACTTACCGTCGTTCTAGCCTCAACGTAACCCCTCCTCCGACTTCAACAGGTGATTAGAGGGCTAAAGCACCCGCAAAGGACCATATTGACAACAGGGTGCTCCCGTTTGGAATTATTCGCAGCCTCAAAATGGTCTTGGCGTAATGAAGAACCCAGCGGCGGCAAACTCTTGTAAACTTCTTCTACTGCCGAACAAAAAGATAAGGATATCCCTAGGAGGCGGTTGGTTTTCAGCTTCTCGTTCTGTTATGTCTGAATGTGTTCTACTAGACGTCCAACGCGGTTTGGAGCTACATCTAGTAAGTTTAAGCACAAGCAGTACTTACGACATTTTCTTTTTTTTTTTTCGACAACTAAAGGGCATGGTCACGAAGCACGCTATGACAGAGCCACTTGTTATCCGAACTTCTCGATTCAGAAGCTTTCGGGAGGATTTGCCTGGTATCTGTCTTGCGGACCATAAATCCGTTTCTGCGGAAGTTAAGAAACCTTGTATCCCTGATGCGGCCTGCGCGAGGGTCGACCACCTCGGTCAAAACTTCTTCTTCGAGGGTCTCCCGAACGAGTTTATCTCTCACATCATGTACGTCTATCACCGAGGGCTCATATTTGAATTTTGGAACCTAATCCAGCTTCAGATGCGACTGCCGCCATAAGAACATGTTCTTCGTGATTTCTAGTCAGCATATGCTTCCACTTATCTCAGAGCCATCACATCCGCAACCAACGAAAGTCGGCCGCCGTAGCATGCCATACATTATATCCTACGCGCTGTGTCAGATTGATCTTCCGTAAGAAGATAGAGCGGATCATTCCGGGCCTTCCTTTCCATTCGTAACGATGCTTTCCCCTCGGGCAAGCTAAGGACCCACTTTGCGCTTGCTACCCAGATGTTTGAGCCATTCCAGGCCTAACGCAGCTAGGCCATATTATCAGGATATACTTACAAGTGGACGCAGAATTCTGCCTCGATGAACAGGCGAACTTTACGCTACATCCGAAGCTCTATACCGAAGTTGAAATGAAAATGCACTTGTTCTTGACTATCAAAGCAGGACCGGAAGTATGATAGGCAGATAATACGCAATCGGAGGTGCGCTATTTGTTTTGAATTGCGTTACGGCTGAAGTCGATAATTTTTGGAATCTGCGCCATGTACACCCAGATAGCTATCACGCGGCACCCCTGACGGCGCCATACTACAACAGATCGAATCAGGGGTTCATGTCGACGGGGATGTAGCGTGTGCCTTTCCTGTGCCTTGGTAAGTCTATGCAAGTCTGCAAATAACCATGACTTCAAGTGCTAATACGACGCTTATGTATAAAGTAGACAGCTAAGGATACAGAGCCAGAAAAGTGGATGCTTGGCGCATACACTACTTGATAGTGTTAGGGCGTGGCACAGTTATGATGCGTGTAAAGAAGTAGTGTGTGCAGTCGGACAGGAAGTGTCTGTGCGTATGTGCATTTTCACTGCAATTGTCCCCAAGACTAGGGACTAGATCAACGAAAACATTGGGAAGATATCGGTAGCATTTGAGTTGAGGCACTCTTCGACACAAGGTTTACGGTAAGGCGAACAACCGATACTGGTAAGATTCGTGGTACTTTGTACAAGAACAATTAATTTCAAATTCCCTGCTTCTTCGTTCTTCGAGGTTCAAGTCCATTGTGCGACTCGTCATTCTCATGGCAGCCCGCCCAGAAGTTAGATAACATGTCTAGGTGATAATCAACGCATACCTTGGAAAACAAGAATCGGTCACCTCTTCGGCGGAGTCGAAAATTATAGGATCTTCCGGTGGTTCTAATTCTTTAAGACTTAACAGTTGGGGTGCTGAAAGGACATCGAGCGTTCCACCCTGCCGGTACGCGAGTCCAAACTCATCGTACAGTAAACAGGATACCTACCTTGGGTAATCATCGATTCAATTTCATTCACTGAAGGTAAATATAGTAAGGAACCCAGCATCTTAAAGGTGGTAGATTGTTCAGGATATTTTGTCCTCGGCCTGAACGAGAATTCTCCCCAGTGTAGCCAAGCTGGATCGGCCCGTTGCACGCATGCAAAAGTAACATTTTCATACCAACAATCAGAGGACCTTCGATATCTTCGACTTTGACTACATTGTGCCCGCCACGTACAGTAGAACAGGCCATAGTGTACATGGTACTGTAGATACTCGCGTTCGGACTCGCCATAGAAAACCCTCGAAATCGGCATGGTTGTGAGAGTGTGATCTGTTCCATTGAGAGTGGTCGGAGCCAACCGGTGAGGACACAGCCACATTAGGCTTAGTCAGACGGAGGTAAGATAGGGCTCGTGCACACGCCACAAATCTAACGTGACCCGACGTGATTCTGATGTGACTTTATCATCAAGAGCAAATGACAGTCGCAAATATTTGTTTTGTCTCGAAAAAATTACACAGAGTTCTTTATTTTTTAAGCATCTACAACTCTGTGCAGTTCAATTTTCAATAAAATGAGATGTGCAAGTGCTATTAAGAAAGTTTGGCCATATGAATGCCATTATGGCATGTCGGATGTCGCAAATTTCTTGGGCACGTGATAAGAACCTTATAATACATGTTAAGGGTGGCTGTTCACACTTCCATTATAACCCATTCCAATGCCACCCATGTGTCATTGAAAGATTGCCAAAAATGGGTATTTGTACATATTATTTTACACATTTGCACTATATCTTAGATAAAATATCACATATTTGCTATAATCTAGCCAAACCTGACCATTATAATGGCAAGTGGTCCATTACATGCTGCTTACAATGGGGGCACATGACAATGGACCAAATAAATTTGCGACAGAGTAGGTGCATGGGTGACACAGGTGGTAAAGCGAAATATAATGTAGGAGGCTGGAAAACAAAGTGAGAATTCCAAATTTTATTGAGCAATGTTCAACAGGGGCATGCAAAGTGGATTTACCATCAATACCCTTCTTCATCAAAGGAAGTGGACTTGGGGAGATTGAATGTGGTTGACACACTGCAATCAGTGACACTTGATCACATGCAAAAGTAAGCCCCTAATCCCTCAGGACACTTTGGGTATAAACTCACGTCACACGTGCTAGATATGCACACCATGCAAGATGCTTCATGGACGCTTATCACATGGGGTTGACAGGAAGGAAAACAGCATGGGCGAGCAAGAAATACTGAAGCCATTGAGTCCTCTCAAACTCAATTCTTGATGAACTTAAGAAGGCTAATGTATCATAAATTTAATACAGCACTTTGTGTTCCTATCGGCTTCCTGTGTCATTATTCTTAAATATCTAATACCTACTGGTCATGTATTTACACAAGGTGCCTGCCATGCAAAAACGGCCTTATTCTAGTACCTACTGGTCATGTATTTACATTTTATGACAACACTGGCAGTAGTATTTCATTTCTTGCTGCATAGTAGTCCAGGTCACATCTGGTCACAGCAGGTCACAAGTGTCACAGGTTAGTGGGGTGTGCATGAGCCCTATCTTAGACACGGACGTGGACATGTTCAGTAGATACATGATCCTCACAGAAATCTATAACGAGATCTCAGTCGAGTGCATGAGCGGCAAACATCTATATTTGCATTACCTATAACAAGATCTAAGGTAACGACGTGAGCGCAAAGTACATGAACACGGAACAAGACACTATACCCACCTCAGTCGAGTGTGCGAGCGGCAAACGTCTGAGGTGGTGTTACTACAGTAGCGAGTTAAGTACGCTATACGAAACAAAAGGGGTGAGACACGGGTGTTGAACCCGGTGTTGAAACTACAAGCACGGTCATAGCGCAAGTCCTTGTACCATTAATTTATACGTATGAAACATTTGAAGACAATAAAACAAAAGTTACTGCGCTGTATTGTCAGCGCTCGAGAACGACTAAGTATTGTGGTCTTGTAGACCTGTAAACAGGAAGTGTTTCCCACGGTAAGGAAAAGTAGCGTCAATTAATGAATGAAGACTACGAGTGACTTGCCAAATCTAACACTCCCCCTCAAGTCGGATGTAGGCCGAGTTCAACTGCAAAATGCTTCACCTTTGGAGACAGAAGCACCTTCGTTAATGTATCGGCAAGCATGTCTGCGGTCAGGCAATATATGAGGCGAATTTTGCTGTTCTCTACGACCCAGCAAATGAAGTGAAAACGGATATTGATGTGTTTGGTGCATGCGTGATACTGGTGGTCTTTGGTGGGCATGATGGCTGATTGATTATTGGAAAACAATGTGGTTGGCTTGATGAATGGCTGAAAAAGCTCTCTGATGAGCAACCGAAGCCACAAGGCCTCCTTGGCCATGTGTGTGGCTGCCACATACTTGCTCTCAGTCGTTGAGAGCGAGACAATTTCCTGTCTTTTAGAAGACCACAACACCACTCCGCCATCTATCAGAAAAGCATACCCTGAGACCGCTCTGTGGTCTTCCGCCATACTGCCATCTGCATCTGCGTACCTGGTCAATGCACTTGGTGATCCCCCATATGTGAGTCACAAGCCCTTCATCCTGAGAAGGTACTGATAAATTCTCTTTACAGCTTCCCAATGAGCGATTCCAGGGTTGCCCAAGAAATGTGAGACAGTTGTTATGGCATATGAGATGTTGGGACGAGTGGCAAGGGAGACGTACATGAGCGATCCTATGGCTTCTCGATAGGGTACATGGCACATCATAGTGAATTTGGCACCAGTTGATGGTGACTGCCCAGAATGCAGTCTGGTGCTGGGTTCCATTGGGTTTGACACAGGCTTGAGCTCGTCGAAGCTGAAGTGTCATATGATGGACTCGATGTAGGGGCATTGGCACAGGGAGATGGTACGTTCGTCTCTATTTCTGGTTACTTCAATGCCCAGCAGCCAGTGAAGTTCCCCAAGGTTGGTAATCTCAATGTATTTCCTGACGTTGTGCTTAAGCTCCTCTATCTCATTTAGGGACATTGCAGCGATGGTGCAATCATCAACATGGATGACAATGATGACAAGCTCACCGGTGGTGCATCGTCTGAAATAGACGGCCTGGTTGACTGAGCACTGGGTAAGGCCCAGCTCATCGACGAGGATCTCCACTAATCTTTGGTACCAGCGACGGCTGCTCTGCTTCAAACCATACAATGTCTTTTGGAGGCGACAGACTTTATTGGGGTGATCAGTGGACTCAAAGCCTGGGGGCTGCTGCATGTAGGTAACCTCATCATTGGTGAGTGTGCCATTCAGATATGTGCCTTTGATATCGATCTGATGGAGTTCTAGGTTTGATCATGCTGCCATGGCAAGGATGGTTCGAATGGACATGAGCATTGCGACTGGGGCGAAGGTATCGAAATAATCAATGCCTTCGACTTGAGAGAAGCCTTGAGTGATGAGTCAAGCTTTGTACTGTACTACATTTCCAGCAGCGTCTTTCTTTGCACAGAACACCCATTTGGATCCAACTATGTTGGCACCACAAGGTGCATCAACAAGTTCCCAAGTACCTGCCCCATGTAATGTTGCTAACTCTTCTCTTATCCCAGCCTCCCACTGTGGCCAATCTGGCCGATGACGAGCCTCAGCTAGTGAGGTGGGCTCAAGGGCTTCAGACTCAGCAGTGACTTCGTTCATGGCCATAGCGAGGTTGATATTGCAAAGGGTGTCGTCAGGATCGTCTATGATGGATGCAAGCAAGGCTGCGGCTCTGTCCTCCCCCTCAAGCCTGGTGGGATCAGCTTTGTCTTCGACTGTGGTGGGGAGCTGGACTCCTTTGGGTATGTTGGGTATACCGCGACTGTTAGTACTGCCTTTACTGGCAAGGATATCAGCAAGTCGTTGACTGGGCTTTCGAATGCGCTTTGCAGTGGGTGGGTTGGCTGGAAGAGATGGGGGTATGGGATGGTCTGGAGCAATGGATTCTGGAGCAACAGGTGAGAGCAATGGGGCTGTGTTGGTCACTGCAATGGGAGCTGGAGGCATTAACATCGTGTTTGGTAAGTACCCTTCTTCTTCCTCCCCCTTGCAAGGTAACGACTCAGCGGAGGAGGGATCCCAATACACATTTCTTTCAATTGTAACTGACTTCTTTTCAGGCCAGTACACTCGGCAGCCATTGGGGCTGTTATCGTCAATTCCAACCCAACGACCCTCGACAACACGCCCTCCCAGTTTGGTTCCTCCCTCAGCACGTACCCATATGTGCGAGCCCCATGTGCGTACCCAACTAAGGTCGGGTTTCTGTCCTGTAGCAGCTTCGAGAGGGGTTCCACCCTCGAGCGCTTTTGTGGGTGTCTGATTTTTCAACCAGACAGCATGACAAATGGCCTCACCCCATAGGGCGTGTGGTAAGCCACTCTCGTGCAGCATAGCTCTGACCTTTTCCAGCAAGGTATGATTGAGGCGTTCAGTGATGCCATTGTGTTGCGGGGTGTCATGAATGGTAAGTTTTTGCTTCGTGCCACTTCCCTTGAGGTGCATGACAAACTCTTTTCCTAGATATTCACCTCCACAGTTGGAGTGCAAGACTTTGATGACAGCGTTGTGTTGGGTGTGACACCAGGCCTCGAAGTCCTTGTAAGCTGTGAAGGCTTCGCTTTTCTGGTGAAGGAGGTGGATGTGCATGAGGCGAGTCTTATCGTCTGTAAAGGTAATGTAGTAACATCTTCCTCTGAGTGTTTCAACAGGAGCTGGTCCCCATACATCAGTGTGGACCTCAGCAGCAAACTCCATGGCGACGGGTTTTCTAGTGGCCTTTGCGTAGACACAGGCTTCGCAGAAAGTAGGTTCATCCTTTGACAGGTCGAATTTCAAACCTGACATGAGCCCATTCTCAGCCAGGTGACAAGTGACAGTGGGTGAAATATGTCCCATCCTGTGATGGAGTTCCATGATGGTGATGGTCTCGACCGCTGCACTTGTTCCGTCATGCACACCATCGTGGATGACTCGGTAGAGACCTGCTTGGGTCTTTGGTATGCACCCGATAACGTCATCGTTGGGACTGCAGATGGTACAGGTTCCATCAGCAAAGGTAACGGAATATCCTAACCGATCAAGATGTCCGACGGACACCAGGGTGTAACCCACTGCAGGAGAATATAAGACTTCGGTGAGTCTTAACTTTGTTACATCGCATCCGTTTGGGACCTTGATAATTAAATCACCGATTGCAGTTGCATTAAAGGATTGTTTGTTAGTGGCCATGAACGTTTTGGGCAGGATGTCAGTTAGGGACAGGAAGCGATCTTTGTATGGAGAGATGTGCCATGTGGAGCCGGAGTCATAGAGTTCTGCGGTGGTCACGCTGACTGGCCCATCATGCACAAGATTGACCAGATCAGGTGGTAGGTAATCTCCATCATTTCTAGTGTCTCCTATTTCACTGAACAAGTCTTCCTCAGTGGGGACGTAGTTTGCCCTTTCTTCATCATCATTGCCAGAGACGCTCAGCAGGTCAGGGATAGGAAGATCATCATCGAGGTCATTCACAGCGATGACAGAGAATGCTCCTTCCTCCTCAGAGTCGAAAATCACTGCATTAGCTCAGTCCCTTTTCACGTCATCTGTTGCACCACAATTGGCTGACCTATCGAGTTTCAGGCATCTATATTTGAAATGCTCTCTCAATCTGCAGTTCCAGCAAGGGCTGCACTGACAAGCAGGGCCTGTGGAACTTCCTCCCTGTCATCTGTCTCTCCAATTTCCTCGCCCATGACTGGAGGAATTCCTGGGGGTCATGGCCAAGGCTTCATTGCCTTCACGAGCCCTATGTTTATAATGTGAGTGCCACATTGTCACACACCAAAGGTGTTTGGTGAGGTGGACATGAATGTAGCTGATGAATGGAGGTGAAGACCATAGCCCTCATGTGAAGAAGGACAGCCAGCAATGTCGGCAGTCATCCCTCACACAAGAACAAGTTGTCGGTGCCAAAGAAAAAGGAGGAGGCAAGTTAAGCGCCAATAAAGTTCTTAAGTGCCCGTGTATGGCATTCCGGTTTTCGACGTATCTCCACCAATTCTGCAGACACCAAAACCATTCCCACACTCGCTTGTAGTGCTCAGCCATGCGATCCTACCTTCCAAGATTGGAAAGGATTTGTGCACTCCACATGTTTCTACAGCACTCCCTCCAAAAGACGCTCATTTCACTAATTCTTCTGATATGGCTGCCTCCACATCAGTCATTTCACTTGTCCCCTTTGCTAGGGACCATGGCTACATATATCTACCAGGAGTTCCTACCAGCTTCTGTCCTGAAGTGTCCTGGTACATCCCACCCTCATCTGCCCCCTCTCAGCCCATCCAGCTTGGACAGCATGTTCTTTTTGTCAGTATGACCTCCAGGAGGACGTTCTTTGGTCACCTCAGGTCTGTCATTTGCTTGGAAAGGTCTTATGTGGTCGTTTCAGTCTCTCCAGTCCAAGAAGCATATGGATCCTTCCTCCCTGCCCCCCGGCAACGTCTTCATACCAGTCTCATCCATCATTCTTCCAAAATTGCGACAGCTACAGTATAATCTACTGTTCTCCACTCTCCCTGATCGCATCCATGACGAGTATGATGCACATCTTGCCTCCTTGTTGCAAGATACAGCAGAAGATGCTCCCCCTTCATCCTCTCTTCCAACAGAGCCTCGTTCATGAAGTTTTTATTTGCTTCACTGAGAGGATGGTTTGGGGGGGAAAGTTGCGATCCCCTATGCTCCTGTCACCCCACAGACCCCCAAAGCTTGACCCCTGTTGACATCTGACTCACCCTGTCTGCTTTTGGATGTACTATATCGGCATCAGATCAGCGCTGCCTCTCTGTCATCCCACTTTGGCCTAGAAGCAATCTCTTCAAGATGTGACATGCACAGCCTCCCCCTAATGTGATTCCAGTGCGCTTTCTTGGTTCCTGACATTGCTTGACTCATACTTTGACATTCTGACTGTCTTTGACTCACCTATTGCCAATACTTACCAATCTTTTGACTTTGCTTACTGATTCTTCGCCTTTTGGCTTACTTATCCTTACCAATGCTTACCAATGCTTTCCAAGATGATTACCCATCGCTTACATTCCTTACTCATCAGTTACCAATCACTTACCAGGTGTTTGCACCTTGTTTTCCATAGGCAACGCCCCTGTACTGTATATAAGTCACTGTACTTAGGTAGCAAAAAAAGAAGACATCAGAGAGCCCCTCTTGCTCGCAATTTATCATCTCTCAGTAAGTCATTCATCAGCTTCAATAGTTGAGACTTTATTAAGGGTCTAGCTATCATCTACTTCGCTTATCATCATCTATCATCCATATACTTTGCCCCAAGCCCTCCCTGAGCTCAGTGCAGCTTAGGACATTGAATTAAGTCACCATCCATCCTTCTGTAGGCTGACAGCAGTCTACCCTATCGCTTTCTATCACATTCTTGCTCCCTCTTCATCAGGAGCACCCCCAACCCTCAGCACTCATCTTTGAGTGTTGTAGCTCGCAAAAACCCTCCCAAAGAACAGGTTCTACCATCTAGGTACCGCATAGGCACACCACCACTCGCTTTCATTGTCTTTTGTGTTGGTTTTGGTTGGTTTTCACCACTGAACCTCACTTTGACTCACAGTGTCTCTTTGCAGTTTCATTGTTCTGACTCCTTGATAATGAGGGAAATAAGGATATCAGGGTCAATGGTTTGAGTTGGACTGTACAGACAAGCGGTTGCGAGTTGGCCAGATGTGAAGCTGGCAAGGTATTTAGGTAAGGATTGAATGATAGCCGATTGATAATCCTTTTCTTCAATCTGTACACTGATGGCAGCTAACTCATCCCTTTTCATATGCAGATTGTCCAAGAATTGGTGGACATCGCCATCGACGGGGCATTGCATGCCCAGGAACTTTGTTCAAAGATCCATCTGAGCGTAAGCTCCCTTTTTGGTGTACTCACAGACAATTTCACTCCACATGCCTGTGACATTTCTGAGGCTGCGTACCCACAGAGCAGTGGAATCCAGAATTTGTTGAGTGAGTAAATGTTTCACCATACTCTCACTTTTCTGCCATTTGGTGAGCTCATCAGCATCGGGGGGGATTACAGTCACATATCTGTCCTCATCAGTGGAGGTTGTGCTGGCAGGGCAGGGTGAGGTGCCATCAAAGTGAGCCCACAGCTCCTTGGCTTCAATGGCAGTCTGGAAGCGAAGGGAGAAAATCGCCCAGTTCGCGCCTTTGATGTCGAGCTTCAGAATGTTGCCTGGGAGAGTGTCTGTAGTGAGGGGAATGGTGGTTGACATAGGGGTCAAAGGCTATGAGCAACAGTGAGAGTATCGAAAATTCAGGTGAGACATTTTATAGGCTATTAGAGCTCGGGGCTCATAACCTCACAGAAATCTATAACAAGATCTCAGTCGAGTGTGCAAGCGGCAAACGTCTATATTTGCATTACCTATAATGAGATCTAAGGTAACAACATGAGCGCAAAGTACACAAACACGGAACAAGACATTATACCCACCTCAGCTGAGTGTGTGAGCAGCAAACATCTGAGGTGGTGTTACTACAGTAGCAAGTTAAGTACACTATACAAAACAAAAGGGGTGAGACACGGGTGTTGAACCTGGTGTTGAAACTACAAGCACGGTCATAGCACAAGTCCTTGTACCGTTAATTTATACATATGAAACATTTGAAGACAATAAAACAAAAGTTACCACACTGTATTGTCAGCGCTCAAGAACAACTAAGTATTGTGGTCTTGTAGACCCATAAACGGGAAGTGTTTCCCACGGTAAGGAAAAGTAGCGTCAATTAATGAACAAAGACTACAAGTGACTTGCCAAATCTAACAGATCCTACAGCTTGCCTCGAGCTCAGCTCATCGTTCGTGAGGCTCTCTCCCACTGCTCCACCGGAGCTTCAAAAAGTCAGATGCCTGATGACGAAAAAAAGAGTGCACCATCGGATAACTGAATCGGAATCCCCACAAGTTGGCTCTGGCAGCCACTGTTGCTGTCGACGGGTTATCAATTTATGAAGGGCGTGCATGTAGTGTCTCCTGCTCTGTTCGTTCGTTTGTAAGGGCAATCTTCAACAGTTTTTGTGTGGAGCCTGGGCTTTTAGCAATGTTCACCGACCTGTCACAACTGGGTCACAGCTGTGTTACAATTTACGTAGTTCTCCAACTCTAGCGTCATGTAATAGCAGAAGTATGACGGCGGGTCGGGTGGTTTGATGATTTTCTCAGTATCGAGAGTGATAGTAAGTCCTCTGCCAATTATTGGGGTCACTCTTTCGGGAGGAGACATTGAATAGACCCAACAGTCTGGGTGAATGCCAAATTTGCTTCACAGATCGTGAAAGTCTGAAGCGCTGACGCTGGCTCTGTCATCCTCCAGGCTCCTGGTATGCCGCCAGGCGCCAGGCGAGCCCCCGGCGTAAATTTGCATTCAAGTCGGGCTGCAAATTGACGGACAAGTGAAATAATGCAGCGTTGACTTGGGAAATTACGACGTTTGACACGACAGAAAGCAGTGAAGTCATCTCGACCTGGCTGTGTCCATCACTGGCGTGCTTCTCAGTAACCCCGAGGCCTCACCCTGGATCGGCTCTTGGGAGTCGGAGACAATTTTCCTCCGACTCACCTTCCAAAGTCGGCTAACGCTCAGGGCTCAGCCGCCATCTCAGCTCCCATTTCCATTTCTGCCCTTCCCCCCTGACGACGACGTGCGTTTCGCACCCCATTCCATTGTCAGACCACTGATTAGACACAAACTCTATGGTAGAATACTAAAATGCTGTGGGAACGTGTTTAAGTCTATTGCTGCGTGTTGTCGCATGGAGTACTGGGCCAACTCGAGTTGGCATTTAATTACATATTGCCATTGACGCGGATGCGGTCGGTACATGTTATCGTCCGGTGTGTCCAACGCCACATGCCGTGTGTAACCTCATCACCACCGATTTGTCTCGACTCACGGGTCTCTTGGATAGCGGGTCGTCACAGTTGCCCAGTGTGTGCAGCTGCAGCTATCTGAATAAAGGTAGTCTTGAGTGGATTGTTCGACGTATCGAAAGGCAGGCTAGGTCAGTCTTTTGAATGTGGCCACTGAACAATTTGACAGCAGTCTTCACCCCGTTCGTTGTATTCATTAACTGCCCTAAGTTACCAATGTGAGTGGCTCGAACATTGACATTGAACTGTTGCTTAGCGGGCCAATTGAAACGCCTCGTTTCTATCTCTTCAAAGATCTGTTAGACGCACACAGTCACACCTCTCCCAGTGTAAATCCGTTTTGGCATTAGTCTGCCATCTGCGATCTAACACACTTCCCTCGTCATGTTGCTTAGCAGTTTATTGATTCCGACCCATTCACTAAATGAATCAACTCCCCGGGTACGTTCATAGGTTCCAGGGAGCCTTCCCTGCAGAGGGTTACTACGAAGATGCAACGCATCGCGTATGGTCACATGCTCATGGCCAAAGAACCCAAGCTTACCAGGCACACCAACAGCAGTATAACATCCAAGACCAGTTCACTCGAACTTTTCCCAATCACCCCTTTCCTGCTCACTCCTGGGCCTTAGTGGGAGTGTCGGGTGCAAAGATGGCAGACACCGCAGTACTTGGCCAGCCAGTGACATTTCCGTTCAGCAAAAAGACGGCAAAAAATAGGGTAATGAAAAGTGCCATGTCCGAACGTCTGGCCACCTTTTCGTCCCACGACCCAAGGAAACGAGGTCAACCTACGGAAGAACTAATCAGGCTTTACGAGACTTGGGCGACAGGTGAGATAGGTGCGGCATCTCTGTTTTTCATATCTTTTGCGTAGTATGGGAGGGGAATGCTGACACGAGACATCGCACAGGTATCATCGTTACTGGCAATATTCAGATAAAGAAGGATCATCTGGAAGCTACAGGTACAGAGATGCGCCACACATCTATATATTTCTTTGATGATCACCCATACGCATGTGAATTTTTTTATAGGGAATGCAATCATTGACAGAGAGTTGTCTGATTACCTTGAGGACTATCGCGCACTTGCTCGTGCAGCTAAGGCGTGCGGGAGTCTTGTCCTCGGACAACTCAGTCACCCTGGCCGACAGGTTCCCATCACAATCCAATCATCCCCAGAGTCTGCCTCGGACATTGAGCATCCATCTGTGGCGGGTGTATTATTTGCCCGGCCAACACCGCTGACGAGGGAAGAGATTGGGGATGTAGTGCAACGTTTTGCATATGCTGCATCCGTCCTTTTCAAGGCAGGATTCGACGGTGTGCAGGTGAACAACCATTATATAAAGTCCCAGGAATTAGTGATTGCTCACTTGATGCCTGTGTCACGCAGCTTCATGCAGCCCACGGCTACCTTCTCCACCAATTCCTCTCCAACCGAACCAACATTCGTACAGATGACTACGGCGGTCCGTTGCTTAACCGTGCCCGCCTCCTGCTAGAAACAATCGCTGAAATCAAGCACACCGTTGATGATCCGTCATTTGTGATTTCGGTCAAGCTCAACTGTCAAGATTTTTTATATCCCAACGATGGCGTTTCCGAGCAGGAGTCCATTACGTTGACAAAGATGCTTGAATATGCTGGCGTTGATCTCGTGGAGATTAGCGGGGGAACGTATGAACTACAGCTCGCTGGAAAATCTTGTAATGTTGGTCTCGCCTTATTCCCCATGTGGATTTTTCCTTTTGTCTAACTCGTCGGGTGCGGTCCGTTTTCTATGTCGCACTCGTCACTACAGAATTTCTCGCGAGAAGCGTACTTCATTGACTTCGCAGACCGCTTACGTCCACACCTCTCTTGGACTAAGGTCTGCGTGACGGGGGGGTTCCGCAGCGCTTCTGCCATGGTCGATGCAGTCCAGCGTAACTCTACAGATGGTATGTGCGAGACTCTACATTCGACATCGAGGACGCAAGTGTGTTAACCTGTAATCTTTTTTTTTTTTTCCCAGTCATCGGCATAGCACGCCCGCTTACGGCGGAACCCTTTCTTATAACGGAAATACTGCGAGGGGACAAACTGCGGGCCAAAGAAAATAAGTTCCCTAGCAGTCAAACATATCATGTACGTTATCTTTCCGTCTCCATTGCTTCCTTCGTTCTGTTTTCATTTCCTGAGGTCAAGCATACCCATTCTGACTTCGTTCAATTGCTGTATCACCCGATTTACTAGATTGCCGCAGCATCGTCACAGATAGCTGAGATAGGCAATGGATACGACATCACCGACTTCAGTAACCCATTCAACGTATCGCGGTTCATCGCAAAACTGCAGCAGGAATTGCCTACTGCGATGTCGGAGACAGCATTTACTGGAGAAGAAACTCATTGTCTCTAATATTAGTCTATTTGTGTGTACTGATTCTCCGACGTGCGCTTGTACGAGTAATAGGTCACGAGTACCCTTAATATTCTAATCGATTTGCCTGTAGTACACCAAAGTTGTATGCGTTTATCGTGCTACGCTCGGCACATCATTATTTCCGTACAGGTGATCCCTATCCAAGACGGCCATTAAAGGCTATTAGGATCAGGGCCTGGGCACAGTGCCACCATACTGAGCTGCACACTATTTGTGTGCGCGACGTAAAACGCATCTACAAACCTCGCGGCATCCTGGCATGCATCTAAGACGGAAGCGTCAAAGAAAAAGAAATTGACAAACCAACCTTCAGCAAATCATCACACTTCCCCCTATCGATTGGACCTTCCCTTCTCCCATCCAACTCTATAAGCCTCCATTCCACGTTCTCTGCTGTTTCCCCGGGTTCAACTACAAACTCAGCGTCACCTGCCACCTTCCGCTCATGTGCACGAGCACTTGGGACCGGGGCGCGCACAAACGCAGTGAAGTGCAAGTTCGTCTCCATATCGGCCGTAGATGCATCAGTTTGCCCAGCCGTCGCTGCGGACGAATGAATTGACGCAAAAAGTGGCGTCGTAGCGAGGAGGGCGGAACGTTCCAGCGGTGTTTTATCTGCAAAAATAGAGTCACGGACAAGATCAACACGCGGTATACATCAGAAGGAGATAACGTATTCGAAGTCGGTCGGAGATAGAGAACACATGTCAAGATTACACCGGCACGCAGTAAGGGACGAGATGAAGAACGAGAAGCGGTGGGTGGTGAGGTAGTCGCACCTTTACACTCATCTATAAACTTGGCAAGGGGCGACTCAGGGATTAAGGTCACATCCGACTAAGCAAAATAGGAGAGGATGAGGAGTGGCTCCGACATCGTACGACGAAGAGAACAACACAGACATTGGAAAGAGCATGAATCAGCGCCATGGTCCCGCAAGCGTTCGGTATCTGAGTTGCAGTATCATCAAAATGGTACACCAGAGTCAGCATCACTGAGCAACCCTCGCAAACGAGCCTGCCGGGGTCGCCGTGCCCGTAACGAATGGGCGGCGGTAACCAACACAGAGGCAGACTTCAAACGAGGTTAGTAGGACTAGACGTACCGTCTGCTTCATCCAAAACACGGTTGGATCGACGATTCTCCCGATCTCGCCAGCCTCCTCCTTAATCTTGTTGTCGATGGTTCTCGTACAAGGGAAACAGAGGCAAACGGCTTTTGCGCCAGGAGTTACCATCGCGAGAAGCTATTCCACATCCGACAATCAGAGTTAAGAGTTTGATATTCGAGTTTGAAGGAAGTAGTAGCATCAGAGAGGAAGGTAGCGGTAGGCGGTGCAGTTTGCGGAGGAGTTAGTCACTGATTCATGGATTGCGAGCATTATGCACAAGTGTGGGAAAATTGCTGCTGGTGCTGCCCGCGCCCTCTTCCCCTTGACCTAGACAGCTTACAAGGAGTCGAGAGGCGAAGATATACGACCCACGAGCTCGGAGGGGACATACAGCCCCACTCGGATGATGTATGGAAAGTTGACTCACCACGTCGTCGAGGCCATACACATCCTCAAAGTGTGCTTGAGACTTGTTGAGTCCGGCTGCGTACGCCCACTACCAAGTGCCGGTCCAGCATCATGCAAACCAGTGTGGCAGCAGACGGCAGTGAGAAATTATCAATCACGGCGATGGTACGAAAGAAAGCACCGATCCGTATCCCATGCTATGCCATCAGAAAGATCATTAGTTAACCTTCAGGACGATCTGCTTACATTGTTGAAAACCTGAGACGATCATAAACGAGTATACAAGTCGTTCAAGGGTTAGTGAGAGGATCGGTTTAGGCAGTTGTATCGCACAATCGACGTGAACTACTGCTGACCTCTGGGTTACTCTCCAACGGGATCCACCTGTCGGCTTCCTTTGACATGATTGTGAATGATTAGGCGAGTGCTGGTACTCAGTTTTGGGATTGTGGCCGTTGTTCCACCGACGAACTGAGGTAACGTTGGGGCACGGCCGGCGGGTGGCTGGTGACGTCTTCATTTACTGATACATATATGGAAATCGGTATGCTATCATCCCCTTGGAAGCTCCTTCGCATGCCGATATATCGACGAAAATCTGAGATTCAGAAGTCACCCGGCTGCGGAACTGCGCACGCTTGTATCACGAAAAACCACGCTGGTCTGCAGTCACCGTATCTGGTGCGCAGTGGAGGCTGAGGCAGGTAGTGCTCCGAAAAATCACATGCGGCGTCCCCCTACCGGACGGACATTACTTGGGTCCGGCCAAGTTTTTTCGCTTGGATGCAATAGCTTGTCATGCATCACGGGGCATTGCCAAATACTAGGCTTTGTGGGAGTAAAGTTAGTCAGCTCGATCAATTCGTGCACCTCTCCCCTCATCTCATCGATCGCGCTCATCTGGCTTCCCCAGGCCCCTGTGGCCCAGGCTGTTTTTGACTCATCATGAAAACCTGTGTAGTTGCAAGTAGATCATGGCAGCCAACACTACGTGACGCCGTTTCCCCACCATCAGCTTCTGATCTGCCCATCATGTCAAGACGCCCATACTTATCCCTTTATCTAGGGCGTGAGGAGGCGAGGACATGCTCCTGCGCGTAGTATACACGGACGCAACATGACGCCGAGCGTGGGTGATCGAGCAACGAATTCTTCCACAGTTCTACCGCGATCGATATGTTGATGGAGTCCGAATTAAAGTGACATCACATATCTTATCTCTCTACTAGGAAGGAGAACGAAGCATAAGATAACCTACCAGGGAAGTACACAGATAGAATTGCAGGGAGTTGCGGGCCTTGAACGTGATGGAGAGATAAAGCGGAAGGGATAAGAATTGTACCCGATGCGGCCGGGGAAGATTGCATGCGAGAAATTTTCTGGAAAACGGCGCTAGTGAAATCACCACGAGGCACTCCCCAAGTGTGGTCCAGGAGACGTGCCGAACCGAGCTGAGTGAGCGACAGGCGATATGTAGATTCAAATGGATAGGAGCGCGACGCCGGAACCACTTGCCTGGAGTGAGAACAATAATAAAGCAGCAATATCAGCAGTGGATGAACTAAGAAACCTGATACTGCCCATACCTGCCTGCTGGCACTGTGGGTCAACCGGTCACCCGTGGCACCGTAGGAATGGCCAAACCTGAATTGGAAACGGTGGTTGCAGGGGACTCATCGGGACTACGAGAACGCGGCCAGGGGTTGGCCAGGGGTGCAAATGCAAATAAATATATGTAAAACAAAATGAAATAGATTTGTCAAAGAACTTTACCCCGTTGTGGACGTATGCGACATTCTCTTTCCGATAATTAATCGCGTTCTTCCAGCGCATGTGTAATAGATACATGCTCCATGGGTACATATATATACCCCCCAACCCAATGCAACGCTCCCTCAGGCTGACACGCCAGGAAAAGTCCTCAGTGCTACAGATCACCCCTCATTGTTATGGCCTACGAGAAGAATGCCAACTTTCGTCTGAGGATAGCAAGGGACATTCTCCGTATCCTCATTGCACCCCCGCTCGCACTCTCCCTCGTTGCACATATTGCACGCATTCGTATGGGCTGGTGGTCACCACTAGCATATGTCTCGTCCATCGTCTTCGCGGCCATCGCTAGGGTACAGTATACGGACATGGCCCAACAGAGGGAGGCCAAGCAGCTAGGAGCCAGACTTATCCCTCGGGTCGTCGGAAAGTGGCCTGGGAACATAGATGTCATGCTCAAGCTCCAGAAGAGCCTGTCGTCTGGCTATATTTATCAGGGATACCTGGAACTCTTTGAAGAGTATCAATGCACCACTCTAAATACACGCTTCCTCTGGATGGATAACGTAAGTTGCCATTCCTCTCACGAGGCACACCGGTCGTCATGGCTGCTCAACGAGGTCATTAGATCATCTCAATGGACCAGGAACATTGCAAGTATGTCCTTGCTACTGGATTTAACAACTTCTGGAGAGGAACTGCCCAGAGGGAGCGTCTGTAGGTTCAGGTCATCTCCGTCATTTGTGCAGATCTGATTTCTTCATGTTCTTTCAGTGAAACCTTCCTTGGAGACGGCATTTTCAACCGTGACGACGAGGTAGGGAAAGGTTATGATATTTTCCTTCCTGTCTCACATGTTTACGAGCGCAGGTCTGGAAAGCGGTAGGCCAGGTGCCTTGCCAAGGCTTTATCCCGGTCTAACCTAAATTGACACCTAGCACCGGACACTTGCACGTCCATTTTTCGCCCGCGATCGTGTGTCCGACTTCGAACTATTCGAACGATATACAACTCGCACTTTCACAATTCTCTCGGAAAAAGCTGCTTTGAACGAACCTATAGACGTTCAGGATCTTTACGCCCGTTTTACGATTGACGCTGCTTCAGAGTTCCTCTTCGGAAAAAATCTCGACACGCTTTCGGGCTCTCTTCCTCGACCTAGTTCTTCCTCACCATTCGAGCGTGGATCTGTGACAGATGACGCGTGGGGGACGTTTACCAGGGCCTTCGAGACGCTGCAGCGGATCAACACTCTCCGTGCTCGAACAGGTCTCATCTGGCCTTTATTCGAGTTGTTCGACGACAAGACAGTGCCATATGTCGACACCGTCAGACAGTGGATTGATCCGCTTGTGAAGCGTACGCTGGAGGAGAAGGCGGCTGCAAAACGTGCCGGCGTCGAAAGGAATGTCGAAGAGAAGACGTTTTTACAGCATCTCGCTGATAGCACAGAAGGTTGGCTGTTTCTCCGCTATAACCTGTAGCCCGAAATGACGTCGTGCGTAGACGTTGGGAAAATCCGGGACCAACTTCTCAACATACTACTTGCAGCGAGGGACACAGTACGTCGTACGCAACGTGGTCGATCTGGGAGGCTGACTTGCAAGCTCAGACAGCATGCCTGTTGACGTATGTAACTTATTTCCTCGCCCTTCACCCAGATGTGGCGAAGAAACTTCGACAAGAGGTTGCACATATTTGCGGTGATCAACCCCCAACTTACGAAAAGATTAAAAAATTGAAATACAGTGAGCACCCCACTAACGAGCCCTGTGGATGCCTTCTCAACTCCCGTTTCCACACACAGTGAAAGCTGTTATTGACGAAACGCTGCGCCTTTTCCCTCCCGTCCCGCTCAACCAACGACAAAGTCGGCCTGTTCCGTGCACGCTCCCCGCACCAGATCCAACGTTCCCTGTTGGTTCCCAGAGACCTTTGTATATGCCTAAGAGCACGACATTCTTCTATTCCACGCTGTTGGTCCAACGAAACAAAGCACTCTGGGGCCCAGATGCGGACGAGTTCGATCCGGAGCGGTGGATTGACCCAAAGAGACTTTCGAGGTATACATCCAATCCAACGATGTTTACGCCCTTCAGTGCGGGGCCCCGAATTGTGAGTACTTCTGTACCTTCTATTTGGAAGCTTTCTCCGGCGGTGGTGTTGCATTCGTGGTGCCTTTGCCTATGTGACACGGCACAATTCTATGGGTCCAGTTTTCCCTCCTTTCTTATTTGCACTGGTTCCGTAGTGAGATAGATTGCTGATTGAAACTGCTTCCATGCTTTCACCTCTATCTCACCTCGATATATGCGGAATCGCGCCCACTTCCCAATGGAACACTCCTCAATACCGATACAATGGATTTTGATCACGCGGCGTACTATCGTGATGAAATCAACTCTTGCATTGCCACGTGGTATTGTGCAACATCTGACTGATGCACGTGGCTGACATGTGTGCTGTCGCATCCACCTTTGTTCGACCATACTCTCGACTTGACGTACTTGGCACATAAAGTGCATAGGCCAAAACTATGCGTACAATGAAGCCTCCTACTTCCTCGTCAGACTCATGCAACACTTTTCTTCATTCACACTAGCACCTGACGCCCAACCGCCCTCGTCACTTCCTCCAGCGGAATGGAAAGCCGGTCGCGGGCGGATGGCTATTGAGAGAATACGACCAGAGGCAGCGATGACATTATTTGTCAAGGTATGTTTTATCTTTGGGACAGGGCATTGGAGCTACGCCCGTGGATGTAACGGTGATTCTGATGGTTATGTCGTTAGGGTGGGTTGTGGGTGCGCCTTGGAAGAGTGGCTTCTTCGGAAGAAGCATGACTGAAGTATTGCATATTTCAACGGAGTGCTGGCCACCCGTGGACGATTGGATACATTTGATCTAGGACCTTCATCGACGCCCAAAACCATTGTTTTCTGGTCTGGCCGTCTCGCATGGGAAGTTTTGGAGATGAAGACATTTTATTCATTGAGTAGGCGTATGTAGGCTGGCAGGAGGAGTGCGCATGTATCTCTGCCGAGAAGCATTGCATTGCTTGTAGCATTACACACTACACGACGATCATTTTCTGTAATTATCAGAACTGAGTACGTGACTCGGACTTGCTATAATAATGGACAAGAGATGTGCAATTTTCATGGACAGCATGCCAGCCAGACAGTTCAATACGTGGACTATGTCTGACTTTGCATGCAGGTGAACAGCTGCTGTCAAATCGGACACCACATGGGCCTCCTTGAAGAAGTTTGTGGGGTTGCAGAGGGGAAACCCAGAGAGGAATCTGTAGGGAACCTCAGTACATCAGCAAATCACTTTGAGCTGTGGAGCTCTCCACAGTGTTCCATAATACACAGAGTCCCCTAGCTAGGTCCAGGCTGGACAGATGCACCCAACAACACTTTTTGCTATGGCTAGTTGCCTGTTACTATGGAATGGTCACATTGTCATGGAACTTTGTCCAGTATCTTACTTACTATGGATTGTTATGGAACTTTCATGCTTAGATATCACTGTACAAAACTGGCCAGACTGTATTCTCCTTGGGGTGTTGTCCAGTACTCCCCATCTCAATGTTTACTTTGCAAACATGTGATCACTCCACAACTAGGAACAGTTCACAGCAGGTATGACAGGAACAGGAGCATTGGCATCAATTGCATACTACATGTAATGACAGGTATGACAGGACTAGGTATTATGAAATCAATCAAGGACTGCCTGAATGTGCTGGTACCTCTCTACATTTGAATCAACCTCTTGCAGTGCAGCCCTGATATGAGGAGTCAGCACAAGCATGTTGGCTGCCCCAGTACTTACCATCCTTCCTTCACCCACTGAGAAAGCTGATTGTGCAACCTTGCACCATGATAGGGATTATGAAGGATGTCATTCAGCACCTTCATCATGCCATGGAAAATGGAATTGTAAGCCTTGCTGGAGAATTGAGGCATCATCTTTCCTGTGCTGTTCTTCACAAATCTGTCCAACACACAATGAAACTGTGAGAAAAGTTTGAGTTGCAGCAACTTGGGGTGTAAAATAACTCACTGTGGCTGTGATGAGAGCCAGACAGGAAAGGGGAACTGAATTGTTGAAGGACTCAGGATGCTTATCCATGATTTGATAGGTCCCAGTATAGTAGAATTGTATGACAGCTTCCTTGAGGGTGGGGTGAGCAAAATTCCTGGTTTTTCCCTGATAAACCAATCCATTAGTAGTGCAGACAACAAACTGTGTGAATGTACATTCTCGTCAAAACCATCTTGCAGGAAAAGCAAGTTGTCAAGGAGCTTTGGGGCAGTGGTCTCTATCCATTGTACATGAACCCATGGTGCAACATCAGAAGGAGGGATAAGGTTGAACACAGATGGCATGGTTGCCAGTGTAACTGACTTCAATTCTGAATGCCAGATAGATATTTTGTTGACTGAGTTGTGCACAAGGGTCAGAAGATCATGATCAGGAACAGAAGGACAGCCATTAGTGTGATGGTGGCGTTCAAGAATGTCAATGACAGCACCATGTTGGGAACCCTAAAATAACAATCTGAATAAATAAAGCTAGCAGGAATGGCATTTTTGTACCTCTGGCTGAGCCTTGTCCTTGGATTGTAAGCTTCACAGAGCTGCATTGTCATCCTTGTTGCATGAGTACTGAAACTCGTGGTCAGGGGGTAAGGAATTGTGGCAAATAGGATTGCTTGTCATCATTTCTTGGGAGAAGCCTAACAAAGAACATTGAGCCAATACCATAATAACCTCTGACATGTACCAGGATGAGTTGATTGCCTAAGATTCATTGCACCCCATCCAAATGCATCGTCCTCATCTTTGTTGGACTCATCACTGGAGACCTCACCAGCCTCTGCATCTGATGAGTTATTACTCAAGGACTCTGACTCCTCTTCTGAGGAGCCCTCTGATGACAGCTTCTCCAAACTCTTGTGGTGAATGTCAGTGGTTGCCAAAGTTTGTCTTGATGAGAGTAAGCTATCAAGGGAGGGGTCGATACAAGAGTTGGGCACAGTAGCAGGCAGCTGGTGGGGGATAAACCAAGACTGGTAGTTGGGCTGGGGTGTTGGTGGATGAGATGTATTAGTGGAAACTGGTCTCCCTGAATCATGGTGATATAAGGATTATTGAGCACTTGAAGGTCAGGTTCCATCCTGGGAGGCATGATATGACCTGGCTGTTGAGCCAGAACACTGAAACCAAAGTGATGGGAGTCTGTGGGGCACTGATGGAAGACAGGTGTTGCTACTGCTGTTGAAGACTGAGGGACAGGATTCTGAAATGAACATTGTATATCAGTGTGAAAAACACTCACTGGGGGCATATCAGCTGGGCTAGGACCATTCACAATGGGAGGTGCATAGGGTGGTGGGGTGACATTGGACTTTGCAAGCAGTTAGCTTGATATTTGCAAATAACTAGAACTGACCTTTGATTTTGCATTCTGGCCAGCACTGCAGCCCCCACCCTTTTTCTGCCAAGTGGGCAGAGGTGCAAGAGGATTTACAACAGAATTGTTGGGGAGGTCTGTCAACTTTTGTGTCTGTGGAGCTCGGCCTTCAATGGCAGTACCAATCTGCTCCAATTGCTTGGCCCTTCCACCTGAACCTGCCCCTGCCCTTCTGCTACAACAGAGTCCCACTGTGGCAACAGACTGAGACTCTTCAAGATTGATGGGTGGGCTTCCTAGATGCTTGTTTTTTGTGGGTTGAGTGCTTCCATCAGCCTCTGGTTGTCATTTGGCTTTTTTGCTATCCTTCTTTTTTGGCAGGATTGTTCCAGATTGAGTGGACATCTGAAGGTACAAGCAGTTAAGCAGAGAACAGTATAAGATGGAAGCCTGGGGACCATGATGAAATGACATCTTGTGAATCCATATAAATGTTGACAGGTTCATCATGAGATGTAAAACGAAATGATGCATGGAGATGGTTACCTGCTGCAAATGAATTGAAACACTTTACACATAACATACAGAATGTGAACTGAACATAAAATTCATGCTAAGACTACATGCCTTTGAAGCATTTATTGGGTATAGGAGGGTTATCCATGCTCCTTACCTCTTCACAAAGGCATTTAGAAGACATAATTGCTGAAGACATAACATCCATATCATTCTCCTGACTCAGACACATGCTTGAATTAAGTGCTTTGTGCTGGGCAATGATCTGCTGAAATGCATTCATCATCTCTGGTGGTTTCTTGTATGGCATGCTGGCCAAGAAATGATCAAAAAGGGAGATAATGTCAGAGAACTGCACTGCAGTTCTGCTCAGCAGGGACTGCCCAAGCAATACACACCACTCATTAGCCAGAGGGATTAGATCTTGAAAATATTGTGAGACCTCGAAATCCAGCCTCAATTTGGACAGGTCATTAAGGAATGTGAACTTGGTGCATCTGGCAATTTCGAGATCTTTGGCTGCCTTTTCACTCCACAAGCCAAGAAGTGTCTTTTCATGGCTGATATCTTGACACTTGTGGCCAAGTGGCCCATCATAAAGGATGAGGATCCAGATGAAAATGTAGAACAGGGATTCAATATCATCCACAAATGTATGGTGTATAGTAGTAGGGTGATTGATGAATATGCAGGTGAGAGAGGCACTTTTCCAGATTGATGGGACATTAGTCTTTCCACTTTTAGTGATGGCTTCCTTGAGTTGGCAAAGGATATTCACTGAAAGGAAGGGGACTGTCCCCTTTGTGTACTATCAGCTTCGAGTTCCAAAATGTTTTGCATAGTACTTACTGTGCTGCCCAAGTCATATTCCCCCTGTAATGTGACCCATACAGCAAATTCCCAGTCAAGGAGAAAGCTGCATGACCCATTTGCGAAGTCCTTGATCATCGTATTGTTGATGCTACAATCTTGATGGAGGACACCCCTCTCGAGAGCCTGCTGTTGGACTGTTAAAGCAATTAGTATTGATTTTACAAGTGGAAGAGGATATGTACTTTGTAAAATATCTTGGATGCATGACACGAGTTCCTTTTTTGTCTTGAACATTACCATTGGCCTTGCACATGGCTTCATAGCCAATCCCATGTGAGTTCTCTGAGACTTCATGCATGATTGCCACTTCTCATCACAATATCATTCAGTTTTATCAACAATGCCTGGCTCGACCTTGACAACCCAGTAGTGTTGCAACTTGGGAACTCCATCGATGTCCTGGACCAGCTTCATCATGTTGACTTTGTGTAGGGCTGTCCTCTGCTCTGACTCCTCCACCCAATAATCCTTGATGATGTAGTATTCCCCATTGTAGCATGCAAGGTAACAAACAGTACCCCTTCCTAGAAAGCCTGTGCTCAAGAATAATACATTGAGCACCTTGTAGAAGGTCTTGTTTACTTGGATCCTCCTGATTGCTGGGATGTGTTTGGGTGATGTGGGAGTCAGGAGTGAGTTTGCACTGGGGAGGATGCCTGACTCCAAGTGAGGAGAAGGTGTTGTAGGAGAGGGGAAAGGGGAGAGAGGTATCACAAGTGCTGTGCATTTGCAGCTGTGTGCAGGATGGGGGGATATCTCTATGGTCAAATCAAAGCCAAGGGTTGAGTGGGAGCTGAATGCAACAGCACATACAATGTATATGAAGACTTCTGTGTCAGTGTGGATATTGATAGAGGGTGAGATTGCACCACCAGAGTGGTTGTAAAAGTGAAGTCAAAGAAGTTCATTATCAGTAATTGATAATCCAAGGACATAGCACCTCCAGGGCTGGTCAATGAGGGTTAGATATGCCTTAGTGTCCATCATCTTCCCAAGGTGGGATGCTGGCTTGAAAGACTCCTTTGAGTACTCGGCAATGACTTTGGGACTTAACCATGTAATCTTGTTGAGGGATACCAGGGTGTTATTGACAAGGATGAGGTCAGGCTTTCAGGAATAACCTGTAGAACCTTGCAAGCTGGTTCTGCTCCAGTCCACCATCCATTGACACTGGGGTTTGCTGGATAGACTGGGCATCGTGGATTTGGTGGTGGTTCTGATAGCATTGAGAAACAGAGCAACTTGCTTTTCAAAGCAGAGCTTTTCTGATTCTACTGGCAGCTCTGAGGCAAGTGGCCTGGGTTGCTCAGGAGGTGAATCAGAGCCTGGGGGTGGATGAAGCTCCCAGTTCCAGCACTTTCTATCATCATCATATAGGCTGACCAGGCTGTCCTCTGACAAGCCACCCTGGTTGAAGGAGGTGGAATAGCTATGGACACGTGCAGGAATTGTTTTCAGAGGGACAATCAGGGACCTGGGAGCTATGGAGGTGAATGTATCTCTGAAGGACTTGAAGATAATATTTGTAACATAACCGAGGCTCTGAGGAGAGCTAACTTGTATCCATGGTTTATGGATGATGGTGCCCTCAAGTTCTGAAGCAGTGAACTTGTCCATAACATGAACTGTGTGGCTGTGTTTGGGTGGGGGGAGAGAACCAATCAGCTTGTAGGTACCATCTATTGTTTGATATCTGTTTTTGTTTGAGTCTTTGGACATTTCTGAGGGTTGTTGACAAGTAGGGTCACACATTTGAAAATGGTGCCACCACTCAAAATACTGATGCATTTCAACATTAACATGTAATAAGCTCTGGTATATGGTAAGGTAACATGTATGTTGACTAGATGGGAGGAGAGTCCAAATGACTTAGGGCAAAGTATGTATTTTTGTCAAAGTATTTGTTGAGATAGAATTTGGTAGAATGCTCAAAGGAGTTGTATGCCATCAATTGATTATCTGCAATTTGCCCAAAGCAAGGTATGAGATGTGTGAATGCCCAAACCTGACTGAGCAGGATGACATTGCCAAGATGTTGGCCATTTGCTCTCTTTGTGCACCTAAGGATATGTAGGTGTGTTGCATCTTCAGCTGCTATGTCAAAACATTACATAGACCAAAAAATGGTCTGTCCATGATCATCTTACCCCCCTCTTGCCAACAGGGTGCACCAGGAGATGGAGCTGGCCAACAACATGACCTAAGATACTCTTGTGAGTGACATGGAAAAGTAGTGTGGACCATGAACCTTTCAGGCCACTCTCTGGCCATTTGAAATGGGGGTCCACATTGATGATAGCTGCATCATAGTGGCCAAGGGTCCAGGTCTCACAAGGTGGAGAACAGAAGAGAGTCTGGGCAGGGAGGATGTCTGTGATATCATGTGTCACCATGTTCTGCAGCCACATCTTGTACCAAACCTGCAGATCAGTAAAAGGCAGGGTTGAAGAGCTTGATCCCTGACATTGACTGCTTATAGTGTGCACAGAGCTTGGTCCATACACCTTCTCACAATTTAGAAAATTGACAAGGGTGGCTCAGAGCTCAAGTAGTCCAAACTTCTTGGCAGCACCATCAACACTAATGCATCACAAGGGTGGGTTGTAGGAAAGGTTGATTGCCATACCATTTGTGATAAAACTACACAAGGGGAAGGGAATGGAGTCTGGATCCTGGGTCCTGAGGTGCACAGAGATGGTGAAGTAATCAGTGACAGGCTATGCAGGACCTGGCATCTTGGAAACTAGATTCACCTCCTCACAATCACTGATCTCACTGTCACCATCATCAGAACTCCCATCCTCAACCTCCAAGGACTTTTCTTCTGCATGACCATGGGAGTGAGTCTTCGATTCATATAATGATGTCATGAGTTCAAATGTCCTACATTTTTCAGCATGATTGAGGTACTGGCAAATTTGAGGATCATAGTTATTGTTATTGCTAGCTGATGCTGGGTGTCTTAATCTCTGATACATGGGCATGTTCAGTTACATCAGCAGTCCATTTGATGGTGACCCCAACATGCTTCACACTTGGTATGATGCTCTGCACTGAGTTCTAACTTGGGGATGTGCCAAGTTGTCGATGGGCTTGTTTCCCTTACCACATCATGCACTGTGATTGAGTATCAACTGCTTGTGTGCATGAAACTCATCCAGTGCAGAAGATATTATACAAAGATCATCATCATCAATGCAGTAAGCTTGGACTTGGTATTGGAAGTCCATGAGTGCATGAATAGCAGTAATAATTTTGGAAGGGGCTGCTCCAGCAATAACACTGATGATGTAATGTTGGACATCATGGTGCATGTGTCCAGTCACCTGCTTCAGCTTAGCAACACCACCTTTAAAGTGATGGAACCCTGCAGTAGGCTGTAAAACTGAGAAGCAAAAGTCGATTTTGGCTTCACCAACTGCATTTATGCACCACTTCATGTTGTGGTCCTAAAATTCCTTGTGCAGGTGGTGAAGGGGCTCCAGAGTTATAAAAGTGCTTGGACAAGAAAGTGGAATGTCCCTCCAAAATGGGTCACTAACTCCACTGAGGTGAAAGTGCTGTGCTTTGCGAAAGAAGACTTGGATGTTTGTAGGGTGGACCTTTGATTTCACTGCTGTGAGCTGAGCCAAAGTGGTGGACATGGTTCATGGCTCATGTCAGAATGGGTCTCCAAACTGTTTGTACATCACCATGGTGATTGGGGAAGTCTTTCCCCCAACAGCTGCGAGCATGGCAGCCTCAGGAGTGTTGGCAATATAACCTGCAATTGGCATGAAACAGTACCACATGTGCCCCAGAGAATCCAGTAACATAATGCCAAGTTTGGCAGCTTGCTTGATGGGTTCAAGTATGATATCCAGGCATTCATGAATGAGCCTATCTTCAAGGAGGCCACACATATGCTTGTTCTTGTGCACGAACTTGGGGACAGGGAGGAGAGCGGTGAGCATAAATGAGTTGGAATGACAATTTTAGGCATGTGGACATCTTGATATTTGCTAGGCTGATGAGAAGTGGATGAGCAACTCTGCCACCACATAAAATAGTAATATTTGTCTTGTCTGAAGAAAGTATTGTGCCAAGAAGGGTCACTCTGCTTGGAAGCTGTGACTGGGGTACATCAATTGAATAAAAGGATCTATAACTCGCAGTGGAAGCATACCTGCATATGCCAAGCATCATCAGTGGTCATCCACTCTGTATACACCCTACAAAGCTTCTTGGGTGTTTTGTATACATGCCTTGGAACAAAATCAAGCTGGTCAGAGAACAAAGGGTGGTTGAGGAGCCATGCAATGCATTCCAGGGGATCATGCCAGTACAAGTGCACAGGGTGTTTGGTTGGCTGCAAAGGAGTAATCTCCATTGAGCACCAGCACAGCCCACCAGGGAGTAACTCAGCCAGCCCATGAAGTGCTCTGGCTGTACAAAAGGAAATATTTAGTAGCTGTATCTGGCACATGTCAATAATGATCTTCAGAGAGAATAGGGACAGGGCTTATGATTGACAATGACAAGAAAGAGTCTATAGCTCTCATGCTCAGGCCTGAACAAAGTAACCGACAATGTCAGCTCCCATTCATTGTGGGAGTTGAAGGGGTAGTACAGATTTGATGCCCATAGGTTTCTGAACTGGTCATCATTAAATTTGTCCACTAAACATTGGGCCAAGTCCAAACATTTTAGCTGTGCCCTCAAAGTCATCTGTGGTTGGCCCCCACATGTCAAATGCCATATGAATAAAATCTGGGTAATCATGAGTTGCATAGTCATCAGGCTTGGTGCTCATCAGGACATCTTCTAAGTGTGTTGGGTGTTGAGAGTTATGAATGTTCAAGCTTGAAGGTTGGAGAGACTCATGAAGGCAGACTAAGTTATTGACCCAGGTATTGCACCCAGAGGATGGCTGGCTCATGTGCATTGTGACAGCACTGTGACTCTGGAAGCCACCTTTACTGCAACTTGGACAGCAGGGCATACTCTAGATGGTCAGGCAGGCCAATTCCATGTTATGTGATTATCACTTCAGTGCGAATCAGGACATTGTTTGGATCGCTTTGGAGTGTATTTCTCATATACTACCCAATCACATCCCATTTGTGAACATAGTCACTCATGTCCATTTATAACCTCAATCACACACACCTTCATGCTGGATTGACCATGCCCACAGTCAAGCATTGCCTGGGTGACAAAGGACTGCCCCATAAGCCTCATGATGGCAGGTTCTCTTCCTGCAACAGCCCCTCTAGCAGTGCTGAGGTCAAAGTGGAGACAACTGGTGTCTTAGCTGAGATGTATGGAATATTGGAGTTGTCCACTCACACAGTAAGTTCTTTTTTTCCTTCCTAATAACTGCTCATTGATAGGTTTTCAATCTGCAGCATGAATCAAAGAGTCAGCTGAATCACAAGGCACTTCTCCTTCTTGATGTAGCACACACACAACATGAAGTCTTTCATGTGGAACAAGCTCTGGCTGCATGCATTGCCCATGAATATGAATTGATGGCCAAGTTGTACAAGTACAAGGTGGGCAGCTGGCAAGGTGAGAGTCCATGAAAAAGATATGGAGGTTGGCTCATTATGTGTAGCAATGAAAAAATGCAGACTGGGAGAGCCTATTTTTGATGTTAGTGTTCTGGCTGGTGAGCTGCAGCCATCTCTTGAGTCCAATGGTATGCTATGCTTGCACTCTTTTCTGTTGGGCCACTATTTTACTTATGCTGGATCTTGATAGGCACAGTTATTGAGCATGCTGGTAGTCAAATACTCGCCATTTGTCTAGACTAGTACTATCCATTACTTTCCTGTACTTATTGAAAAATGTTGTATGTTATGTCTGTGTGTTGTTGCCTTCATGCATAGGAATGAAGTTAGATCTACCAAGTTTTCTACTACAGTGGGAATCTAGGTTGCTGTATTAGCTAGGTGTGTCTGTTCCCTTGTATGCTAGGTAGCTATTGGTCTTTGGATTGCTGGTATCACTGGTGTGGCTTACTCAGGTGCTATGAGTTGCTTGGATGCTGGCCACTACTTTGGGCAAGTCTGGTGTAGTCTACTCTGGCACTATGAGTTGCTAGGATGCTTGACATTGCTTTGGACTAATATGGAATTGTGCAAATACTATGGGCAGCTATGAGTTACTAACACATTTTTGTGTTTTGCTGATGGAAGTCAGCCTACAGCAGATATTCTCTGTCATTCCATCAACACTTGGCCAGTAAATCAGATTTGGGCTTCAGATCCTCCTCTTGACTCTTCAGCACATACCAGAAGCCAAGATAAAGTGGCCAACTGCCAGGGAGTTTGAAGGCCTTTCAGATCTGTTCACAAGATGTCATCCATGGCTGGTTGGTGCTTTCACATAATGTACCTACATTGTACTGTATGACGACCCCATGTAGTCCATTTAGTCACAACATATAGGTAGCCTCTGTGCCAAAATGCCAACACTTAAATAGACCCTGTTGTATATTCTGTCTTTCATATTATACTTTCATCTGCATCCCACTTAGTATTATGGTGCGCATTTGGCCATATTACATAATCACATTCATTTTTGTACTTGAGTAGCATACTCACACCTCAGTTGGCTACTTAACCCAACTGAGTATATATTCTACAGGTTATGAGCCCCATTGCTCACTAACTGGGAACCTGTAGCAAAATGTCATTCACATCCAAGCTCAGAGATGATTTCCTTAAGGTCCCAAAGCTCTTGGCAGATGGAGAGAACTGGGTAACATACAAGGACCAGCTAATGTGGTCTTTGGACACTTGTGGGCTGCTCAGGTACATAGATGGTACTGAGACAATGCCAGTCGACCCCAAGACACTACCAAACTGGGGCAAGAGCTGGATACCTGTCTCTGCAGAGGAGAAAAAGGAAGTGATGAACTACCAAGCTACTCTAAAAGAATGGAGGCTTGGCCAAGCCATTGTCAAGCAACAAATCACCAGCACACTCCCTGACACACTGTTCATCCAAATAAAGCATCTCACTACTGCACTCAACATCTGGACATACCTATCCAACCTCTTCGAGAAGTGCTCTCATGTTGTATTGGTTGAACTGCTGAAGAAGCTGCAAACTATAAAATGCATGGAGAAAGGGATTGTCAGGGAACTGTTATGCCAATGACTCATACCATGTCATGAATTGAGTACTGAAGTACAGGCATGCAACTGTGCAAGAAGTGATGTGTATTTTAACTTCACAGGTGAATGGTGCACCTGTCTTGGCCAAGCAAAGTCATACTGTCAAGTCCTTGGGTACAGTGGGCAGAGCTAGGCATGGTTGCAAAGTAGATTTCAAATGGAGAGCTGGTATGATACATGTGGGTTTATATACATATGTAAAATACCTGTGGAACAAACATTCAAAAATGTTTGAATGTCCACCTGCATACTGCACAAGGCAACCAGTGAGTCACTTTTACAAGGGTGTAAGGGTGAATGAGCTGCAGTGTGGGACTAAATGCAAGGATGAACAGAGAAGAGGGATTAAATGAAGGGATACCCACATATATGACATCATAGGTGTAAATGGGCAACCTGGGGTAAACAGGTTAACCATGTCATGTGACCACATGGATCAGGGCCACCAGTGGATCATGGAAGGAAGGGTGATTGGACATAGTCCAGCTATAGTACAACACAGGGTGAACAGGGGGATACTATAAAAGGGAACATACAAGGAGAACATGAGTCCAGAGGTGGCTTGTGGGTGGCAGAACATCATCACTTGAAAGTGTGATGATAGCATACAAAGTCTATAAAAGGAAAGAATGTGAGTGACATGTAACATCACCCCCCCCCCCCCCCCAAAGGCCTGAGGTCCTTCTGAAGGTGGGTAGAGGCCAGAAAGGATCCATGAGTGGACTTCTGCATTAGTTGCCACCTCAAGTTGGGCAGTCAGTCAACCAATGTCCAAGGCATGAACATCAGTAACAGGTGAACCAATGCAGGGGATGCTGCCA